AAAACCTGAATTTTTGTCAAGCGTTTAAAAATTTGGGACGAGAGTTACACTAACTTCGAGACATTGGGTTAAAATGAATTTGCTCTCCTACCAAAGCCACGAAAACTTCCAGATTTCACTCAAGAGTTTAATCAAAGTCCTAAGAACTGTTTCAAACAGAACTTTCCAGATTTGTTCTCATCAGAAATGTCCTGCCTGCGAGACGCTCCGACCAATACATTGACACCGTCGAGTTGGAAATCTAGTATGCATACAATGTCACAAATGTCACATGTGATCGATCCAGCGTTGCGTTTTCTGAGTGAGAGGTCATCGCTCTCCATATACAGCCGGCGGGGGGAAAACAGACAGAACGCCTGGTCAGCACATGGTCACATTTTGGACGCATCATTTTTTCCCCCCTCCCTCCACCCATCCTGAGCGGGTAATGAGCTGAGTTGTTGTTGTTGGTGGTGGTGGTGGAGCACACTTCACTCTATGTGACATCCGACTCACCGGGTGCTGCCAGAGCTTTCCCTGTGCTTCATCTCGGACACTTGGCCTTTCCAAGCGGCTGCAACTACTTTTCTCAAGCTTGCTGACAGTGAATGATGTGTTTGTTTATTACGGCTGATAGGTGTCATGTTAGACACGCATTAAGTTCTTGCAAAGTGAGCCATGCATTCTATTTTCTTTCTCTGGATGGGACCAAAGCAGAGGGACACTTGCTCGAGGAGTAAGGGATGGGGAAAGTCTATGGTAGACTAAGCAAAATGAAGAAAACGAGGTGGAATAAAGAATACGCAGCAGAAATATGAACAAGTTGTGTGCAGAAAGAGACAGAAAAAGAGAGAGAGAGACAAGGAAAGACTGAGAGATGGAGGAAGGGAGCCACAGATGTGGCAGGGCCTCGGGCGATACAAGTCATTATGGTGTAAACTGCTCCAGCGGTGATGTTGTGGGGAGAGCGGAGAGGTCACCGACTCGGGGTGTGTCAAGCAATACACGCACGCATACACATAAGTAGACTTTCACACAGACACACAGAGGAAATCGAGAGAACATCTGGATATGTGCCACCTGCCTAGAGGAAGTCATCTAGTTTACACGCGGTACAGGAGGGGGGTTTGTCCCTTCCTGGATGTGCAACCTTCATGCTAGCCTGAGCCTCTGGGATAGGATGGAGGACGATGTGGAGAGTGAAGAGCGTGCAAACCGAATGACACACTTTACAGGGATTAGGTGTTAAAGTAAACACGGGTTTCGTGAGTAAGGACAGGAAACGGGTGAGAAATACACACCGCCATCTCCTCTGCAGACCCCTATCATGTCACCACAGTTGCTTGTTTTACTCAGCTGCACGGCCCTGGTTGAGGGTGCAGGATGGATGCTTACTGAAGACGGCTTTGTGCATTTCAAACCAATTTTCAGGCATTAAAAAGAAACTTTATATTTTAACAGAAAACATCAAAAGAAGAAGAAAAAAAATTAATTGGCATCTGATTTTATTTCAGTTTTTCAAATTTTCATGCCTCCGTGAAAGAGAGAAAGAAAGAAGGAAACTGAAAAAGACAGAAGCCACAAAACTCTCTGCTAAGTATTGACCATCTGGCTCCAGCCCAAGCTAGCGTGCCACAAAACAATTGCATTCATTAGGTTAATTTATCATGGTGGTAAGCTCAATTTACTTTTGCTTGTGCGAGCGTGGCTCATTAAGATTCAGCCTGCCGTTTCCTCGGGGCCGTCTTGTGATCATTCACACAGGGTTAACGCATTTTGGGACCAGATAGGAAGCACTCCAGGGTTATCTGCCCGACCTAAACTGTTTAAATAAAGGCAGCAAAAGAAGAGGTGGAGAGAGGAATTATGGTGGCAAATGAGAGAATGAGGAAAAGATGAAGAGGTGGGGATGGGGTGGGTGGGGTGTCAATGAAGAATGCCGTTGAAGAGAAGAGGACAGAAAGAAAAGACTCGGCTAGGAGTTGACAGAATGGATGTTCCAGTGCAGGGCCGTGGTGGAAGAGGAGAAAGAGCGAAAGGGGAAGGGAGGCACGTGACTAAATGTATTCTGATAACTGAACAGCAGATGTCTCGCATGGAGCCCCTTTGTTGCCTGAACAGCAGGACCCTGCACTTCAGTGGGCTCACTTCACACCGCATTCATTTGCCTGCCAGCTGCCAATTTGGGGTAGAGAGAGTGAAAAAGAAGGAGAAAGAGAGAGAGAGAGCAAGAGAGAGGGGAGGGAGGCTCACACCAGTCCGTCCCTTCCCTCTCCTCCCCTCCCTCGGCATCTCTTGCAGAGAGGCTGCCATTCCGTTCCCTCTAACCCCCGGTGGCCTGTACAATTAGTGATCTGCATACCCACCCACACCTCCACGCAGTGCTCCGGCTGAGCAGAGGGGGAGCTGCCTTTGTCTTTTGGCTGCTGCACAATGACTCGCTTTAGACTTGGATGGAAGCCAGGAGCAGTGGCACAAAACTGCATGTTCTTGATTGATGATGAATACTCCCGGAGTCTTGTTTCCTCATACAGCTGATTTGGCAGGTCAGAGATGAAGTGCTGAAGCAACCGTCAGCTTCCCTGAGTTTTGTAAGTGCAAAATGGGTGAAGTTTTCTTAATTGGGAGCGGTAGTTATCCTCCAGGTACCTTCGCTCAATGGAAGTACACTCATTAAGCCCCACAAAGCCCACAGTTCATTAACACCCCAGTGAAAACAAATTCACACCCCTCTGCTAAGTGAAGCAGTCCGAGGTGTGATGGCATCAAGGTTTCAGCGTTGTGTACGGCGTTAGGTGAGACTCAAGTGATTGTAACCACACCTTCACAGCTCACCTGATGCTCTCATCTCACTTTGCAATGCACATAAATTGTCCTTCGAGAAGAAGAAAGAAAAGTGAACACATTTTTAGTTCACACAACTTTTTTCAAACTACCATTATGACTAGAGTGACCGTACGTCCTCTCTTACCTGGACATGTCCTTTTTTTGGGGGGCCTGTCCGAGCTTGTCCGGGGGAGTTTATAAATCCTTCAAATGTCCGGGTTGTGTATGGAAGTTTTGAGTTTTTGTCGCATGGACTAATTGAGTTACAAGTGCGTAAAAAACACTCGACCCAATCCGAAAAACTCTCAAAATTAACTAGGCGCGACTCTGTGACTCTGCCCTGCGTAGTTGTGTCCTCTTTTTGGGGATTCAGAATATGGTCACCCTTATAATGACCTCAGGTGCAGTTTAAAGTGCTTGCGTCTGCTTCATGTTAATATGAGCATGAGAAAGCTGCCACCCTGTTGGCACGAGTCCTGCTGCTGCCTGATCTGTAAGAAGGTGAGGCTCTTAGCAAAAGCAAAACTTCTCTAGGAGATTAGCCCCGGTCCCTCTAGCTGGCTCCTTTTTACTACTGGTGGACTACTCCAGATCTTTGTGGAAACCCCTAAGACGGGTCAACTACAGTGTTTACCTGAGAATTTTCTTCAGCTGCAGTGGTGTGTTGGGCGTCTTGCCGCCTCAGGGGCTACGCTGTTACATTCAAATTACGTTACCCACACTACTCACTATACAGACGGTGTATTAGCTCAAACGTTACCCTTCACATTAGTGGAAGAGGGTCCGACAGGATTTGATGCGCTCGTTGATGACTCAAAACAAGTCGAAAATAACGTTGTGTTGTTGTGCTCACACAGTGCGAGTACAAATCATTAGTGCCGCATTAATAATAATGCTACTAATGCTATTAATGCTACTCGCTATATAGACTGTTTAAGCTTGAATGTTATCTTTCATGTTGATAGAAGAGGGTCCGACAGGATTTGATGCGCTCCTTGATGACTCACAACGAGTTGGAAATAACGTTGTGTGTGTAGTTGTGTTCACGCAGTGCGAGTAGAATCATTAGTGGCGCATTGATATTAATGATCATGTGAAATTTCAGTAGCGGTGCACGTATTTTAGCAGCTGAATGAATGTAGGGGAAACGCTGCTGATACATATGAGTCCGAGGTATAACTATGTGAGATAAAAACTAATTTTTTTTAAGTGTGTGTGCCACGATCGATTTTGCATAGGGGAAACCCTGAACTAACTTCCTAACTGCTTTAACTTGTTCCCTCCTTCTTTAGTTTGTGTTAACGTCTCTACTGTCTGAGGAGGACACATCAAAACAAAGTAGCATGGACCAGCTAAAAGGACTAAATTGTGGCCAGTCAAGAGTACCCATGATAATTAAGTCATGCTAATGACCGCTTATGATCATTAAAAGTGGTCACACAAAGAAAGCAATCATATCACATCCATAAAACAGCAGAATTACAGCCTAATGTTTGTTTTTTATGGATCATAGTGTGTGTCACATAAAACCAGGAACTGCTTTAGTTCTTATGTGATATTCGGGATAAACTTCAGTCTTTACTTTTTTCAAAACTCCTTTGTCAGTGCATCCAGAACTTGATGAAGCTCTGCTCTGCTTGAATTTTTCCTGTCATGATGTAAATTGGAAAAGCTATTCAATGATGTGAATGCTTTGGAGGTTTGTAGGGATTACTAAACCCCATTATTAAGCCTTGTGTGCTGAATCATACGGGAGATAATACACATATTGATCGACGACCACCAGCACATCTAAATTGTGCTCTCTTGTTAAAGCACAAAAGGCAGCAGGAGCAGATCCCTCTCATCGCCTTCCCCGGTGTCAGTTCACAGGACGAGCATTATCCCCACTTCCTGAGTTAAAGAAGGGGGAGATGATAAAAACTTTTTGATTAAGGGAAGGGAATGTTCTATTTCATTCTGATTCGGGAAGCAGCAGAAAGAGGGGAGGATTAATCTTAAGGCCGTCGTTTTACTGCCTATCCCCACTCCTGTCTCCGAGCTGAAGAAGCACGAGTGAATAATGGGGTGTCCATCAGCCGTGGGCTCAAGCCCAGATTGGGATTTTCTCTGGGGATAATACAAAGCAAGGCGACAATTGATGATTCATAATGTACAGTTTTAGCCTGGCGATAGCGCCAGCTATTGTGCCGGTGTTGGCATTAGTATTACAGTTTTTTCCAGTGCGGGGTTCTCTTCTGACAGCAATCTTTTCACTGTGTTCTTCTGCTGAGGATGGGAGAATCTTAAGTTTATAAATATGGATACGGAAATCATATATTCTGTAATTCAGATCTGTGACAAATTGCACTCTTAAGTCTACTGAAGTAACATCCACATTTAGTCAGATGTGCACAATATTTAAGAACCCTTTGAAAGGAGGGGAGGATCCGGCTATGGTGAGGAATAATGGCGCCTTGTTGCGTTCACTTACTTCTCTGCCTCATTTTGTGCACAGCAGCTTTTACACTGAACCGAGAACAATCCTACTAACAAAGTTGTCTGGCTCTCCAGTCATGTGAGCAGCACCTGTCGTGTCACAGAGTGGAGGCAGAGGCGGCGCTGGGGATCCATGGAGGGGACGCTATCCATCAGTGGTTCCATTTGATATTTAATTTAGACTTTTATGAGCCTTAGAGGATGGGCCGTGTCATTTTTCTCTCCCCGGCTCTCTCTCTCTATAGGGATTGAGGATAAATTCCTTCCATCCGTGCAGCAGCCTAACCAAGGCTCTCTCAGATTTATAACTGTGTGTGATAGCAGTGATGCTGGTACTGGACGATGACTGGCTCACATATGGGACAAAGCCCGTGAGTCTCTGTCCGGGTCAAAGCTGCTCTTTACTTGCTCAAACTTGGATAAAAGTTAAAGACGCAGTGATTGGCTTTAGATTTTAGGAGTACCAATAAAATTGACTACGAAGCTTAATACACTGGCATGATGTTAGTAAGTAAGAGATGGACTGATGGTGTCGTATTTTGTGTTTTAGCAGGAATAATATTCTCATTGAAAGGCAACAGAACAGAATCAATTAATTTTGCATCAATCAACAGAGTGTGATATTATGCATACATGTTTTTTATATCCATGAGTTATGGACGGGGTAAAATGGGCAATATTCTGAGAGGGTAATTTTAAGGAGCAGGAACGAGTTTTATAAACTAATCCTCTCCTAATGGTGTGTTTGAACGTAATTTATAGCTTCATTCATTACCCCTTTTGTATCAGTAATTATTTCTAAAATACCAAAGAGCCATCTTTTCTTTCCTGGATCTTCTCAGGCTCTGATTTATCACCCCGGCTCTGGCCTGACGCTGTCTTCCCAAGGTGTGACATTTCAAAATATTTATAGCTCTGGCACATTAAAGGCCTTCCTTTGAAGGTGACCGACCGCTCTTCCACACCAGTGTAATTAATGGAATCTCGGCTTGTTCGCCTTGTGTTTTTTATCCACTGGATCCTGCTGGAACCCTATATGGAAAAAAAAAAACACTGAGGTGTTGGCTTTGCTACCTCATAAACATGGCTTTTATTCATGTCAGTCTCAGAATGCTTGCACAGGGGGTAACAAGGAGACCATTTCCCGTCAGAGCCCCAAAAGTTAAATATTTTATTGATTAGATCTAAACCCTCTGTCCAAAGTGGCAATTAAAATTCAATTAAAGTGAGTGAAAGCATCATATTAAATTTCATCTCTTTATGAGCTCCGTGATAATGCTGGAGGACAAGGCTTGAATATAATCACACCCTTTTTAGATCATATTATCCTCTTCATTCACTATAAAAGTGACACTTTAAGGTATACTTTCAATATTTCTTAACTGTATTGCTCTAATGAACACATTTTATAGCGATTACACTTACCAGTATTAGGCGTTATAAAAAGAAGATGGCCTCTCTTGGTGTGGGATTCTACATAAGAGCAAAATTTTATTTTTTTCCACATAGATGAATGAAATTTTTAGAAAACGGCAAAAATACTTATGGATCCATGTAGCGTATTTACCTCTGTAACTCACATTGACATTCACACAATAATGATAAAAATTTGTGGTGGGTAACCAAAGAGAAAGGCTCTAGTTTGACATTTTCTACATGTGTCAGTGTAATACTTATTACTGCTAATGAAGGTTTACCAAAGCAATGACAAATAAAACACATTAAAAATACAAGCAGATCTGCTGAATGTTGGCACAGTACTCTTGAAGAATTATGGTAATGTTTTGTTAATGTGTGAACACAACTTCCATAACAAAATTAGGAAATTATGATAAAGTTAAAAAAGGGGGTGTTCTGATACAATTTTTTCACTTCCGGTACGATACTGATATTTTATCCTTCAGTATTGGCCGATACAGATATTGATTCTATATTGGCACAAACTTGTGCATGACAAGTTTTTCACTCAGCTGCAACCCACTGAGCATTTTTTGTTCTAAAAGAGGTCTAATAGACGTCTAAATGTAGCCGAGATGACTGGTCTAAAATCAGACTACCACAGGTTTAAAAATGAAAGTTTTTTAGACGTCTAAATTTAGACCAAGCTTAGACCAAATCTAAATCTGGGCTATATCTATACTACACTGTATATTCCTCAATAGCTATCATAATTATTTTGGTTAAGTACTTGGAGATCAGTTACGTAACTCACGGTTGCTTTTTGAGCTAAATAGTTATCGAATAATGGGTTAAAGTGCAACATCTAAATTCCTAAAAAACTAGACGTCTAATAGTCATCTATTGCTCAGTAGGAACCTTTCTTTCATAGATAGAGGTGCTGGAGCAGAGTCTGGAATGGACTGCTTGTATCAAAGTGCTGATGTTGGAAATTTCAGGTGCAGGCCGATATAATCTGATATTTGTTTTTGTTTTTTTGCTGTTATCGGACCGATACTTAATGTCAATATCGGATTGGGTTAACCCTTGTTAAAACACAATAAAGGCTATGGTGATGGGGGTGAAATCAGAAATAGTCAGTGATGAAGCTTTATCCACTGGCAAACACGAATGTCTTCACCAATGGAAAGAAAGATGTTGGGATATTCTCAAAAGTACATGAAAACCTTGACTGTTGGAGCACTTTTCTGAGCACCACAGCAGCTCACACTGATCCAACCAAAATAAGTAAAAAAGTCTACTGCCACTTTCATGTCTCAATACCAGAAAAAAAATCACATATTTCCTCTTTGTTGATCAAAATTGTGTTGGAAATCATGTCACTAAATCATTGTCTCAGTTTTTTTTTATTATTATTAAATGTCAAAGGTCAGCAGTAAGCCACAGCAAGGTTATTCATCCTGCAGCATCCAGCAGTGGTAAGCAGTCTATTTAGATGTACACAGGGCGCAGTGTGGGAGACTGAGAGAGGCTGTTATTACTGAGTGCCTCTCTGTTTCCCTGAGACTGTTTGCTCTGTGTGATTATTCTCTCCAGCTCCCTGAGCATCGCGGCTCCTGCCTCTGTGATAAAGATATTCATTTACCTGATATGAAAATCTTGTTCGCGCTGATCCCAAATGACTCCAGATAGTGTGGGGAAGAAAACGGTGGGGTTTTCAGAGGTGAGAGGATGGAAGTGCCGGAAAGAATGACATAAGATACTAACTTGATGATGTGACACTCAAAGCTAGCATGATAACAAAATACAGCTCAGGATATTTTACGATAGGCTCTTAAAAACTATAGCAAAGGAGTGCAGGTTAGTGAAAGTAAAGGGTGCACTTTTTAACGGGTTACGGTGGTGGTTCTGGGGAAACAAGGGATGCACATGAGCCGCTTTATGTTTGTGTGTGTGGGCGCGAGCTTATGTTGAAGGTGTGAGTGTTTGTTGCCCTGATTTTTGTGAGTGTATTGTCAAGGAGTACACATCCTCCCCTTTGTGCTAATGATGAGCTTCATTTCATTTTAACTGCTTCTGAATGAGGAGGCTTTGCATGCAGTGCTGGCATCCATCCACTAACTCTTCTACAGATATGAAGCAAAGACAGAGAGAGAGAGGGAGGGATATTATGAGGGGGAGAAAAAAGGAAACGTGTCCTCTCAAATGCATCCTTATGGTTAAAAGGGTAAAATGAGATGCAGGGGTGTGATTGTCACTCCCCCTCATCTCACATTTTCTTCTATTGCTTTATTTTGTTTGAGTATATGGCTCACCCATCTCAGGTTTTATTGTCTCTATCTCTTGGAGCGCCGCGTACCCGTATAACACGTTCGCCATGCGCGGCACATCAGGCAAGTTCTTGATTCTGTACTCAGTAATTTAAAGCCTTTATGGAATTGCAATTTCAGGGCTCAGTGCTTGTTTTTCTAAAATGTACTCAAGGAATTAGCTACTCCAGCCACAAATCAGTAGAATTTATGCACAGTTGTAATACACTTTATGGGCTCATGGTACATTGCTTCAAAAACAGCAGATGTGAAATTATGATAAATATAATGAGGGTTTTTTTTTCCTTCCTCCTCACTCTGTCCCTCACCCTCCTCCGCTCTCTCTCCCTCTCATTCAGCTGTGAGAGAGAGGGATGTGAAGCGTGTTTACTTACCCCATACAATACATTTAATGTCTTAGTAAGGGCCGCCAACAAAACCTGATTAATGTCCTCATCTCTTTTATTAAAGATAAGAGTGGCACTGCAGTCAGGAGATAGAGAGAGTGCCATAAATCTCCGGCAAAATGAGCAGTCAAATAATCACTCATCAGAAATGAAATCTACATACATTAACACTCGCCGACATTCTGCTGAGAATATAAACACAGGGCTACAGGCGATGAAGCCGGCTCCATTTATCCACATATTCCCAGCTAGGGGGGGGGGTAAAGGTGTCTGAAGCTGGTGATGATGTCTAAGGGAGTCCTTTCCTGCTTAGCCACAGTCCACCAGACTAACCATGTGTCTGAGAAGCAGACGCACAACCATTAGGGCAATGGATGAGTTAGATGGCGGAGGCAATTAAGCATCGCCCCGAATAGGACATAATGTTGATCCATCCCTACGATTAATCACGGCATGCATTAGACAGTGATGGGCGACCCTGTGCCTTTGTGACAAAATGATTCTTCATCCCCTGTTTGGGGATTGGGATCCCGAGGTCCCTAATGCTCCTTAGAGGCGCCCCAATGAAACCCTGTCATTTATTCTGCTTCTGTCCCTGACAGCTATCAACCTGTCTTCTGCCAGCCAAGAACATTATCTGAACTCCCAGAGCGCTTAGCGGCGTGGACGAGGCCTATGAGCGGTGGTAGCAGACAGGCAGAAATGTAAAGCCTTGATAATGCTGCCTTTTCTTTTGTAGTATCACACTATCAGGTCAGCTAGCCTTCATATATAGACTCAGACTCTATTTACAGGGAACTGAAATCTAGTGCAGTGTCATGCATGTGCACTGCATTAAACCCCACCTGCACAGGTTTAGGATGTAATGTTTGGTGCTGTTGAATTACAACAGCCTGGACCCCAACAAACTAGATTTATCGTTTTTAAGACAAATCAACTTATTACTGTCATGATATGTCCTAGTGCTGGGCGATAGGACGATAGATATCGTGGGCATGATAGAAAATGTCTATCGTGCCATTTTTATTTTTATCGTTTCGGGCGATAGGCTGTATTTTATCCATAGGGCTTGTGCCATCAGATGATTCATAGTAACAACAACAATAATTGCACATTCAGTAAGTGTATTTGGTGTCAAACGGAAAAGAAAACAATATTTTCTTACAAAGAAAAGGATGCGTTGACATGTAGGCTCGCATTTCTCTTTCGATTTTGCGACATGACGCCGCTTTACGTGCCCTCTTCGTGACCAGCGTCTCCCGCCGTTGCGGGTTACCTGGGTTACACACATGAGGGGAGCACACATAAGCAGTGCTTAATTTGTGCCGGAGCAAGTCGGAGCGCGCTCCGGGACCTCTTTTGATCGGATCCGGGACCTATTTCAGCCGTTCCGGCACCTGTTTCATCTGCTCCGGGACCTTCCCTGTAGAGGATGACATTTTTCGGGAATTCCCGTGGGTCACGTGATTCCCGCGGGAATCCCACGGGATGGGAGTCATTTTTTAATTAATTCCTTGATCGGGACGGGACGGGAAAACAAAGCAACGGGAGTGGGCAGGAGCGGGAACAACATGAAAAGATGATCATTTTCAGCCGTGTTTAACAACCAGATGAACAGGTGCGTCCATTTTTGTAGTCATCTCTCAGTGAGAGCCAACACTCTTGACCGCGCTAGCAACACAAAAGAACTACAACAGTGGTTTGACTTCCTGTCAGCTGGGAGCGCGGCTGCGCATTTCTACCCTTGAAGCCAGCAGCGAGGAAACGTGATTTTGTGACATTCTGTAGTTTTTCAATCATTTCTGGAGTCGTGGCGAATCAAATCACCTTACCTGTCTGCCCCTGATAGGCGAATAAAGCGCTCGGATTCATGCTCGGGTCTTGCTACGTGCTTCAAGAGTAAAGTAAACAATGATGGAGGCAGAGAGCAGCTTTGAAGGAGAAATATCTAGCAGTGTGAACAACCTCTTCAGAAGAGCCCTAAAGACCTACCTTTTTAATAAAGCCTTTGGTTAGTTTTCCTCTATGCTTTTACTACCTTGCCTCTTACACTGCAACTCTATATTCTTTATTTTTTTTATTCTTTTATGCTTTTTTTATGCCAATCTGTGACTGTCATTCTATTGCTTTTTTATCGTTGCTGCTCTTTTTTTACTGTGTACTGTAGCACTTAAAGATTTTTTGTAAATGTAAAGTGCATTACAAATTAAATTTATTATTATTATTATTATTATGGAGTGCTTTGGCTCACACTATTGGCGTTTTCTGTGAGTGTTGCATAACTTTGGGTGAGCACAGACATGAACACACTTCAGTCACATATTTATTTATTTATTCATTTTTCTAGTTTTAAGTGCTGGTCTTGTACTGGCACTATACTAGTGCAGCTGTATACACTTAAATTTTTCGTAGAACTGAAAGCATACCATAACTATATCGTGATATATATCGTTATCGTGATATAAAATGATCCATATCGTGATACACATTTTTTTCCATATCGCCCAGCACTAATATGTCCTGTTCATTTTTCCTTCGTTTTGTTATTTGAGTGTATTTTTTCTTTGTTTTTTTTCCCTAGTGTTTCTGTTCCCAATTGTTCTTGTGATCCAGACTTTCGTTAATCAGTTAACGAGTTACACCTGTGTCACGTTAGCCTCACCTGTTGCTCGTTATCGTCCCTGTCTTCCCCTCTGTCCTTGTTGGTTCACTGTATGTCGATTTGTGCGCATGTCTGCCTGTTCCCTGTGATCTTTGATTCCCTACTCTCTTGGTGGTTTTTTGCCAGTGTCTGTAGTTGGATTTTGCTTTTTGGAATTTTTTGAAGAAAGATTTTTGGTGTTTTTTCATTTAGTTCCATTTTAATGTATATATTTTTTGTCTGCATTTGGATCCTTTCCCTGTTCAACTCTGCCACGTGACAATCCCCTGTCTATTAAATGACACTAAGTTTACTTATCAAATTCCTGTGGGAGACAAGTTAAAATCTTCCTTTTGTGTAACCAGCACTTCAAACCCCCTAAATCCGTAGTTACTTACCATATCCAAATGCTTATGACCGGGCTCTCAAATGTGGACATTAACAAAGTAACTCATAAAATTCATGGTTATACAGCTTTCAAAAGCCTCCCAGTATATTTAGAACTTATATTTGTTTTTAGAGGAAGCATTAGACAGCTAATTTGTTATAATTAATCTCTAACTAAACATTTCCCTCAGAGGTAATATTCAACATGGTGAACAGGACTTCTGCACAAATATTTGAGTTGATGTTTTATCCTCATCCCCATCTCGGAGTTTTGCAATTGCCACGCTTTTAAACATAAGTGAGTCGCAAACACTGTTGCCTGAATTGCAGGGTAGAACTGTTGATGCTTTCTTTAACACCTGTGCCCATTAACTATCAGTATGTCCTGTCATAGCAGACCAACCTTTGACAGACGGTGAGATTTTTGCCATGCAATGGGGAAAAATGCAGAACTCCTTTTCGAGGATTAATTTGAAATCACATGAGTGTACTTTTCAGACTTTGGTCTTGCTGTTGAAATTTAGACTACATTTACACTTGCCTGGCTATTTTCACAAACTGACATTTAACCTTCTCTGTTTACAAAAAAATCTGCGTGCACACCACGAGGTTTTCGGAAAAGTTTTCGTTTGATAGCATGTATATATGCTATCAAGATCATATCAAACATGTAGGTGGCAGTGTAGCGAGACGCTCAAGCCCACATTAGCCAATCAGAATTCTGCATAGCATCAAAAACAACGTGCCTTCCTTCTTTTCTGCACACAATCTGCCATTGGCTACCTTAAATCTCAGTTTTCCTCTGTTTTTCCCTGTTTACAAATAACTTTAAAAATAACTGGGTAGGTATCAACAGGGCCTAGATCACTGTTGTTGTAGGGTTGTAGCCAATCAGGATAAAGTGTATATCAGCCTGATAATAAGCACAGCTAAGGTTGTTTATCTTTCATTATTCATGACTAAATGTCATTTGTTTTCTGTTAACTGTTTTGTTTCTTAGGGCATCCATACTCTGACCATTTTCTATAATTTAAAACTGGACTGCCCCCATTAATTCTGGTCATAATGTGATTATTTTAAATCAAATATCCAGCTGTTCTGCTCAGTAGTCGTCTTCCCCTTTGTATTAGTCCTCTGTCTGTATGGACACTCATTTACCTGTATTGCAGGATCATGAGGATGTCATTACCTCCATCATTGAGCTCAGGCATCTGAGAGCCTGTTAACCTGGAAACAGGCCTGGCTGGCTTTGCAGCTTGGTGCTGATAGTACAATATGCTCCTTGTTATTCTAGGATCATTGGCGCTGAAGCCCTGGCAATCAAGTCAGTTTTGTTGAAGCTCATTGGCTCAGCAGGGTCTCATCTCATCTGCTTGGAATGAGGAGAGGAGTGTTCGGGTTAGTTGGGTCGTTAGGTAGAAATTCTTTGATAATGGTGCATGTTACATTAGAGCCTTACAAACCAAGGAGAAGTGTTTCAGAGTCTGTGTAATGTCACTTTACAGAATGGTTATGGTGGATAAGAAATTCTCTTGGGGTGTGAAGTATAGAGATGAATAGTTCCTTATTAAACCAGGCCCATCAGATGCTACATGACCAAGACACACCAGTTACAAAGTGAACACATTCACACATATCTGAGGGTTTTATTGCACTTAAAATGTGGCTAATTAAGTCTTTAATCACAGAGTAAGTTAAATTCCTGGATTATTTGAACTTAATTGTTAATAGATAATACATTTGTTATGTCAGCAGTAACATTAGCCAGATGAAATGTAAATGAATGTGATGAAATGAGTGTCAGCTGTGGCCAGAGGTGACCAGAAGCATAGATATACATTTGTACCACAAAACAGGCCTTATCATCGTCTGACAGCGTTGCTACCAGAAAAATAAGACCTGTAAGAGAGTTCCCCCACTTTACAGACTTAAGATAAATTTAGATGACCTTTATCATTCTAGTCAGGTCTGAAACCTGATTTTTTGGAACTTTTTCACAACCCAGAATTCTTAAGTAAAGCGAGAAAAGTGAGAAAACCGCCAGAGAAATCAAACTGAACATGACTTATTTACCACTGCCAAACACTAATGGGATTAGTGAAAAGGTTGCGAACAGGCGAGTTCACCTGACCACTTTCCTTGTGCCAGTTTGCAAGTGCTATTCAAGACTCAAGTTATTTCATTCATTCATTACTACTGCGCTGTCTCCCAGTTGACCTACCACGTCATGTGCCAAATATTTGACAAGTGCATTGGCAAAGAGCTAAGGTTTCATAATACGACATTACTTTTAAGGCTCTGAATCATTTGAATGGTGTTTTTAACATCCTTTTTTCTTCTTCTTTTAAGGTTTTGGTTCCTACCTGGCGTCTCTAGCAACACATTTCATCTTCTGGGGCAACATCAAGCAAGCAAACTCTGCAGCGTGAGCCAGTTTCAGTCCCACTGAGCTGTAGACATGGAAGAGAAAATCTGCATTATCCAGGTATGTAAGTCTTAGCCCACTATGGGAAACGTGACTTGGTGTGATTTCAGTCAGACCAATTTAAAGTACACTTTATTGAGTTTTAATTTTTTTGCAAGACCAAACTGAAAAAAAAAAACAGTAAAAAGAAAAAAAAAGGGGAAAAAAGGAAAAATCAAGATACAGTCTTATGACATTAAAACATAGAAGTAGAAACAATAAAATAAGAATATGAACATAAGTCCGAAACAGGTCAAATTAGTCCATAATTACACTTACTTTTAATGTCTAGTTTTGAACAGCACATACATATGAGCGTGACCTGTATTTGAGGCTTACAAAATCAATAATCAGACTGGCTAATGTTTGATTGTTTTGTCAACCACACATGCACATTTCTGCCGTAAATTAGTCACACTGTGTCTTTAACTTTTAGCTGTTAGCTGCATGCATAACACAAGATCAGGCTCAGTGATTGGGCTTGTATGTTGTAGTTAATGTCACACCTTTTTGTGTCATTTGTGTTGCAGCAAACTAGCACAAAATTGTCAAGTAGCTTAGTTCTGTCTCATAACAGTGTTAACATTATACTATATGGTACAGTTTAAGGAAATGTGCAGTAAGGATGTAATTCTAGCACCATGATCATGTTCACTATAGAGTTGTGGTGAACCCTTCCCCAGTTCCCTCCAGTTTCTCCCTCTCCCTGTGGGATGTCAGCATCTCAGAGGGAGAGGGGGCATCTTTGAGGAGGTGGCATCACACAGCTGCCATAGCCCGGCAAAGCTCCTCGAGGAAAGACATGTTGTCAGTGCGCATTAATCATCTGCCCCACCATCGGAAACAGATTCCCCTCATAAGCAATTTCGCTCATTAGAGTTACGCTGCTGATTTGCTGATTGGAGTTACGCTGAGGCTACTACAGCGTGAGGAAGGGAGGAGGGAGCAGAGAGAGAGACAGGGAGAGAGAGAGAGGGAGTGAGGGTCTGACACGTTTACAGTGATGTGAAAGCTGAGATGTTGATTAATGTGCATCGTCCCTGTCACATAAACCGAATAAATAAATATCAAACAAAAGCAGAGGGAGAGGCTCATTTACAGACCAGGAAATGAAAGTTCCATTTAGTTAGAGAGTGAGACCGTCTGGAAAGACAATCTGCAGACACAACTGTAAACAAGAAATCACCACGGCGTAAGTCAAGGCCGCACGCACGCACGCACACACGCACGCACACACACACACACACACACACACACACACACACACACACACACACACACACACACACACGAAATATGCTGCTGTTTCAGACATTCCTTTAAGTGACTCAGTTAATTCTTGAGGCGTAGACAAAACATTAAACCTCACTGCCCTGCCAGCTCGCCTCAAGTCCACCGCTGTTATGAGTGGCCTTCCTGGTTTGAATGACACCTCACAACCGGCACTTAAAAATCCCCCGAGCTGTTTCAAAACTCACAATTCAAGCAAATATTTTTATTTTTTTTAACTTTATTTTTCTTCAATTGATTCATGCCGACGACAGAATCTCCCACAAGATCCGCAGCCCATCCCCATTCATGTCATATTTCGGATGATCTGTTTATATTGATCTTCATATCCTATTCTCAAACACCCTTGTTTACATAAATAAACAATATTCTGTTTGCTGCCATGGAAACAGGGTTTACACAGGCTGCGAAATCACCATTTAATGGAGTAAGATGTTTACATGAGTGAGGATGCGGGCTAATAATGGCATATCTCAGCTGTCACACTCTGCTCTCTCATAATAGGAGTATGTGTTTGTAATAGCAGCTGTGAAATGGGGGTTTATAAGCAAAAACTGTTTATTGTAACACCATGTTTAAGAAGTGGTTTTAACATACTATAATGGAGGATGCTCCTTTGATAGCAGATCACGTGGAAAATTCAATATAAGTTGTTTATGAGTTCACTTTGTTATATTTTTTGTACACTCTGCAAGTAGACATTCGACCACAGAGTAACAGTGCCAGCTCTGTTTGTGTAATGTGTTATTAGATTGTTTTGGTTTGATCCTATACATACCAGCTGGGTCCCTGTGAGACCCCACCCACTCCCCCCTCTCACCACCACCAGTCATTAGATCATTCCTCTGTTTTCAGGAGCAGCAAACATCCGAGGCCGCTGTGAACTTTTCCTGTGGAGTGGAGCCAACAACCACATGACTTAATAAATGGTGACAAACACGAGCCAGCACTCCCCATCAGCGATATTACATGTTACTATAGAAACACAGAGCGGGATCAACCAAATAAATGGCCACTTCTGTTTCTGTGTCTTTACATGTGTGCTTTACGTGTTTGTGCTCTCGTCATCTGTCACACACTAGCATCATTTCTCCACTTTGATCATTTCGGGGATGGGATTCTTCTCCGATTGTGTCCAGAAACACAGCGTGCGCTAATTAGCCTTTTTTTTTTGTCAGGTGAATGATGGCTACAGTAACAACCCTCTGTCATTTTCTTCAAGAGAAAATGCACTTGTGCAGAAATTCCTCCGTCTGCTTCTCTCAGCCCTCTTTTATTATTTTTTTTTCCTCCTCTCCTTGGTTTTGCAGATTCCTCGGCAGCCCGGGAGAAGTCGTTTTACAGTTCAATCAGGAATTCTAATAAACTGACCTGTGCTTTAATGACTAATTCATTGTCTCCTTTACTACCTTCATGGGTATAAAGCGGATTAATGACTCTAGCAAGGTTAAAAACAGTACCACTGTGCTTTTCCTCCGTCTATTATCAATCATCCTTTAGATTCTTGGGAGAGCAACGGAAATTGAAGGAAAATTAGTAATCCTTTTGATGGATGATAGCATAGGTAGGAGTGTATGCGTAAGTGGGGCTATAGCATTAAATGGAAATCGCCTGATAAGAAGCATCACATGGGGAGCTTGCGTCCAAAGACACGGCAGGTATATGGAACAAACTATAATGCTGTATGACAGGATTTTTTAATTCTGTAACAACAAAGCCACTTCAGTTTAAGACAGCCAGAGTGAGGTGGAAAGAAGTCGTATTCTTGATGATCCTCTCCACAGTGGACTCATAGATACCTGTTATCAAACAGCCCAGAGACATAATCTTATAAATGGCGCAGCACAGTGTTTTACAGTGAGTTACTTTTACAGCGGGAGCTTTAAGGAAAAAACTCTGCTGCAGTTTGGAGAACAGAGGTTACAAATTTCACCAGAGTTGTTAAACTTCTTTGACAGTTTCTTTACTTTTCCCTCACACTGTACTTTCTTTCTTGTTGTGCAGAAATCCCATGGAAGAGGAGAGAAATACAGAAAAACACAAAAATAAAAGGAGGAGGCAAAGGGGAGCAGCGAGGAAGAGGGAAGAGATCGGGTAAGGGGCTGCGTCTCTTTGTTTACCATTCCATATTCCCATCATATGTTTGGCACGCCTCTGCTGAATCTCTGGGCTCATCCCGTTCTTGGCCCAGTCATTTCTGACAATGTTAATGATTTAGCGGAGAGCCCTCCACATCGGGATGATTTGTGACATGTAGGAAGGCTCGGGAAACGGGGGAGGACGAGGCAGGTTTCTGTGGGGAGTGTTTGGGATCTAGGGATGCCTTGAAGATGGTGATTCATTATATTTAAGACAAGTGTGACATCCTACATCAAGGCAGCAGCACACACATGTATAGAGGGGAGGATTTTTTTTTTTTTTCGGGTGGCCAAAGTGGGGAGGGGGTAGGTAAGTACAAAGGAATGCCTCAGTGTTTTTTGAGATGACATAGGAATAGGAGGCAGGCATATGGAGACGGCAGACTGGAAAATAATGGGTAATGGAGGAATTTAGCCTGAGGCTATATGCCTGCTTTGCCTACTTCTGTATAACTAGTATATTTATAATTCAAATACATACCTTTAATAATTAACAACCAGTGAATATTAAAGGAGAATGCAGGATATCTTTCCGCAGATGGAGTCAGGTGAAAAATAGTGCGAAATTTCAAATTTGACAACAACAGAACAAAGGGGGGGAAGTGTAAAAAACAGAAAGTTGGCTGCCATTTTGAACAAGTCCTCGTCTTTCACTCAGGATAGAAACAAAAAAGTCGTCTTAAGTTAGTATGATGCATAGTTTGAACACATTTGAGTGTCTGTAAAACAGTAACGTGTCGTTTGCGTTGCCATTAAGACATTTCATCACTCCATGCTCATCATTTCTTGGTTTTCTGTTTTAACAAGTCAGTTAAGGGGCCACTCCCTGGAAACACGATCTTACCGTTACGAAAGCAAACATCTTAGAGATTTTCTTCAAGTGTCACATCAGGTATTTGATTGCTGTCTGGAGCCTTTGTTAACTTTTGTGTCGCTCCAGACGTCAACAGAACAACCAGCAGGATTGGTCAAGTGTTGACGCCCTTTTGTCTGCGCCGTGACACAAACACACATCATAGAGTATGACATGTCATGTGATTCTCATTATACCCACCCTACTCTACTTCAAATGATGTAATTTAAGACACATTTAGGCTGCAGCGATCCTGCGAACAAATGCAGTGAAATTCAGTGTACTTATGCAGCGCTGAGTGTGCCTTTTTAAAATAAAACCTCCCAAAGGACGGTGTGTTTTGTCGTCTGTGCACAAGTGGCACAGAAAAGCTCTCGTACACTGTGTCAACCCAAGTTATGCAAACACCGGAGTTCAACAAAAACCAACACATTTGCATATTGTGGATGTTGAAATGTGTGCCGCTTTTTTTTTTCGCAGGCCTCATTTCTGTCTCTGGGCTTTGATGTGGCTCATACATATTGACGACATGCCAAAGAAACCGACCACGTTAACGAAAGGATGAGCTCAATTTGTTCATCCCCCTTTAAAAAAAAAAATACTGCAGTAGTTTGTTCCATTTATTTTTCCTGGGTTAATTAGCAAGTGAGAGATTGGACAATTAGCTCACCCATGCTAATTGATTAGAATATTACAACTTGGTGATGATGGGATGAACACAGACTCCTCGTTCCATATTCCTCTCAGGGATTTTGTAATATATACAATGCTTCTGTGTAATGAGGGCTTTAAAAGACCGAATCAGCTGGGGAAATTGTTAATTCAATTCCACTCAGATGGTGCGGAGTTTTTTAGGGGCACAGATGAATGGGATTGAACTGCGGGGATCTTATAGACTGGCAGTGTCCTTTTTGATTTTGATTCATGTCGACACAGATGATGTGGATCACTGGTTTGTTTCTGTCAGGGCACAATATAGGATGTGAACTCCTAAAGACCTGATCGTATGTAGGTCATTTTTTTTATTGTTCATAATTGTAAGCCTGTTCTGTTTATATCTGCAACTTTCAGAAGTGCATACAGCCTCGTAAAAAGACTTCCATTGGAAACAGAAGGAAATGTGTTTCTGTCTTTAGACATCAGCTAAACACTGTCAGTGGTTTAATTATACCTCAGGTATACACTGCTCCTCCTTTGATCTGACTTTACAGTCATCTGAGATCATTTCTACTTTCTTTTTTTAGGTGTAAACCTCAAGCATGGACCTCAAAAAGCATCTCCCCGGTGCAGAGCTGCAGGTATGATATTAACCTGAAAAGTTCCACTAGAACCGCTTAAACTTTTCATTTATTTTGGAAAAGGAAAATCATCTTCTTGTACTTTCACAGTGCAAACCACCGCTTCTGATACTAGTCTGGTGGAGAAAGGGACGCTTGAACTTGCCTTTCAGCTCGTATTTTAATTATGTATATCCAATGTCAGAATTTTCACCCTTATTCATTGGAAGTCGTCTTTTTTGAGCACATCCTTACTTTTTTTCCTCAGCCTCAAAACGAGATCCATTTCATGAAAAATGCCTCCTTTCACCTCAGAAGTGTTCCTCCTCAGGTGCAGCAAATAAAAAATAAGATTCATACGTTAAATGCTGAAGTATTACACTTCTGTAGTGTGCTTAATAATTAATAGCCCATCCCATCTCCCTATGAATATTTACACGCAAAAGTGTCCCTGGGAGCCCTCCATGCGCCAGAGGGAGGGAAGTCTGTGTGTTTATTGCATTAAACACTCAAACATCGTCGTCGACCCTATTTCGCCTCCAACCACGAAAAAAGAAACACTCACTGAAGCATTGTGAGCATTTTATTTGTTGTTGCACAATGTAACCCATTCAACTTCCATTTAGACGTGGCAAGTCAAATTACAGGTACTCTCTGTGTGCTCCCGCTGAAATCCCAGGACGCCACTTGTCTCGCTTGGAACGCGAAGGGGAGCAGAAATGAGGTTTCTCTGCTGTTGTTTCCAGAGTGGTGACATTGTTCATCCAGATCACCTTCCACTTACTGTGTCAAAGTGTCAAAGGTCTTTGTTGGTTAGCTTTGCGGGAAATCGAGGTGTCGTTGCACCGGTGGAGAAATAATTTAGTTTATTGGAGAATGCTGTAAAAAAAAAATGCATAAAAGGAACAGGCTGCATGCCGGCCTTTAAAGTTTTACTCCAATCTGCGCAACTTCCCGCAAGAGTAAAATATATTACTGCAAATTAAAGTGATTGCTGCAGTTATCAGGGCTAATTAGGCCGAGAACTTTGGACTTGAGCAACGCCAGACATTAATGTGCTATCACTTCTAATCTCAACTCCTCCCTACCCCTCCCTTTGTATCAGATCAGAAAAATATACACTGTAAAAAGAAGAAGTCGTGCTCACTTCAAATCGAATGTTAGTTTAGGCAGAGGTTGGTGTAAATGTTAAGTTTTTGTGTTTGTCATTTCGATGAATGTTAAGATTTGCAACCTACAAATGAATCATTAAACTGAACTGAAGCAAATGAGTTGCTGCATCTAGTTTACATCCAGGTTAGTGAAAAAGAGACACTAAAAAAACTAAATCAGGTCTATAAAAGAGTTTTATCAACTTATAGAAAACAAAACAGCCTAGACACCACCTTTTTAAAAAAATCCAGCTATGTACATACACGTTTTTTTCTTCTTAGGTTTCAAATAAATGCAAGATTGCACGAGCACTCTGCTTGTGACAGCTCAGGATTCATGAGTCCTCGACCTTTGACCTCTGAGGGAGACACAGCAGGACGCACATGAGGAAGATCTGGGAATACATCAGAACCCTTCCATGTTCGAGCCCGCACTGAATCTGCTTTTAAAAGGGACAAGCGAGCTAATGACGGCCAAGTAGGAGATGTTATACAAATAAATCCGTGTTCCTGGTGAACTTGGGCATGTTTCGCTTCCACTGGTGATATTTATCTATCCAGGCGAAGAAGCAGAAAGGCTGAGTGTTGTTGCTGCCTCGCTGCAGGTCCCCCCCCCGAGCTCTCAGATCTCCTCTCTTGTCTCCTGTGTGGATAAGTAGTGGCTGCAAAGGCATCGCTGCTCTTTGATATTTCACTCCTCATTTGAATCAGTGGCCGCTTTTATTTGACAATGCCGGGTAATTACCTGGGTACCGTGCTTGATCATGTGAACTCCTGCAGAACCAGAGTTGAGTGCGGGGAGTGCAGAAGACGGGGAAAGTAGGGGAGAAAGGAGAGGGATGGAAAGGAGATGGAAATAAAAAAAAAAAACAGGAATAAAAGAAGTAAACAAAGCATCCACATTTGTTTACCTGCATTGCTTTCTGCTAGCGTTTCAGTAAAACCCTCAGCGGGTTGCCTTTGCAAAAAAAAAAAAAAAAAGTGTTTTTTTTCCCCTTTCTTTCTCGCTGAGTAGGGAGGAAGCGAGAGGTCGGACACCGAGGGAAGATAAACTAAGTGAAAGTTTATTATAAGTCTAATGAATAGTTTTTGTCTCATGGGTTCAGTCATTTGATTAGCTTGTAGTCTGTGGGGTGTGTCTGTTTGTGTGTGTGCTGGAGAGAGAGAGAGAAAGCTTTTTACTTCATAACAAAAAAAGGAGACGACCAAAAGATAGTATCATTCTGTTTTATTGCTGCTACCCTTGAGCCTCCGTACAGTCCGTTCAAAGACAACAAAATGTAATTCATCACAGTGATAAATGCAAATAATCCAACTTCAAATCCACAAATATGAAAATGCACCAACTCCAAAAGGGGGTTAGTATTTAAACTAGCTGGTTATGGCACCTTGTCAATGATGTTTATTGAACAGGAGAGCAGTGTTTACTCTGTTGTGTGACCAGAATACCAAAATCCGTCACTCCCTGTGAATGCAGCTGCGTTCAGGCTGACTGACTGAGCTCTCCTTGGAGGAAAAAAAAAAGCAGCAGACAACTGAGGCTTGGCCCTGAAGTGTAACTCAAACATAGAGCCAGAAGAAAAACAAGCTTTTCTTTTTCGCCCAAAATATGAAAAAAGGAGAGGATCTAAAAAACCCACTCTGTTTGAGCTCCACAGCTGCTTTAATGGCCTCTCTATAAAGGACATGTGATTCATTGAGGGGTTTAAATAAAGTAGGTTAAAAATAGCCCCACTTTCACGCGGAATTTTTTGTCTTTTCCCACCTTTAATTAATTGCACAAATGAGGCACCTCTCTTTTGTTGAGCTGAAGCAGAAATCTGAGTATCCACACTTTTCCTCTCTGCATGCATTCACTCGTGGACATGTTGTTCCACGTTTACTTCAACTGTGCGCAATTTTTTATCCACTTTCTAATCAGATTGAAAGCGTGGAAAAACAAAAAAAGAAAAAACACCCGCACTTCACGTTCCCCCGCGCAAACAACACAAGAGCGAGAATTTCGATTCATTTGAAAGTGGAGAGGAGGGGAATTAAGACAATTTAATAAAGGCTTAAATCGCTGGGGTTGTCTGCGCAGCGCCTAAAGCCATATTTCCTGTGATCAGCGGAGGAGGGCGACTTTATTGGACATGTTTCTATTTCCAAATCCGCATAACAGGCAACGATGCATGTATTTCCTATAATGTAGATAAGGGAGAGAGGGTTTGATATGTAATAAAAGGTGGGTCTGCGCTGCCTGTTTAAGCCCCTTAAGCCTGATAAATGATGAGCGACAGAGGCACAGCAAGAGGGTCACCGCTATTAACTCCTCGCTTTCCCGGCCTGCACTTAAACTTCTCTCAATTACATGTGGTAATGTGGCTGGATACGGGCCTTATAGGCTTCCACCCGTTTAATCTAAGCGGAATAAAAAAAGAGGAAATCACACTCAGATCTTTCAGGAGGGCATTTTCTGCTCAGAGGTATAGGCTGTGGGAAACACGGGGATTACGGTGTGTGGCGTTTCCTTCTAACACACGCACACACACCAGGTATTCTGGGACAAACAGCCAAAGCAAGCTCATTAAATCAGCATTTGGTGTTTCCGCACATGCAGGCGTTAACGACGGGCTCTAATCTCGGCGCTGACCTGCTCAGGGTGTGACACAGCCGGGAGGAGAGCACGAGGAGGAGGGCACGGCGGAGGGACTATTTCTTTATTAGACACACTGAGAGTCCTGAAATTCGTTAGGAAAAAGTGCGAAATCTAAGATATTTATGCGGTTTAGACTATACATTTTTATTTTTTTATTACAGGCTCAAGTCCCAAGAGCATAACATACACCACAACATTAGAAGAAACAGGCTATATATTAAAAAGGAAGAAAAAAACAGATACATAGACCCATAAAAAGAAACTCTTATTTTCAGGGTTTAATTTTACTGTTAAAAATGCTCATAAAATATATGTCGACTTTCTCTGCTCACTATTTAAACCTCCGATATAAATCAGTTTTTACTTTTTTTAATTCTTGAATGAACTAATTTTAAAGTGTTGCTTCTATTTTGTTATCGTATTTTTGAGACACAAAAAAAAATATTTAAAAAATGCAAAAATAAACACTGAAATAATTACGTTTTTTTAAAGGAAAGATTTAAACATGCATATAAATGAAAAATGTTAAAATCTGATTTATTATTATTTTTATAATAAACGTCCATTATCACTCAAAATAAACACCAAAGTAACAACGATAAATACATGTGTTTTGAAGATATTAATTATAAACATGATTTAAAAGATAAAGTAAAATGGATTCAGGCCATTTTATAAAGCTTTTTTATTTCTTGTGAAAGCTTAAAATGAAAAAAAGTGTCGAGATTGGACTAAAATTTTAATAAAGCACTGCAAATAAAGAGAAAGTGCTCCACAGAAACGTTTAATTTTAGAAAATCCACAATGTTTTAAGGTGTTTATTTTTATAGGTGAAGTACACATGTCGTCTAAATTATTTATCTTTGAGTGTAAGTTGTTTTTTAATTTAAAAAGTAGAAGAAAGCTTTAAAAATGTTGATAAATTTCATCCACAAAGACGTAATTCTCATTTTTTCTCGTTTTCAAGGCCTGCTCTCTCTCGTCACGCAGCTCGGCGTCCACTGTGACCGCCAGGTGTCGCTACATGGCCGCTTATTCCCATAACGAGTCTATGAAGAGGAAAAGCCACAGTTACATTTAGTGCTGGCCTCCTCTCTCCTTCTCTCTCCCTCCTTCTCCTCCCTTCCTCCCCCCTCTCTCTCTCTCTCCCTCTGACATCAGACTCTGAGAATCGGTGGAGGGGAAAATGAGGCTTTGGAGCTGAAGAATTTACAGTTAGTCGCGAAACTTTTACAAGTATTTGAGTTGCTCACTCCACTTTCTGAAACCCTATAGTCACATTTCACTCCGAGGTCAGACAGAGTTCACGTTGAGATGGCTGAGGTGACGCTTTCAGACCAGATATTACTGAGAAATCAGACATGAAATCTACTCAAAAGTGGGTCCAAATTTGAGGTAAATCCCCTCCAAGAATACTAAAGTGATTTGCTGTAAATGTAATCAGTGTTTCATTTACAAAAAACACAAAACAAGTGCATTAAATTGACACGCTGCGAGTTTTTTCCCCCCTCTCCCAGCTTCTCCAGTAGTCAGTCTATGATCCAGTCTTATCTCAGCGCCTCTATACATTAGCTCAGCTCATTTACATAATCTCAATCCCACTGAAGAGGGCCAAAGAAGAACAAAGTTACAAACAAGATTAGGGCGATTTTATTTGTTCCTGCCGTTGAGCGCCGATTGTTTCTCCAGGAGTGTTTAAGGTCACTAAGAGGATTTCAAGCTCGTTTCATATCAGTGATCTTTTTGAGGGAATTAAACCAACAATGCGTTTCTCCCCATATTTAGCAACAGGCTTGTGTTGTGAGTGCGTCTGTGTGTGTACAAGCCCTGCAGGGTAAAAGGGGTGAGGGAAAGAGAGAGAGAGAGGGAGAGAGGGGGGATTGGAAGTCCTGCAAAGAGCAAACAGATTCGTGAGTGGAAGTTTTCTGCTGCACCTTCAGGATGTGACATGCGGCGGATCTTTAGCCTGCTGATTGTCCCAGTAGTGTTTTCCTTGAAATGGATCCTCTCCCTCCCCTAATGAACCCAAACGCAGCTGGCCATGTCCCACACGGACACCGAGAGCTTTAACCCTACACTGACCTCCATTTGACACCAGCAGATGAAATTTTACCGCCTGTTAATGCCATCCACTGATTTTTTTTTTCGTTCGTTTTTAAGGTTTTGTGTCAACCTGAAAATGTGGAGAAATTCACTTCAAAACGTGTCACATCCACGCGGATTTATCAGGCTTTGGGGAGTCAAAGTTGGCACGAGTAAAATTAATTTAATCTGGTGCCATTTTGTGAGAATAATCCAAATTAATCTGAATATCATTAATGGCGATGTCTCATGTTTATTGCTCTCTAATAAATAGTTCACAAAGAGACGGAGTTTAAAATTTCACGTCGTTAGTGGAAGTTTTATTGGGGAGGTTTCTCTGTGGAGCCGTGCATTGGACACGCGTAATTAGCCTCCGCTATTTTCACACGCTCTTCGGGTGTTTACATCACCCTCCTCGGGGGCAAATCACATATTTTCACGCAGAAGATATAGCAGCAACTTCACATCTAGACAAACGTTTTTTTTTTTAAATGTCCTCGTGCGTTTGGATTTTTGCGGATGCAGCGTGCGCTTTGGCGAAAGATCAAACATGGAACAGAAAGCAGATTCCGCACAGTCCAGCTTGAAAACTTTGCCTTTTCCTATACGCGCGTCCCCCCCAACAAAGCGGAATAAATACACACAGCAGAAGCTTACTTACCGTGCTCGTCCATAAGAGGATGGTGGAGGGAAAAAAAAGTCAAGCGTTTGCGCACAAATCAGTGTGAACGATAGTATTTAGCTTGTGAAAATATGAGTCTTCAAAAGCAGAGTCTGCTGTGTTTACAGAGTGTAAAAAAAGGAGAGAGACTTGGAGACGGTGGATGCCTGGGCTCTCTGCGCACAGCTCTGCAGCTCCTTCCCGGGGTATTGCACGTTGAAATGTCCACACAGCCGTTTGTCAAACCCTGCAGTCCCACACTTCCCACCCCCCCTTTATGCCAACAAACATAACTGTTGTCACGCTTTCATTTATTAAATATTTCCCCTTGGAAGAAAAAAAAAACACCCTGAAATTTCTCTAATCGACCCCTTAACAGCTCTGTTTGGCTTTTTTGTTTGTTGGGAGAGTTTATTGACCCTCCAGCAGTAGCCACAACCCCTCTCTCCCTCCCTGAACGCATGTCTACCTTCATCCTAACCTGTGAATAATTAATTTCCATCTTTGAAAAAAAAATACCATTATGTGAGACGCTATCAATACAGCCATGATGCCATATATTAGCATTGATGGAGCCAAATATTAAAGGGGATAGATGGCCTGCTTCTGTTTGGTGCGTAAAAGTGCCCATGCAAGGCTCCAAAAGGGGGCTTCAGTGCAATCGATGGCCGGAGCGTTGTTGCTCCTCCTCTAAACTTCAATCTCCTCACATGATTGATGATCTTGTGCTGCTTTGATAATTGACTACTCTGAGGTAAGGCACGGATTTCTATCAAGAGAGAGAGGATTGGACGACAGACACATACAAAAATTTTCACAAAAGCTTTTTTCCCTCTTTGGAAAAGTTCATTCTTGGTTTGGAGGGGTGCAGCGTGAGGTTTAATTTGCCCAAATAGAGCAGCGTATTAATTAGCTGCAAGATCAGGGGGGGTTGTACAGTGAGACACAATGCACTCTGGTTTATAACTGATAACAAGTAAGCGTCATATTCATGTATCAAACTCAACATTCATATAAAATCCTCATAACAGCAGCTGTAGATGCTTTCTTTTAAGTTGTGAGAAGTTTTTTTTCGTGCGTAAAAATGCGGGTTCATCGTGCGTAAATGTGCGTAAAAATGAGCGGTTTTGCTCTAAATCATGATTGGTGTATTTAAATCTCCTCTGTGATTATGTTTGTTTTAACTCTGTGCATTTGCAGCCGAAGTGTCCGCGCTGCTAAACCTCCCTCATTCAGTTCTCTCTGCTTTTTTCCTCAGGACTCTTCTCGGCGCATAAAAAAAGAAGAAGGAATTGGGTGGGAGTTGGAGCTGTGTTGCTTTGCCTTTTACCCCCAGTGTGGAGTTGAAGCCGTCCCTGCGCCTCGCATATACTCTGCATATCACAAGATTTGGTCTCTCCTCTCTCTTTTCTGGAGCTGCTGTAGGACTGGCTATGGCCACCACTACTTCCGGGATCCGTCATTTCATTCGCCCACCGCTCAGCGCTGCGAACTGACTCTGTTTCTATAAGCAAGCTAGCAGCCAACCTGCCAACACTCGCTGACACTCACTCATCTCAGTTTCGCCAGATAGACGAAATACCTACGGGGGAAAGAGAGGAGAGATCCGAATCGCAATCTCTTAATTTCTTCTGCTTTTTTCTCCTTCTTTTACAGTGATAATAAAACAAGATAGCGATCTGGAGGCATTAAAGGAGACGCGGACTTGCGGGATGAAAACGGACTAAAAAGATTCGTCCTTCTCTTGAACATCATCACCAACCGTCATTCATTCATTACCTTGACAACCTCTGGCTTTGATTGACAGCTGGAGTGGCAAAAAGCCATGAGACACGACAGTTTAGTTACATGCAGGTTGTTGATGGGCCGATTGTAACCTTCACTTTGGCGCATTTTTTCTTTTTTTGGCGAGGAAAAGAGGGAAAACAAGAAAAATTGCAAAACTCCCCGATGCTACGATTTCAACTGAACCACACTGGCGAATAGGAGAAGTCGCAAAGTTGGTTGAAAACGGGATCTTGCCTCTAAATCACTTTCTAACCGGGACTGGGATATTAAATATACGACAGATTCAGGAGTTTATTGGAGCGCAGCCTGATGGCGCAACGGGTAGGTTTTAAATCTCCTCCACTTTACCTGTTTCAAATCCACTGTAGGGAGGCCCTCGTATCGATAACCTCTTGTCGGCTGGTGGCAAATTTACAAAGTATTCCTATCAAAGCGGCTCGATTTGACATTTTTGCAGCGCTTTGCTCCTCAAGCAGAGTGACAGCCTCTGCTTTTTACCCTCACACTCCACCACACTCGTGGAGCATTTTCACAGGAGTCTCCAAACTAATTCGCTCTTTTCACCCACCAAACTCACTTTCGGGGAGCAGCAAACTCATGATGTTTTTGGTAACAAGAAAACTGTTTCTCAGATTGATTAAAAAGGCACTTTTTTGCGCCGTGGCTGCAGCGCGTTTTCACAGCAACAACAGCAGCAGCTCATTAGTTCCTACTTTGCGTGTATTCAAAATCAGACGGCATGCTTTTTTAGCTTTTCACATTTGTTCAAACAGTAACCGGACAGTCCGCTCAATTCTCCTCTCATTTTTTTGTGTATTCCCAGTACGATGAGCTGGCCCATTACGGTGGGATGGACGGAGTCACGGCATCGATGTACGGGGACCCGCACGCTCCCCGGCCGCTTCCCCAGGTCCACCACCTGAACCACGGACCGCCGCTGCACACCAGCCAGCACTACGGAGCCCATGCTCCGCACCCAAACGTTATGCCCACCAGCATGGGCTCCGCTGTCAACGACGTTTTAAAGAGGGATAAAGATCAAATTTATGGGTAAGCTGTGCAAGATCCCAGTCCGCGTGCAACTATTTTATTTTATTTTCAAACTTTTCAGCTTTTCTCAGAGTTTGTCCTCTTCAAGTTTCTCTCCCAGCACTAAATTTAAATCGTGTTTTGGGCAGGATTGACCGCAATTTTCGGTCTCTATTGTTGGTCAGGGGGAGTTTAGTTGATGTGTAATTTTAGACGCCTTGTAGGAGGCATCGACAAGCCTGCAGCGAGTAAGAGGAAGCCTCGAGCCTGAAACACAAGTTATAAAATCATATGGAAGCTCGAAAGTCCAAAAACTGCGTAAAAATATAATAAAAAAGGCAAATTCAACACAACGACTATTCTATCTTTAAAATAACTGTCCCCCTTTACCTGACTTTTAAGGAGTCTGTAACTTTTTATTTGCTGCTTGCAAAAAAAATATCTCTAAGCAGTTTCAATTTTGTTTTCACCATAACAGTACGCGTAAAGACGCACCGTACGTCTGCAGAATCCCCTCTAATAGTCTGATCAGTCTGTGATCTGACAATAAGAGAAAATCTGTTTTAATGTTTTTACTGAGAGTTTGTAGAACTTTGAAAACCTTCACGGATACCTTCTCGGTTACGCACGTTCACAGAAAGTGTTATAATCCACAGTGTATCATTATAATCTGGGATGTAGTGCAGCGTAAATCCCCTTCATCTCTTTTACTCACGTTGTTCTCATGTGCTCGGAGGAGTTAATTTTTAAGCACATAAAAGTGTAACTGATATAAATAAAAGGGAAGCTTTGCTGTAGGAATCTCACGTTTCTTTTCAAAATATCTGACTTAATTCTTGAAACAAATCGAGAGGGTGTGTGGTGATAAAATGAGAGTTAGACTTAACCTATTTTCATTTCCTTCTGCCTGACCTGGAAATCTTTAGCTTTAATTATAATGAAAATTAAAAGTCCTGATTACTTGCTGCGTTTGTAGCTCAGCTTTCCAATTTTTTCCCACTTTTAGACGTTTTTTCCTCATAACTTCACAATTTCCCTAAAATCCCCAAAACTACTTTAGTGTGTCAGGGTTGTTTTTGCAGAGTTTTGTTGACTTCTTGGCCGTTTTTTTGTCTGCACTGTAAGAAATGTCAGCCTCATTCTACAGCGTTTTGTCTCCAAAATCTCTCCATGTCCCCGGAAACTTGGAGAAAAATACTCCAGATGCGTATTTACGCATACGCACACAGAATATAGTTGTTAAAATCAACGATCTAAAAATGTAAAACACAGTTTGGGCATCAGTGTGCGTTTTAATTATAGGCAGGGATCGTTTGAAATCAAGTGTGTAAAAATCATACTGTGTGTCAAAGCTAAAAAAAAATATCTCATCCGATTGTGTTTTATTTTGAATTTTCTCTCAGAAGCGTCAAAGTTTAAGGGCGTTTTACCGGGATATGTGCAGGTTGATTTGACATTTTTTGCAGTGTGCATGTGGAGCCGGTGTGTTGCTTGTACTCAGGCTGTGTTTCCCCTTCTTGCAGTCACCCTTTATTCCCACTGCTCGCGCTGGTTTTTGAGAAGTGCGAGTTGGCGACGTGTACTCCGAGGGAGCCCGGCGTAGCAGGCGGCGATGTCTGCTCCTCAGACTCCTTCAATGAGGACATTGCAGTCTTTGCCAAACAGGTCCATGATCTAGAATATATGTTGAAAATGTCTATGTAGTGAAACACATAATTTTCCTTTTGGATACAACTTTCTCCCATCATGTTTCAAGAATAGTGTGTGTATAATCTGCAAAATATCTACTCAACTTTTCTTGGGAATTTTAGTCATTTTATGATAGATACACGTTTTACTCCAAACTGACTTGGATTATGGTTGTGTTATTTCAGGTCCGAGCAGAAAAACCTTTATTTTCATCAAATCCAGAGTTGGACAATTTGGTAAGCACAAACATACACTGACCTCTGTGCCTCACGATCATAAGCGCCGCTCTGTGCGGTCACTCTCTGCTTTGTGTTTTTTGGTGATAGTCTGAGTGTAGCGTCCGCAGCATCACACAGAAAATAAGTGAACATATGATTTCAACTTCCGCACAGATGTCAGATCAGCTCTGAATTGAAGCTGTGTTGACCACATTAGCCGCTGTCATTGTGAATGTCTTCCCATCACACTGACCCAGCTGACCAGTGTGTGTGTGAAGACATGAAATGCAGCTTTTACAGAAATCTCCTCTGCACGTTACTCTTTCATGATTATTCCTTCACGTTGATGCAGAAATTATTTTGTAATTTTCAGCCTCTAACTGTGTTATTTTTGCTCATTTTACCCAGATGATACAAGCCATACAAGTATTACGGTTTCACCTCTTGGAATTAGAAAAGGTAAATATTGGAACTCTTTGTATATACTTTTACGCATGGTGCCAACTGATATTATTAGCCTTTTTTAATTTGGCAGTGCTGAAAAGTTAGTAGCAGCTGCCTAAAAATGAAGGTGCATGCATTTCGAAGGAGTGTTTAATTTCTACTAAACATGCTTTTTTATTTAACCAACTAATTTTGAGAGTATTGATAAATCGTGCTGGGAGCTCTTGCTCAGTTTGCACATTGTTATCGATCCGCAGATTTGGTTTCAGCTGCTCATTATTCCCCCCAACACACGGCATGCTGTTTGTTTTTCTGTCCTTCAACTTGTTGCTCCAGTCTCAGGAGAATAATAAGCACTGCAACAATTTCACTATTGTTTCCTCGCCCCCCCCTCCTTAATTGGAGTTATTCTTGGACTTGACTGAAGCGTTTCCCTCATCCTATTCTTTTTCCACCTTTTTTCTTGTATAGGTGCACGAGCTCTGCGACAATTTTTGCCACCGGTACATCAGTTGTTTGAAAGGAAAAATGCCAATAGATCTAGTTATTGACGAACGGGATGGCAGCTCGAAATCAGATCACGAAGAACTCTCGGGATCGTCGACTAACCTTGCAGATCACGTAAGTAACAGCAGCTATATTATATTCTGAATGTGTGTGTGTGAGTGAGTGTGTGTGCCGTGTCTGCATGCCTATCTGGAGTTTTTGTAATTTTCAAGGACCTTAAAGTGAATTATTGGCTTTATTTTACGCACAATTCCAACTTCTCAAGAGTGTGTGACCCTGCTGTGCTGTGCCATCAGTAAACAGAGCATGCTCTGTACCGCCGATCGATGGTCTAAGGTCAAAAGCTAGATGTGATACAATAGACTGAGTTATTGTTTTAGTCTTTTGATTAGAGCTAGTCATGTGTGCATAACGCGTCCCTGCTTGCTCCGAGGTTTGTGTGTGTGTATTGGAGGATGCACGCGTGCGTAAATCGCCGCCGTGCGTTATGGAGACTTGCAAGAAAGGAAAAAAAAACGTGAGGCAATTATCTGTTACGCAGGTTTAACGTTAAAGCAGGGTATCAGCGCTAAGCTTTCGCTGTAGGCTAATATTTAAAAAGAAAGGGGCTTTCTTTATATTTTGGGGGCTGTGGGAGCTGGATGGGGCCTGTGCGTAAAGCTGTGGATTGTTTTTTTCGCTGCAGAGGTGGAGAAAGTGGTAGCCTATTGAAACAGATCTCAGAGCTAAAGGCTTAGCATCAATGTCAAGTTCACGAGGCATATGATGGTTCGTCTAGAGGCCTTCCATTGCTGTTGATGTTAATGTGTTTAATTGTTTCGTATTGATTTGCCGTGTGGTTCCTTGCTCTGTCTTCTGCTCTGCTCTGCTCCCCCCCATTTTATGGCTGGAGGCTCCATAATGCTGAATTCAATTATATGCACCTGAAGTACAGTAGCTTTAAATTTGAAGATCGATTCCCTGGTTTTAAATCGGTGCATTTTCGGTGTAATAAACACTGACTCTCCTCTCCTAGTATGGATCCAGTCGAAAGTGTGTTACTGAGTTGATATCTGTGAGTTATTGCGTCCTGCATGTCTGTGATAAAACTAATGTTTTGGTGGAGTAAGAAGAGGAAAAAGAGAGGGCCATTGCAACAAAGTGACTAGTTAATATCAGCGCAGCACAAGGCCAAGCCTATTAGGAATTAAAGCAGATTTAAGTGTTATGCAAAGTCACCGCGCTGCATCTGTTGGCTCTGGCTATCGGCCTAATAGCGGTGGATTCCCCCCTTTTGAAAGCCCCGGCGCGTCCACAGGTCGACGCAGACGAGCTGCACAGGCTATATTCAAACACAGTTCACAGCATGGATGGCAGCGTTGGGTTTTGGGAAACGGTGCAATATTGTGGTCCTCCTCCAACACAAGTGTAGAAATGAGGCATGCTGTTGTTTATATTGCAGAGATTAGATAAACTAGCCTGTTTAGTTTCATGGCAGATGGTGGATGCTCAGGCCGGTTTCCAGTGGTGCCTTCACTGCTCAGACAGCAGCTCTGTCACCGGTCCAAGCTTGTGAGAAATATTTTGATAATTAGTAAATTAGAAGTGCCAATAAAGCAAATCAGGAGCAGCAATAAACAAAGAAGGCTTCATGACAAGCCATTCATCTTGGAGTCATTTGGACTGACCACCTCATTAGGTTTTTAACTTTTGAGGGATTTATTTCACTGCTGTGGCACCAATGAACTTTTTATTATAGCTCGCCGCTGCTCTGACTTCTCCCTTGCTTGTTTGTAGAGCTGAGCTGAGAGGTGATTTTAATAATGGCTGCATGGAATGCAAATACACACCCCTGCTTGTAGTATTATCAAAATAAAGCCAGTCTTTATTTTGCCTTGTATTTGCAAAAAAAAGGCACAACTGTTAAGGTGTCTAAAGGCAAGGAATTAAACAGTTAACTTCAGCAGCAGTAATTTCCATGTCTAATTGAAAGGAGTCCAGCTCTTCATGCCTAAAATGTGCTTTGAATACCCAGAACAATGCACAAAAATGCACTTGGCTGCATAACTGTGCCGCTGGATTGAAAGCATTTTTTTGTCCTACTTGTCTGGATTTATTTATTTTATTTATTCATTTGTGTTTGGCTCCTTTTTTTTTATTTTTTTATTATTCATCTCTGTCCTCGCTTCTCCATTGAGGAGAGGAAGGCGGCTTGATAGTTAGATATGCTAATTTATTTAGTTAGACTCTCTCACGTCCATTTTTCTTTGCTTTGATATGCATTTTTAATATATAGCCCTGGGCTACATCTCATTTGGAGAAAGTTGGTTTTTCTGGAGATGATGAGGCTCTTCACTGGAGGAGGCGGCCCGTTGAGCTTTTTGTAAATATATATATAAAAATAGATATAAATATATATATGAGTGTGTGTGTGTGTTTTCTTCCCTTTTTTAAAACCTCTTTCTGTTTCCCTCCTCTTCATACCTGACATGGGAGCATAATAAGCGCTGTTTTATTTACACTTGAATGCAGCGTTGTCTCAGAGATGATTGGATTATGTTATAGAGAGAGCAGGATGAGTCCTTGCTGACACTGTTGATTTCCTTTTTTTTTTAGCTTGCGGTGACTATCTCACCATGTAGCCCACCCATGTCTTCCCAGCTCATCGCCCCTCCTCTCATTACCCCCTCCTAATTAAAAGAAAGAGAAAAAAAAGATGTATTTAACATGGAGGGTGATGGAGGGGGTAAAAAACACACACACACTCACACAGAGCGGTGCAGATTTGAAAACGGTTGCTACAGTGTGTGCTTGTCAATGCTTTTCTCTCTTGTCTTTTAATTAATGAATAAAATTTCTGTCTCTTCTGTGCTACATCCAATTAGAGAGGCAAATAGAATTAACAGTGTCTGAATATTATCTGTTCTAATGAATTAGCCTTTGTGGCTTCTCCTGCTATTCTTCAGTCGAGCTTACATATTAGCACAGGGGCTTTTCATTCCTCCCATGCATATGCATTACGCTTTTGAAATCTGCCTTTGCATTTCTGCATAGTTTGAGATTTGTTTTGCAGAAAGTGTGCAGGATTTGCAGGTTTGTTTTGGAGAGGCTTCCTCAGGGAGTGATAGGAGTTCCCATAGTGGAGCTTATCTTACCTCTGCATGGCTGGAAGGGTGAAAAAAAGGAGGGGGAAAAGCTCGCTGTGTTTACATTTGATTCTCTGAGTTGCTGTAGACCATTGGTCAGCCGCAGTGATGTCACAGGTTCAGCCAAGTAATGCAATAGTCCGTGTTGTGCCCACGCTGTGATTTAGTGTGTGTATTGGCATAGACGGGTGCTCGGTAATGTCCTGTCTCTGCACATCACTTTGCATGGTGCAGCATACACACACAGGCGCGCACACACACACACTGAGCCCTCTGCCTGTGGACGGAGAGCCCTCGGGCCGAGCCGGCCTGCTGAAGCGTGGAATTTCTCCGTTTTGAAGGTGTTCTAATTCAACTAGCTTTGTTCTCCTCAGGGAGCGACCATGTTTAGATCTCTTCCTTTCCCTCCTTTTCCATTAAAAAAAAAACAAAACAAAAAACAGTTCATCGCTGACTTGGACTGCTCTGTCTGTTCCACACAATTGTTTTGTGATGGTGGGATGTCTGGCCTAACATTTCCTATTTGATTAGTGCTCACAGGCAGGGTCCTGTTGGCAGGCATATCTAATCACAGCGACTATGGCTGCAGAGGCTAGACTCACTTGTTGCATCTCACACTCTCCTTCCTTTAGCTGCACGTTGACTTTAAGTATCTGCAATGGAAAAACTTTGCATGTAAGCATCAGAATCACGACAAGCATGCATGTTAACCTGAGTATAAGTACAACACGATCGAATGCATGTCAGACTTAAGTTTCAGCTGTATTAAGTGCATAATTGCAGTCAACAGCTTTGCCAAAAAATCTACCTTTGCAGAGTTAATTGTGTTTACTTTTCATCGCCATTGTCTGTAAGTGTGTCAGCTCAGTTTTATTACGCCACCGAGGTCAACCTTGAGTGAGGAGTTACGTAATCACATTATGTTGAAGCTATTCTCATGTATTGTCTCTTAGAGAAACACCTCTTATTATGATGCAGCTTACACACCTTTTTACACTATGTTCCCGCTGCTACAACATGTAATTAAATTAACACCTTGGTGACAGTGCTAACAGGAAGACCAACATTACAGGCATCGTAAAAGAAGCATTCGATTGCATCAAACCTAACACCAGTGTGAACACATGAAAGCACATATTTTAGTTTCATTTTTAAAATAATAATATTATTATGTGCAAGGATGAAATGATGTAAAATATCCAAACATGCACCATTACAGCTATCACATATTTGCATGTTATCTGACAGAAACGGCAATAAAAAGTTTATTTTTCTTCTGACTCAGAAAAAGTTAAAAGTATAAATGCGATCAGTCAACCCCTCAAGTCTGTTAAAACACGCTCATGTGAATTATTGGCTGCTAAATGAAGCAGTCTTTATACTCTGTATAATTGAGGGTGTTGTAAATACGCGCAGGTTCAACAGAGGTGCACCTACACTTTTATAAAGTGGCTGTATATAATTACACGCTGGAGCCAATAGGAAATATGTTAAGAGTATTTTTTTTCTGTTTATACCATGTGGCAAGATGTGTCTTGAAATGTCAGCTGTATGATTTATGGCCCAGTGTGTTTTCTGGCATGTCAGCGATTCTGTGCAACACACACACACATAACACACAGACACACACATACATACACAAGGCCAGTCGTACCCAGCCTGCCTCCACACGGACAGATTTCTTCCGCTTTTTCCTCCTGGTTCCAGGGGAATTTGAGGGAAATTCAATGATGCCGCTAAATCAATTTTATTTTGAAATTCCAAGGGATGTAGGCAGAGTGTAAGGCGGGGAGTGAGATTGTGCCAGGCAGGTGTTTGTAAATGAGAAACGGGGGACGAGGAGCAGCATTCTCCCGCTCTCCTGTGGCCTTTTTCCTACTACAAGCCTTCCTCCCCATATTGTCTCCTGCTTTTATATTAATTACAACTTGTATTATCAGCTGCCAGTCGCTAACCCCAGCAAATAGAAGAGGCTGCCCCTGGAGACCACGCTTCTTTTGTATCTTATTCTCCATCCAGTCCCTTTGTGTTTGTGTTTGCGTGTGCATCCTCCGCTTGCACATGTATGTGTGTGTGTTTTTTTTTGCTGGCATTCTCCTCCTGGTATCACCGCTCTTTAACACAATTAGTGAAGAGCATGGAGTGAACCATGTTTGACTCCTAATTATGCCCAGCTTTAGGGAATAATCACATGAGCTACAGCCTCTTTATTCCCATTTTCTCCGTTTTCTTCTTCTTTTCCTTCTTCCCAGGGTTTTTCTTGTGTAGGTTGAAGAAGACTGTTTGGGTGACACGATTTTTTTGTTTGAACTTTATCAGACCCACGAGGGTTGCGACAAAATGGTTGTGAGTGTTTGTGTTGCGCCGTGCGGTGTCTGTTGATGCTCAGAGAGATGCACTAAATAATTCATAAGGAGGAAAGGCTGTTGCTTTTGTCGCCTTGTTGAGCGTGGAAAGTTAACGCTTTTGTTGTGGTGTTTGTTGTGGTGTTTTGTAGACGTGGGGGCTTATGAATGAGAAGTGACTTCCAGGTATTAAAAGAGGAAAGCGTTGTTCATCAAAAACAAGGGCCTCGTATCCACTGTGTTAATATTATTAGGTCAGAGGAAGTGCTGCGTTGTGCTTTTCGCCCTGTAAGAAACAAACTAGCTGAGCTTTATCTACATCCCTGCATACAGGACCATTAAACCCACAGGGTAGCAAATCATAGCAAAATATCATTCCCTTTAACACCATTAGCTGAGGTGTCTTTGAATTTAATTTAGTGCCAGCGCCATTAAAAATGACACATTACCCTGCAATGATAGCTAAATTAAGTCCTATCGATTCAGCTGTTGCATTAAAACCATGCTGTGGCCATAGCTGGCAAGTGTTACAGAGAGAGAGAGAGAGGGAGAGAGGGAGAGAGCGTGTGAGAGCAGCGAGCACAGTTTTTCAGGTCTGTCTCGCAGCTTGCCGGCAGTGGATGTCTCATTTTGAGGAAGCAGAACCCAGTCATTTTCTCCTCTCAGAACAAAGATCTCAGTTTAAATACATTATGTTCTCCGGGAGGCTGGGATTTTTTACCTCTCTGTCTTGCGTGCCTCTTTGTGCTATACGAGACAGAATTAGACTGTTTTCAGATGCTTGATGGGCTTTTCCCACATTAGTGATTTAACCCAGCGCGTGCTGTGTTGAGAGTAACAAAAAAAAATCACTATAACAACAGACCTCGTTCCCATGAAGTGTACCATGTGTTGGCACAGAGAATGAACACATAACAATCATCTCTCCCTTTCAGAGCAGGGACACTTTTCCCTCTGCTTGTTCTGGAGGGCTCAAACCCACGCACGGCCTATTGTTCCCCCTGTCTTCTTACCCCTCTTCTCAGTAATTCTCCGAGCTCTTTATCTGATTGCCATCCGGCGAACAGCTGACGCTGAGAGGGGCCTTGAGTGGAGCGGAGGGTCTGAAGGGCCTTGTGTGTTTCTGTCTGCTGTTTTCAGCTCCGAGCTGTTTGAGAAAACAGCCCTCCTTCCCCTAAAAACTTAGCAGATAAAAGGGCTTCGCTCACAGGCAAGAGCAGCAGCTTCGCCTCCGCAGCAGAACGAGCAGCAGCACATCAGGACTGAGCACCCAGGGGAGCTCGGCAGCCGCTTGTCTTATAGCCTCTGTTTCCCTGCAAACCTCCTCGAGTCTCCGGGCTCTTTCCTGTCTGTCCTCCACCAGTACAGCTCACTCTGACTGGGGCACCAAAGCAGGCAGGCAGGCTCCTCTCAGGCAGAGCTGAGGGAAAAGAACTCCACCAGGAACTGCTACAAAGTTAAACAAAATGGTAAAAGACGGCCTCTTTCTTGGAATATTCGGTGGCGTGTACATTTTCCTTCTGCTTTTGTATGTATGTATATGTGTTTATGTGTGTTTGAGGGAGAGAAAAAAAACCCGTAGCGGGAACTGAGAAGTGGGTTGAGGTTTGTGGGAAGCCTTGGTGCAGGCCTGTGTTTGTTTGGCTTGGGCTCCGCTCAAGGGGCTGCTTCTCTCGGGGCCCCCAGACAACGTTGGGCTTACGTTGGCCAACATTTTGTCATCATGCTCAGGTGACAGGTTAAATTGGGAAAGACTAGCTCTCGTTTTGTTAACTATGGAGCTCTATCAACTGCGTGAGAGGCTTATTGAGCCTGTGTGTTTGTCGGGGTAAGTGTAGTAAATGACGTGATCAGTCTATCCCTCTTTTGCCTGAATGGAGGAGGAAATTCCACCTCTAGCCTGCCTTCATGTGGCACTGATAAAGCCTTTCCTGTACAGTAGAAAATCCTGTTTCCCTGTGTGCGGCGGCAGCAGCAGGGCATAGGGAATGACCAGGAAGAAGAGAAAGAGGAGGAGAAAGAGAGAAAATGAGCCGACATGGGAGTGGAGGGGAAAGAAAAAGAGGCCTTAAAAGCTATGAATTTGTTTATGGACGTTTCTTTGAAGTTAGCCAGCAGAGATTTAACACTTTCTTTCAGCATGTGTTTGTATATATAAAAGTGAGTGTGTGTGCATGTGTGTTTATTCTTCTTGCTCTATTATGTCATTAGCGTGTGTGCGTAAGTGTATTTCTGTGAGTCCTCTGTGGGTGTGTGTGTGTATTTCAAAGTGGGCGTGTGCTCTTTTTCGGCAGATTAGCCGGAGAATCACTGTCATATCTTATTTTCATTTCTGACAGTGGTAATGATTAATGGCGGCTGCGGTGTGTTTGGACTTTTTACCTCTATATTTCTCACTTGACATGGAAGTCTAGATTGGTTACGGTATAAACGAACTCCACCGGGCGCTGCCATATGTGTTTGGACAATTACTCACAAGTGCTCCACTTGCAGCGTTGGAAATCAAACGCCACATTAACAGTGCCGCGTTTTGCTCTCATGCATTAATGACACACTTTGATTACAGTGTTTTGACTTATTGCCAGCTGCTTTAGCGCATTTCTTCTTATCCATCTGTGACTTTAGTGGCATCACTGATTGTTTGCTAGCCTTGCCAAGAGAATGTAAGCAGGCCAAGGACCCTCACAGACTGTACACTCTTGCAGATGTCACTCTTACTTTTCCTGCATACTCATATGGCCTCCTCTCTCTCTCTCTCTCTCTTTTTCTGTGTCCCTCCCTCCTCTCCACTCTTCCCTGCTCTCTCTGCTCCTGGTTTGCGGTTTGGACTGGGGAATGTGGATGGATGCACGGATGGATGGATGGATCCCACGCTCGCTTTCTCTCTCTTTTTCGAAAAAAAAAAAAAAAACCTCAGAACCCAGCTTCCTGGAGAGACCATGATGACGCCACCTCCACACACTCAGCCGGCACACCGGGGCCCTCCAGCGGGGGACACGCTTCACAGAGCGGCGACAACAGCAGCGAACAAGGTGAGCCAGCACCGAAATGGGCATGCACGTGCACGCGCACGCTCACACTCACGCACTCAAACACACATAGATACAGGCACAGATCCATGCGGGACATATTAATCATCATGCACGGGTAGAGTTGCCAACACCTCACTTTAACCCTGTCTAATGTGCTATCTACAATGAATGGATGCCACATCTCTCTTTACACATGTGACCCAGTCCTTGCTCCTGCACACTGGATTATCCTGCTTTTTGACTGGCGTCCATGTAAACACATAGTCACACCTAAAAATGAACAAGCTTATCCACTACGAGCAACAGCCAGTGTCACACACAAGCCTCGAAGACGGGCTTTCCAAAATGTTACTATTTAGAGAGCTGAACAAAAGCTGATGATTAATAGTGTATTTCTGCCAGTTCTTGTTTGCATTTAAACCATATTAACTTTGCATGCACAACAGCCCCTAATTATGTCTCAGTGAGCCTTGTGTTATCTAGTACGTGACCTGCCAAACAGTAATAATGCATTTCAAAACAAACGCATTTGAATTTATTACAGGCGGCGTGTGCAAGTCACAGCTATCTGCCTGGTGTTTTTGTCACGGTCCACATCAATTTTGACATGTAAATTATCAAAAGCATATGCTATTAGCGGGATTTAGAGGTGAGCCGAAGCGTCAACACATTGTGAGGTTAAAATTGTTTATAAAACGCAACTGCTGCCTGATCTGAGAGAACAGATGATGAGCTCTTGGCCTTTCCTTTCTAGTCTTCCTCTTGTTTTGAACGTACCAACGTCTCTCTTTCACTGCTGGCAGAGTGTGTGTACATGTGTGTGTGTTTTTGTAGGTCTCTTTCTGTATCCCTACGTGCCCTCGGGCAGTGTCCATGGTTTTGCATGAAATTTCATCACACCGTCTACACCCACAAACACACTCAAACGTTCAGACTCGCACTCATAGTGTAGCAGCTCGCTCGCAGAGTGAAGCCGCTTGCGTGTCTGTTGTGTATCGTTTTTCCCGATAAGCGATCACAAGTATTGATGGGATGTGTGTCTGTGGTGGGGCTGTTTAAAGCGTCTTCTGCTCCTCAGACAGGAGCAGCAGTTGTAGACTCTGAACCGTTTCTGACCACAGTCTGAGGGCCGCAGCAGACCTCTGTGGTTGACTGTGTCAGGAATGGTTGGATCACGGGCTGCTGTCAGGCTAGTTGTTGTTAACTAGGTCTTGGAAAGCAACAGGGTGTTTCTGTTGAAGAGTATTAGCATCATGGAGGAGTGGGCTATGATAATATGACACTTTTGACACAGTTACAGAACAAAAACAGGACGCTCTGGCAGAGCAGATGCTCGCTTTCACCGAACTTACACCTTTATTCTGAGAGTACATTCAGTCAAAAGTGAACAAACATCTAATTTTATTGCTAAAACTTAGAGAGAAGTCATTGAAAAATTGGAAGTGATTACATCAAAAGAAAATTAACAACTTTTATCATCATGAACTCATCGTTTATCTCACTTTTAAACATGTACATTTTTTTTTTTTAATTTTTAACAAAAATCCTGGATTTTTAGCAGGTGGAGGGCAAAAAAAAATCAGTGTCAAAGTTGTATTTCTGGGCCTGATGAGCATTTTTCACAATTTGGGAGAAGAATATTGGAGCTAATCTGCAGATTAATCAATGATGAAAACAGTTTTTAGCTGCAGCCTTAAATGTGAGATAAGATAACTGTGCGATCGCAGTTAGGAAGACAACATGGGGAGATAGTTGCACTCATCTCTGTAATTGCAGGCAGCATGGGAGATGAAGACTGCAGAAACAACAGAAAGAGGAGGGGGGATGAGAGAAAGAAATGCACTGCCTATTGATTATCTTACACACATAAGTACAAGTGACCTGTAATCCACAGAGCACTTATCGACTCCTCTCCCCACCGTATCCAGTAACAGCCGATCAATACGGACCAAAGACAGTTACGGTACGGCACCGTGCTCTGGGCCAACATAGACCAGGACCAGATCAAGGCCGGAGCCCGACCTGTGCTGAAGAGTGCTAAACACTAGGTCCACCAGCGCAGAGCCTTTCATGGCAAAAACAAAGAAAGCGGCATTGACTAGAGGCAGCATTTTGAAAGAAGGCAAAAGAAAAGCTATTAAAGTACAGAGGTGAAAGAGTGAGGAAGGTGAAAAAGTAAGCAGAGTGAGAAAAAGGAGGAAAAAAGGGAAAAAAAAGAGAGAGAGGGCAGCTGATTTAATGGTCTAATGAGGCCGTCCTCCAGCCAGTTGTTTTGTGTGAGGCATGCTCTGACCTTTCGCTTCGCTCGGGAGCCCCGCCGCCTCATTTTTCACATTCTTGCAATTACGTTAACGCTTGAAGCGCTCGCTGACTCCCGACTCTGGCCCTTCCATTCTGACAGAGCCTTCCACTCCCCAACCTCTCCACCTTCTCCACTCCACTCCACTCCACGCATGGACTCGCCTCCGATCTCAATACATTTCCACATAAAATTTGTAGTCCACACTCTCAGGTCCACAGAGAAAATGTGAAATGTGTGCTTCACTTCAGTAATGGGGTCTTTAACAGCTTGGCCCCTGTTAAAAGGGGTGATGATGTGGATCAGTTGAGAAAGACAGAATAGATGGTAGAGAGGTGGAGAGAGGGGAGGACGGGAGAGGGAGAACCCACTGTGCTTTTTGGGTTTCAGCTGCCAAGAAAAACATTAACTTTCTTCCACCGTCTTGCATCTCGAAAGGTGTGTTTAATGTCCGAGTGCACCTTGAAAAACATTCCCCTCAAAAATTCATCCAGAAGAAAATAAAACTCCAAGTCCGACTCAGTTTCTCCAAAGAAATGTCAAAGAATATGAAAAGTTTTGGTAAGTTTGCCTTCGGTCTTCAGAGAACATATAGTAGAATAAAGTAAAGTTCATTATCTTTCCACAAAGTACTGTATGTACAACGCAAACAGGACTCAAGATGGTCTCTGCGAGCAGAATCCACTTCCTCAATCGCAGCTTTGTATCTCACAGTTGAGCATTGCTCTGAACCTGTGCCAAAAAACAATTTAACAAGTGCGCAAATATGTATCACCCCTCTAGTGGAATAATTTATTGTCAAGCAGTAAACCAAGGTGAAGCATGCTCATAGCTGTCAGTGAAGATTGCCAGTTAAGGTTCTGACACATATGAAAAAGGTTTCAGCACAATACTCAGATCAGTAACCTCTCTCCACCTCATGTTCTTAACCGTTTTTTTTTTTCTTCTTCTCTGAGTTTCCCCTCCAAAAGAGAAAAATAAGAAGCATCACCCTCAGGGCAGATTCTGCACTCTCACTCACTGACTCTCAGAGAGTGACTCCCTATGTTCTGGCTGGATAAACAAATTTCTGCTGTTAATGGGAGATGGTTCAGAAGGTAAAGCACAATAACTACACTGGCCCTGATCGCACATCATTTTGATTAACAGCCCTTTGGAAGTCCTCCAAACTTATCTAGGAACATCAGAGACATCAGTTGCAGGGAGTTAAACTTGATGAATGTGTGCGTCTTAAGATAGCACGTTTTCAAGCTCACGTCCATAAAGTGATGCATCCAAGTTTTGATGAAGCATTGGGCATATATACACAAATCAAGCGCAGTTTTAGCCAAATGCACTCAATCAGAAACTGTAAATCCCCTACACCGGCCCAGCACGGTAGGTAATGTTTTTTCCCCTCTCGCCGAATCTGAGAGTGTGTAAGAGTGTGTGTTTTAGCCCACAAGTCCACACTTGTGATTATTAGCTATGCATGAAGACCAAATCCACGTTGACATCTTGAGTGGTGAGCAAAGGGGCTTTCTGTACAATTCCCCAATTCTACGGTAGATGGAAAAGGCTCAACAGAAGAGAGGAGAAAGCATTTTGTACATTTTCTCAGCAATTGAACAATCCCCACGCTTGGCGGATAGACAGACTCCCCAGAGAGATGGAGAGAGGCAGGGATGGAAGGAGAGAAAGGGAGGAAGAGAGGGAGAGCTTGAGTGTTCGGCTCCGAGGGAGCATGCTGTGCTTGATGGTATTGTGGTACATTTGTGTGTATGTGTGTGTATGCGTGGGGAGTGTGGTGAGCTCCCTTGGCCCTGACCAGGGGCCCCACTCAGCAAGGTCTTTGTGGTTGAGCTCACCCGAGGGGGGTCATTCCTGGTGGGGACATGACTCCCTGTGTCCGCCCAGACAATCTCAGCATGAACAAGGCCTGTTGAATTTAGCATTTTCCGGACCTCTGGCTTTTCTATTTTTTTTTTTTTTTACAGCTACACTTAAAGAAGAGTGAGCAAAGAGGAAAAAAAAGAAAAGAAGAAACACACACACAACATAACGACAAGAGAAAGAAAAGCAAAGTCTGTGCTAAACGCAAGATGGAAGCCTTGTTGCGTTTTAGTAGCCTATACCTCAGCTCTGGAGTGATCAGCGAGGTGTGTCTGTATATATAAAATATAGTGTGTGTGGGCATGCACGAGCGTGTGTTAGCTGGTACCCTCTAAGTGCCTGTTAGAGTTTAATTTAGTGTAGTAATTAAAGCTGAACACTGGCCCATAAACAACAGATAAACAATAAAGCAGGCCCAAGCCCTGCTGTTTCATGGCTCTCACTCCCAGCTGTTGGAGGACTGATAATTTTTACACAGTGCCCCCACCTTACCTCACCACAACAACACAATACTGAAGCAACAAGGGTGTGTGTGCGCGTTGTAAAAGTGCGCTCGGGTCGTTTTAGAGGCAAAGGCTGAACAAAACAGGGTGAAGAAACACAAACATGCAGGATATGACCATTTCCCTCTGAAAATAAAAAAAAGAGAAAGTATATGAGAGTGGTAGCTTTATTCGAGAATCATTTATACTCACACAGTTGCTGTTTTCCTCTCATGTCATGCCCAGGGAGGAACACAAACTGCGAACCCCTGTGTTGAAAAGTGAAGCTAATGCAAAAGTGCGAAAGGTGGTTATTCCTGGAGGAACATTACAGGACATTATCGCACTTCTGAATCTCCTAACCCTAACCCTAACCCTCATCCTAATCCTAACCCTGACCCAATAGACGATGACGTTTCATAGCCATTAGGAAAAACCAAGAGCCCAGCACTTCTAGCCGATCAGAGGCGAAAGAGGGCGGGACTTTCCCCTATCGTTACAAAAAAAAAAATTGCTTCCTGGAGTGTCCACTTAGCTCCAAGGAGACCCTCGCGCCCAATTGAAATACCCATTTTTACAGTAAAATATGATATACATACAGCTGGTAACACGCACTTCTTTACACAAACAATACTTTTTTTTTTAGCATCTAAAACATTCTGAAAATATTATAAAGGCTAAAAGTTTTGCTTGAATTCGAATAACCAGGGGCGTAGTCGAGTTGACTGGACAGGCATGAAAGTTGGACTGAGTCAGCATTTCCACCATGTCAAGCGTCATTATCCTGCTTCAAACCACTTTCCAGAAAATGAGAGTGACATAATTTGAACTGCTTTAATGGTGGTAAGCTAAAACACTGCCAAAAAGTTGTGCAGGTTATGACTCTGTTTACAAGAACTCATTAGCTGCTAGCTTTAGCCACATCTTAGGCGTCACTAAGTAGTTATTAAAAGATCCCTTTTGAATTGAATAACATGTTTTTAACCTTACATCAAGTTCATTCAAGTGGTTACTTATCTATCTTGTAGGTAGCTGTACTGATAACAAAAACAAGACAACTCTGCTAAAGTGTCTTTTTTTTTTTTTAGCTAACACGCGCCACTTTAGCTTTGTTGCTACTTGTAAGCTTCATGTTTGTCAGGTGTCTGTTGTGAAAGCAGTGCAGTATGTCAATGTGATGGTTTGTTGGGAAGGGGCAGGGCCATTGTTGAAAGCTGAGAAGAGTTGCTGTGGAGGGGGAGAAAACACGGCACGGAGGGGATACTTTCATGATCCCATTAGCATAAAAGAGGCTAAATTATTCATGTGGAGTGCTTAATCTATGGGGAAAAGTATAGTTAATGCACATAGTTTTAAAATGGATCCCTCCCTGCCCCTGCTCTAACACCAGATTCTTGCTGGATTCAGCATTCGCGGGCATTTACGGGAACGGCTGTCACTCTCCCCTCTCGTCCGCTCACATAGACATCGTATATGTGGGCATGGGAGCACTTCTGCGCTGTTGCACTTCAAGCTGTTTCGAGGGGCACTGCTCTCAGGTTCATTCCCTCCATCCATAAGTCCCTTTTCTCTCTCTCTCCTTCCATTTGTTCCTCCGTCTCTCTCTCCCTCACACCCCTCTCCTCACTCACCCCTCTGTCTCGCTCTCAGTACCGCAGACTACCTGGCCCTCATCCAAAATGTGATTAAAGAGAATGATCAGCTCCCTCAGCTCCCTCCTTCCTTCCTCCCTTCCGCTCTCTCTCTTCCTTTTTATGTCTCGCTGTCTTTCTTCTGACCCCGTGTTACATTTGTTGAGTCTATAGATCATGAGAAAGGGGGGAAAAAAAACACGAAAACAGCAAAGGAACCGTTAGAGGACAGGATCAGCTTCACTTCCAGTAACGCAGACCTCTACCCACAACATCACCACCACTCTATGCCCTACCATCCTTTCTCCTCTTATCATCTCCGTCTTCCCTCTCCTTTTCTTTCCCCCCTCTCAACTCTGGCAGAGGCCTGGTCCCTCTGGTCCATAATCATGAACAGGCCCCCAGCCTGACCCGGGCCCAACCCAGCCTGGCCCAGCTTGGGTCGGGAACTGGGTCCTACGCAGCAGGAAAGGCGCATTAACTGGGTCAGCCTAATGTGCAAACTAATGTTTGGAGAACATAGGGAAAAAATTACCCAGATTATTCTGACAGCAGCTGAGGAGAATGTCTGTGTTGCGCCATTAAGGGCAAGCTTGGGGGAGACGTTTTTCTCTCTCTCTCTTTTTTTTTCTGTCTTTCTCTGAGGAGGAGATGAAGACCAGATTATCTTTGAGTGCATGTAGCATGATTAAAAAGCAGAAAAGAGGAGGTGTTGCGGGGAAGTAGTCATGATTGAGTTAGAGTAAAAGCAGGGAAGTGACTTTTTCTGTCTGATATCCAGAGGCCGGGGCCAAAAACAAAGACGGAGTGGAGCTCTGTTGTATCAGTTCATTATACAGTGGGTTTACACACCCATGTTCCACTGCTGATTACTCCAGTGCTTGTGGTGATGATGAGGAGTGCACAGGGGTCTGATGTAATATGGCTAAAAGGGATTTGAGCGCGTGCCCCACAGGGCATTTCCACGTCCATTAATGCTGCCGCTGCTGTATTTTCACAATGATGACAGTGCTTCTGTTCTTTAAAGGGAGAGTGTTTTCCCAGGAAATTTTCCGTCTTGTTTCAGCATGCTAGCCCGAAGGGGGTCAGCCAAGAAGTCACCCTTTAGAGGTGATAATCCAATTGCTCTAGTCCTCACCAGATTTGTTTTCCCCTTGTCTGGCAGTGTGTTTGCGTGTGTGTGCGTGTGTTTACAGAGAGTGTAAGCATGCGTGTGTGAATGTAATAGACGTAGAATGGGATTCAGAGGCAGCAAGATGCCACCGGTTTCTTCTGTGTCCAAACCCCGGGCCCCTCTCTAGATCAGAGAGAGGTTACAGAGGCCAAGCCTGTCAAAGGCACACCTGCAGGGAAACTCCAAAAAACCCTGACTGCCAGCTTACACCAGCCCGTTTAAGGTGTGCTTATTTGGAGTTTAACCCTGACTTCAAATGTCCTTTCCCTCTCTCCCCCTTTGTGTTTGACCAATGGGCCTTGTGCTCTTTTACTTTCTTTCCTTTCTTCTGCCTCCCTTGGCTCTTTAATCTCTTCCACCACCCCCACCCTCCCAATTCTCCTCCCCCTAATATCCGAACCCCACATCACAGCTAAAAGGTCCCTCCCAAAAGGCAGCGAGCGGTTTGAGTCGAGTGGCTTAGCAAGGCCGACCATAGCTTGCTCACTTGCTGTGTGGTTTTTTCCCCTTGTGTAAACCCGAGTTTACCCACTGAAGCCTGTTTGGATACGAGCGGAGCAGCTATACCCTACAGGTAGTGCTTTCACCATGCTGCCACCGTCCAAGAGAGTGGGTGGATGATAAAGGAAGTGTGTTACAATCCGAGTTCTTCCCCTCTGCAGCTGATTTTCACGCGCACATCTTTCACGTTTATGCAAAGCTTTTGAGGGCATTATGCAAGATAAGCTCATTTTCTAGTCTGATTCCCACTCTAGTACATGCTTTAATGACTCTTAAAGCCAAGGGCTGCTTTTTTAGGCATAATAGCACTCCCGCAGACTCTCAGTTTCCATGTAGCTTTTTCCACACCTGATCACTTTTGTTTGCCCATTTTATGGCTATTGGGGAGCAGGCGGAGGTGAGCGATTTGACAGTGGTTAGTGCCATGAGCCCTAATGTTTATTGGAAGCAAGCGTCTAATAATTTTTGATTACCCCAGAGGAGGTATTAGCCATGTTAGTCAGCAAGGATAATTTCTTATTTACATGCCCCAAGCAGTGAGCACTCTGAAGGAACACTGGGGCTAAATGCGCAACAAAACGAATCAAACATGCCAAACGAGATGCTCCATCCTGGCTGGCTGCAGGGCTGGAGCTGAGAAAACCTTCATTATGCATTTACCATAATTCATTTAGAGGGTTATCAATTTGCAGAATACAGAGGGATATGTTTGGAGGGGGAAGCGAGAGCACCATATCAAACGGAGGAAGAGAAAAAGGAACAAGGGAGCACGAGATGAAAAGGAGTAAGATATTCAAGGATAGCTCAGTGCCTGGATTTTGAAAATGTTGTTCCAATTACACACTTTTCCATGTTTTCAGGCAGAACTCGCATGTTAAATGCTGCAATCTCGTCTCTTTTACCAGTGTCACGCTCCGCCCCCTAAAAAAAGGCAGAAGCTGATTTCCTTGTAATGAAAGCCATTTGGCCCTGGAATCCTCGTCGACGCAATTTATTTGTTGGGATTGAGGCTACATAGAGATTTTCTTGTTTAAATATTGCCTTTCTGTTCATTTAGGATTTCTCTTTGTTTGGCTTCTGCCCTGCTTACTCAGTGTGGAGCTCAGGACAGTCACTCCATGTTTTTCATTTTTCTCTCCTGGCAACACACACGCAGCAAGAGAAGAAAAAGACCTTTAAAAGCATCTTTTCCCTCTGCCATCAGGCAAGGATGACTAAGGCCCCATTAGAACAATTGCAGGAAACTTGGGGAGACGGGGAGTGTTTGAGAGAATGAAAGCGGTCAAAAAACACCACTATCTTGTGATAACCAGTGCTTTCTTTCATTATCTAAACACAAGAAAACCCTCCACCTTGGAAAAATTGCTCTCACTCTCATTCAAAAATAAAACAATGAAAACAGAGGGAGAAAAAAAGCGAGACACAAAAAGAAAAAAAAAAAAAACATTTAACATTTTCCAAAGTGAGGGAGGGGGAAACTGCATTGTTTAGTACGAATGCTTACTCCCAGGGATGCAGTCCTTAGACAACTGAGTGTCTGCAGGAGACATCTGTGAAGCCTGACCTTGTGACCCCGGAAAGAATGCTCTTAAGGTGGGGGAAAACTGCCTTTACCACTGCATCATGGCCTACAGGATCGCCCAGCAGCCGCACAACAAACCACTACAGAAAACAACAACACAGCGGACTGAGAGTCGATGAAAAAAAAATGAGAAAAAGGTGGGAAAAAAGAGGAAGTTTGAGTAAGGGAAGAAAAAACAGGATACTGTAAATGTAAAGAGAGGAAGAATTTAAAGGAGAGGAATAGAGGGAGAGAGAAAAAAAGGCAGATAACACGCACGGAAAAACACAGACGGACTCTGTGCCTCAAAGGCCTGGCTGTCTCTTACTCCTTTGCTCTCCCCCCCAACCCCCCCATGAGATCATTTTCATCCTTTATGAGTCAAAAGGAAGCCTGGTTGAAAATGAAAGGTTACACAAGCCAGAGCCCGAGCCCTCAGAGTGAGAGAGGAGAAGATCCCTGCTGCAAGGGCCCTGCTGCTATTCAAAGCACCTGCCATTGTGTGGGCGCCCATCCAGGCCCATTGTTGTGCAGAAATTAGTCGTGCTCCCTTTGGCTCCCTTCGGCTCCAGAGGCATGCGGCAGACCCCCTTGTTGTTTTGGGTTCAGATACGTGGTTGGATAGATGCGTGGCCCCAGCTACCATCACCACTGGCTGTGGCCCTTTGCCCTCTCTCCCAAAGCACAGTATCACTCTCATTTTTTGTTCATTTCTCAGGCCAACATTCCTATAGTTTTCCCTCTCTGTCTTTTGTACTCCTACTCTCCTCTTCTCCTTTGGTGTATATGCTTATTGTTCTTTGGAGCACCCTCATTATACCCATGGTTATATTTTAAGGGCCTCTCTCTTTGATTTTGGTCTCGTGGGGAGTGGAGTGGTGGGCTGGTGGGAGCTGTAGGGCTGGCCCGGCTCTCAGGGCTCCCTAGCTGGCGTCTCGGAGAGTGGAGCTTGGGGGTATTGTCGGAGGCCAGGCAACTGGTGCAGAAGCAGCTAGTGCAGGGGGTGGATGTGAAAGGAAAATTGAAAAGTCAATAATGAAGGCCGCACAAAAAAAAAAAAAAGAAAGAAAAGCGGAGGACGAAACAAAAGGAGATGGAGAGCTTCAAAAAGCTGAGAGCTATAGAGCACTGCTAATTAATAGCATCAGAGGAAGAGCTTCTTTTCTTCTTCTCCTTCTTCTTCTCTCTGGAACTTTAATGCTGCATAATAACTCGCAAGACAGGGCGATTTAGAGTTCACATTGTGAGTCAGGTCCATCTCATTGTCAGATCAACAAGTAGGAGTCATGTTTTATGAGAGATGAAGATGTGTAATGTCTGTCTCGAGAAACAAATATAAAATTACCAGCTGAGTAAAGCTGCTGTAGACATTTGTAATGCTGATACCGTATTTTTCTGGCCATAAGGTGCACTATAAATTAACATGTCTATGTTCACGCATATGGCACACCGGATTGTAAGGCGCATTTAGCAAAACAACACAGTCCAGTAAATCAAACTTTATCTAACTCAGTTGTAACAAAAATTTGCGGTACAGAAAAGTAGGCTCGAAATTCAGTGTCTGAGTTAAACAGCTGTGCGATTTTGGCATCAAGTATGCCCAGATCCCTCTCATCATTATCCGAGTCAGTCTCATTGCTGTTATCGGTACTTGGCTGTTCAGCGATGATTCCAGCTTTTGTGAAAGCTTAGATGACAGTTACCGTAACCAAAGTCGTACTTACACAATTTGACAGATTTTGAGCGCATTGTACCACATACATAAGGCACGCTGGATTTTTAAGTGCGCCTTATAGTCCGAAAAATACGGTAGCTTCGGGGTGTTTCTTTAGCTGCAATATACAGTAAACTAAGTCCATCTTCACAACCTAAATTTGATATAGACCAGTGTTACTCACTGTTTAGTCTCCCATTTATTGTTTTGCTAACACTCATTATATCCCTCTGCTTAACTAACACACACACCTGCATCCTCCTGCCCTTCCCCCAACCCCATTGACATTCATTTATCTAGTTTCACCCTTATTCCAATTTGTCTCCAAATTCCCCTTTTTCACATTGCCAATCAAAAAGTAAAGTCCACAAATGTAGAAGAATATAACTTTTTATGGCCAGCAAGTCAGACCTTCAGTGATCCACACCCGGGTTTTGCAATTTGTACTTTTTCCCAGCTGTAATAGCCTCCTCCTCCTCTCTCACTGTCCCTGCCATACCAATTTCCACTGCCGACAGCTGTCAAGCCCCCCAAAATCAAAATTAGCGCCATAGAATTGGGCCTTAATGAAATGACCTGCTGGATTTACCTTAAGGAGCATGGTGGACAGTCAATACTCGCCACGTCAAAACCCCCTCTCTCTGCGTGCTGCGGTCCCATTAACGAAGGGGAATAGTCTCTAGTAAATGTATTAAGCACTACTTCCACCTTTCTAATTATATTTTCCCCTTCTCCTTTCATAATTCATTCACTCTTTCATTAGTTTTTAATATTGAAAAAGGCCTCCGACTGGTTCTTCTTGTCTCGTGGGGTCAATTATTTGTCAGGATGTATTAGACGGATTTTAAAGTAGCCCATGTTGTGTATAAGAGATTAATGCAGATTCACCCTTAAGCATGTAACATGGAAACGTGTTTCTTTTTTGCAGTTTTAGGACCATTTTTAGTGGTTAAACAACAGTATTTCAATCATATCATACATAATAATGTTACATTAAGACTTAAACTGCTTCTCCTGCTTCCTATAGAGAGAGGTGAATGTGTGCCAAGGCCCAGCGGAGGACACTGGGCCCTGGTTATTGACTTGTAAAGGAGCCGGTAGGTGAGGGGTCTTGACAAGACATGAGCGGCTGACTCTCTTGTAAAGCTGTATCTGATTTCTCTTCTAGTTGGCTCCCTGGAGAGAGCCGCTTTACCCTCTGTTGATCAGACTCGCACTCACAGCAGTATGGAAAAACGTGGCGATAAAAAGAATGAAAGAGTAGTTTTGTGTGAGGAGACGCTCATGTTCTGTGTGCTGAAGTTCCCTGTAAGAGAGAGAATAAGAAGGAGAGAGGAGGGAGGGAAGGAGGGGGAGGTGAGGAATCAGCTGCAAGAGTACATGCAGTGTATATCTCAGTAAACCTCCTCAAATTATTGTTTTGTCGAGGTTTGTGCTGCGGAGTTCTCCACAAGAGCGTCAGGATTTGTGTAGGTGTAAAATAAGAGAGAAGTGTATCAGACAAAGCTGGTATCAACTCAGCGAGGGCCTCACTCCTCTCAGATCTGACTAATTTATGAGGGTAAACTGCGCTGACATACAGAGAGAGAGCGAGAGAGAGAGAGGGAGAGAGAGATGCAGGTGGAGGGAGGAAGTTTTCATTGACTCCTCCGAGCAGGCCAAGCCAAAGCCCCTGGAGGGATCTCTCTCAGTTTGAACTTTATCAGGGGCTACGCTTAATCAATACGCTATCGGAAAAAGAATTAATTACTAAAGCAGAATAAAACAGCTGCATTTTAAACCGAGGATTCATCAATTCTGTAATCTCTTGGTTACAGCTCAGGTGTCAGGAGGATCATTTCAACTCCATGTAATGAGGAACAGTGGGAGTACACTCCAACCCTCTGCCGTCTCCCACTTCTCCCTTTTCTGACCCCCCCCCCCCCTCTTCTTCAACCAACACCCACTTCCTATCCTATCCTATACCACCTCCTGTAAGAGAAGTCTCTCCTTTTCAATCTCATTTTCAGTTCGTTTCATACCTTCGCGGTTCATCCTTCGTGGTTTTACTGTACGCCCCCCTTCTCGCCCTGCTACATTCCCTTCCCACCAAATTCCTGTCTTTGCGGGGATGGGACGTAGGGGTATTAAACTTGAAATCTCTGGTGCGAACACCGACTGGAACGGGACATTCCCGCTGCTGCAGTCATCAAGCCGGACATTCCTCTACTCGGGGCTGGGACACCGCTGGTGCTGCAAAAGAGGGGGGGTTGTTTCAGAGGGTAAAAATCTGTCTTCAATGCAAAAAAAAGAGCATGGAGTCAAATTAAACTGACAATCAAAGACGAGGATCGACTAAAAGGAAATAAAAATGCCATCAAAAGCATCTGAAAATAACCTTGGCTGTGGTGTTGCCTCGAATGCCGCCACAGGCCTTGACCCCGGCCCAAAGCCTGTAAACGGACTGTCCTTGACTCCCCATAATGGGGGATTTCAAGGCAGGTTGAGAAGGGGTTATGGGTGATGAATTGGGTTTTTAGTGAGCTCATTAGGAAGCCAAACAGAGTTTAGACTGGCGGAGCGGGGCAGCAGTGCAGTAATCAGTTCTGCTCGCTTTGTTCCCTGCCTTCAGGACATTTGTGTGAAAAAAGAGAGAGAGAGCGAGGAGGAAAAAAAAAAACAAAAAACTTCATGGCATTTGGCTGATGAGAGGGCTGCCGAGCAGAGGCTACAATCTGATGGTTGACTTGTTGATTTATAAACCTTTTAATCCATTTACTCCACCAAACCCCTCCAGCTTTCTGCAGAAAAGCCACATCTCTGTGAAAGTTCCCTTTGATGCCACTGTCCATCAGGTGTGGCAAAGACCCTGCGATAAATCCAAGTCATGAGTATAAAAAACATGTTTGTTTGTTTGGCTTTAAATCGTAATTGAGGGTAAGAGAATCAGAGCCGATGCTGTAACCATAAATTGCCTGAAACGGTAAAAGCTGGTCCGAATCAGAAAACCACACTGTTTAAAATGACCCGCATACAGCTGCTTTCGCTGGTTTACGTGGAAGACTTTGACATTAAACCATTCCTAGCAGGGATTCAACAGCGTTTTCTTCACAAACAGATGGATTTATCAATTCTTATTCTCTCCTGCTCGGTTTCTATTCCCTCTTTTCGCTTCTTCCAAAGTAACGTCATTCTTTGAAAGATGAAAAAGTGTGGAAGCAGGTTGTTTTACTAATGATCGTGCTTGTTTAGGTTCAACATAGCCTTGCTTGCTTTTGGGAAATACCTATTCTTTAATATTTAATGCCGCATCAGACCTAAGGAGTTAGGTATGCTTTTCTGTTGTTCTATCCAAGCAGTCATAAATTATAGAGATGGTTCTGTAAATCTTTATACCGTTCACCACAAGCATCAAGAACAGCTTTAGTGCATGGTAAGGAAAGAAGCAAGGTCCAAACGTAGCAGAGCAGAAGCCTTGTTCGGACAGATGCATTGGCAGATTTGTAGATTTGTTTATTAAGAAACAAGGTCCAAACTAAGATTACCTGCGAGACCAATTAGTCCCATTCGATTCGGATTCTAGGGGAAGTACAGCGGCAGTGTCGGAGCGCAAGTGGAGCAGGGTGGAGTTGTCAGGGAGGCAGAGAGTGTGAAATGTCTGGTGGGGACCCAAAGCCCTTCATTAGCCACTGATCCCTGTCTGCTGAGTGAGGAGCAGTCATGGGCATCACAGCTCCCCTTTTAGTCTCTCCTCCCCAAAAAAAAGAGAAGAGAGAGTGGGGTTAGGGTGAGAAGGGGTGGGAGAGGAGGGTAGCTCCCCCATCCCCTGCAATTTAGCCCTTTGCCATTCATGCAAATTGGGTCCTGACATCTGCAACAGCCTGCCTCCTTTTCTTTTATACATCTTTATTCCATCGCTTTTCTTTGGAGCTTTTTTTTTTTTCCTCTGCAAATAAAAGCCCCCCTCTTTGGATTGCAGAGTCTTGTCTCAGCTGACACGCATCCTTTTATACATACTCCACATATGTGAAATAGCAACACTTTCCTCTGCACTTTGAATAATACTCATAGCGAAAAAAAAATAAAGTTCAAACTGTCTAAGTTTATAGCGCAATAAGAAAATTGTTGCTGCAGGTAGAAGGTTAATTGCGCCCGTAGTTCGTCTGGTTTAAAGACTTGGATTATGTGCACACTATGAGCAACCGGTTCTACATTTTCAAGATCTTGGCAAATAATAATTATATGAAAAGATCAAGAGAGTTCTGGGCAGTGACTCTGGAGAAAAAGGCAGTAACCATGCAACCCCCTCCCTCCTCCTCTCCCTCCTGGACGCACTACTCTTCTTTGGCTCCAGGGGAGAAGCTGAAAGGGGAGGGTGGCTTTGCTCCAGCCCTTATTTTGGGTTAAAAGGTAAAATAGCCGAACTGGCTGTTAAAAACAAGTTTTACCTCACCCCCTTCCCCTCCCCTCCCCTGCCCTCTCTTTCTCTCCCAGCTCCCTGCTCTTCACTCCAGCCTCGCCCTCTCCTGTTAGGGATGTGCACAGTGGGGTCAGCGCCGTGCCTGTGAGAGGAGAGAGGCCTTGTATCGGTGGAGAGGCGATAGTTATCTTCAGCATTCCAGGGATGACAGAGAGATATCTGCCTGATGGCAGGGTTAGGGGGCTTAGAGAAGGGGCGGAGAAGGGAGGGCAGGAGAGGAGGTACAGGAGGTGTTGAGCAACTACCCCCCCGACACACACACCTCCCTCTCTCCTTCCTTTCTTACTGCCTGACTGCCTCGCTTCCCCACACGTAGAGAGAAAAAACCCATCTAATTAGAAGCTCTTATTCCACTTCATTTAAGGGAACACTTAATGATGTGTTTTTGGGGGGGAAGACAACTACACATTACTTCTCATGCAAAAGGAACCGCTCAGTCGTAGCACTCAGGATGCAGATACAGCTGTGTTTGAGATGGAGGTTTGTCCTCTGGGGTGTCATGGCTGGTGGAGAAAGGAGGAAGAAGTGGCAGCTTTCTCTCCTCCACCTCTATCCAGAGTCCTTGTGGTAGGTGGAGGGGGGTTGCAGGGTTAAGGAGGAGGTGGGCATGCGAGTTTAGCAGGGAGACTTGCTGAAGGAGAGAGTTTGTTGTAATTGCTCTGACAGGTTTTAGGGCTGTTAATGACTCTGGCCTGAGCGCTACCAATTTGTCAGCATGCTTGCTGTTTACTAAGCTGTTGTTTTATGGTCCAGTGCAAGGGGCTGCTGCTTGTTTAAGCACAGATCAGGAAATAATCAGCGTAAAAAAACACTGGCTGCTACTAAAACAGTCCTGTTTAGAGCCCTCATCTACTGTATGCATGTGAATGAGCGCAGTAAACCATATGGTGCGGTCACACAAACACTCCTGATGGGTTACTTACTGTTAGAAATTGGATGCTCAAGTGTGTGTTTTATCATTAAAGGGATTATGCTCTACTCGTTAGCACTCGTCTGCGCTGTATGCTACGTGAGTGTGAAGCATATTGCTAGCATGCGGTTATAGCCAGAGGAGCTGTAATCCCCAGAGCAACAGAGGGTCGGCCATTCCTCCAGTGTGAATAGAGTTGGTACGTGTTTGTGTATGTGTGTGTGTGTATGTGTGTGTGTGTGTGTGTCAAGAGCATGTGGTCCCAGAGCCGGCAAAGACCCCTTCGTAAATCCAGAGTAAATAAAAGGGGTAACCAGACGGACAAAAGAGGAGCCCCCACTGCTTCTCTCATTCGCTGCCATTTGGGGGGGACTGAATGTGCTAAACGCCGCTTATGTTGGCTGAAAAGTTGAGGAGAAAAAGAGGGGAAAGGGAGGCTCTAAATCCCCCTCTTCTTTTCTCTTCATTCTCCGCGGCCAAGCCTGCAGGGCTAGAGGTGGTGTAAAAAAAAAAAAGGAGGGGAGGGCTGGAGGGCCCCGGTCACCATAGCGTGCTAAGGTGGAGAAGGCCAAAGAAGCGGCTGCTAGCTCTTAGCTTCTGTTCTCCGTGTGCTCTCCTTTCCTTCTAACTTTTCTCCTCTCGCCTCATTTGGGCGAGCTTGGGTGAACATGCCTGACTAGTTTGGGCTGACAGCGGGCTTGGGGGGTCTGTTGTAATTAGTCACTTTAACCACAGCTTCCATGAGCCACTGCCTCTACACTCTTGCTTCATTACCCTGAAACAAATGCAGGGGCCTCACTGTGCAAAATCTCTGCACAGCCTTCAGAATAAAACACACAACACCGCACCTAATGCTTGTTTAGAGGCTTTTCTGTAGGTTTATTCATAGTATAGGGACCAATAAGTCTGGAGTGTTATTTTATAACTAACCATGACTGTGTGTCGGTGTGTTCCAACTATTGACAAGTCGTTCTTCATTTATGCATGAGTATATAGGATGTATGCACTGATAGAGCAGCAATATATGTTACTTGTGGTCATATCCATAATGTTTCCCGAGCAGACCAGACTCTAGTGGCTCCCTGAGGGGTATGGTGTCTCGTAGACATGAGGTATGATTTCCAAAGTCATTAGGCCTCCCCTGGATTCCACTTTTTTCTCAGCAGACTGCAGGACACTTTGTGCTAAACCAGTTCTTTGTGCGAGAAATCCTGAAGCGACCCTGAATGTGCCAACACAAGATAAGCAGAGTTGCAGCGTGTTTACAGTCCTTTCCCAACGCGTTAATGAGCTCAGCCCTGAGACCAATTTACTTACAGGGAGATATATCTGAATGCATTTTTAATAACCACCCAGTGGTGATGAGAGAGGGGATGCATATGAGCGTAATGTGCTCTCGGACTTGTTTGTTTGCCGGCGTGCTCATTCACTCCCTCACCCACTTTGCATCTGGTCATTGTCTTCCATCTCGCCTGATTACACCATCTCCTTCTCCGCGCTCAAGAAAATATGCACAAAGTTTCATCGTGAGCACTTTAAGTCAAGATATTGCTAGAATGGAGGGAGGGAGAAGGAGAGACAGAAAGAGAGAGGGGGAACTAGGAGGGAGAAGAAGGGGGGGGGGGGGGGGGGCTGTCTTTTTTTCCGTCTCCAAGGGCGCTGCTTTTCCAAAAGTGCCTGGGGCTACACTCCTGCACCTCGGCTCCCTCAGGCCTTTCGGCTGCCTCCTAATAGCCAACCCCCATCTGTGTCACATGGCCAGATGATGGGACGCTTCCCCCTGCTCTGCCCTGTACTTTTTTTTTCTTTCCCCATCTTTTTTTCAGAGTGCACATCCACACAGGTTAGAATGGCAGAGTTGCCAGGGAACAGTCAGAAGCCATTAGCGTTTGGGACAATTTGCCCTGCAGCGTTCCTTCTCTCGCTCGTAAGAAAGGAGTGGGGGTGGATGCAAAGCACCAGCTCTCCTTTAGATGTAATGAGGTTGTGCAAGTTGGGCCCTCTTGATTCTTTTCTACTCCTTCTGTTCCTCCTCCTCTTTCTCCTTGATCCTCTCTTTCTTTGTTTCTTCTTTTTAATCTTCTATCCACACTTGATTTTTCTGCATATTTTTTGAGAAAACACATTTCCCTGCATGTGTCAGTTAAAAAAACTCTCATCAGCACTTCCAAACATGTCTAATCTGCGTGCGCATGTGAGTGAGAGACGCACACAAGGGCAGAGGAGCCGAAAGCCGACTCGGAGTCCAGTTTCACCCTCGCAGGCTAGGGCAGGAGGCAGCGAGCATGCCGGGTAATGAAGTGACAGGTCAGTCTGTAAATACGCATGGGTCGCTCCGGCCCTGGCCAGGGGGGAGGCTATCGCATTGCAGTGAAAATGGAAACGTCAATAAAATTAATCTGCCAGCCTTTTGGCCACTGTGTGGTTCCATTGGATGAGCCTGACTGCTCACAGCAGGAGAGGGATTTGTGGACCAGCTCGAAAATCAACACAAAACCTTGCGGCACACAAACAAACAGGCGAAGTGTGTATCAACATTATTCAGTGGAGCTCAAAAGCAGAGAAACAAGGGGAGGGTGGTTAAAATTCACAGCTCACCAGTTGTGTTGTTGTTTAAGTTTGGAAGCAAACTGGGGGAGTTCGGCTCGACTTCCGCCTGGGTCGCATTTCTCAGGAAACCCCTCACAGTCAGGGCAGCGCTACAGCCAGACTAAAGTTTATTGTTTTAGGCTTTCCTGAACAAGGATTCGTACTTAGCCTGGGATTTGTGGCATTTGTCACTAATGAACACCCACTCTACAATTACAACACCCCATCCCTGTGTCCCTGTTCCCATATGTCCGTCAAGAGGGTCTGCTGCTGCTGCTGCTTTGACTTCACACGGGGAGCGCAAAGTCTGCACTTCTCTGTTTCGCCCTTTCGTGTGGTTCTGCACTAATGATGTGGAAGGAAAACAGAGAGTACAGAGAGGAAAGAAGGACAGGGAAAGAGAGAGAAAGGGGAGGAAAACGAGGGGGAGAAAGGGGAAAGAAAGTGGGCAAAGTAGTTGGAAGAGAGGGCCCCTGCTGTCCTTGTATTCTTCATTTATTTTGCATTTGATTACGACACGAGTCGGATCCTTTTTCTTTCCTTTTTTTAATGTTATTACCTCAAATATTTATGCGAGATTAAGGCTTATATAGGTGCCCGTGATTGATGCCTCTCCAAAAACAGGAAGACATGCGAGTCTGAATTTTGAGAACGTCAGGGTCCTTCCCTGCCTTAGTGGAGGAGTTTTTCAGATACATAATTTAGATGCCCTCAAGGAAGGCTTTCAAGGCATTTGTGCCCGGGGGCAAGAAAAAATAACTATGACTCTTAAAAGTAAATCATTTTTGCTAATGCACAATTAATGCAGAGGAAGAGGAACAAGAAAAAAGGCAAGGGACAAAGATGGAAACTTCGATTTTAAAGGAGAAATCGTGTCAGGGTATGTGCATGTTTTTTCCTCTTGATATCAAACGCTGACGGACATTAATGCAGGCGAAGCCGCCGCTGGCCTGTCATGCTAATCATGTTGCAGAATGGGGAGGGGTTGCTGCAAGGGATGGGAGTGGGTAAAGGAGGACTAAGAAAGTCTGGGTTGAGGGGGGGGGGGGGGGCAGAGGAGTCCATTATGTGCATCCAAGTGCAACAATGAAGCACCCCAGATCACATCCCTACTTTGATACTTCGCAACTGGATGCCGTGAATTATCAACGCCTTTGAGTTTTGTTTATATGCAAGTGTGTGTCTGTGCACGCAACATGAATGCATGAGTGTCTGCGTACTACTCTATAACTCCTTCCTGTCCCCTTTGGCTCTCTTCAAAAGATGAGAAAAAAAATGCTCTACATTATGTCAAGCATGCAAATTTAATTGAATTAATGACATGAGTCCGAGTCTCTTGTGTACGTGAAGGCTCCTTGTCCTTTTTTTTTGTCATCTTGCTCCATTTTTTCGTGTCCTCCTCTTACTGTAGCGCTCCCCTCACAGTGCCCAAGCATAACATTACATTCATTAACCCTTTAGCCCTCTGCAGTGCTCCGGGGTATAGAACACCTCTGTTAGGTCTCTGTGTAAACCCCTCACTCTCTGTTCATGCCTCCGTCTAAGGCCATCCAAATCCCCCCTTGCCTCTATTTCTTCCACTACATAACACTGGCTTTGCTCGCCCTCAGTACACTGCTTTTGAATTCTTATCTGTGGTATTTGTCCATTTATCCATCTTTCATAAGCCTTAAACTCAGCTTTGTCTGTCAGTATCTCAGTTTCAGCTCTGAGAATTTTTTAGATCAAGAACTGTTTTTTTATGGTACTTTGAGTCAGTGCTGTAGTCTTGGATGTTATTTAACCCGGGGTTTGGTTCCCGTCCAGGAGATGGCTTAGACAACAGCGTTGCATCGCCTGGCACAGGGGATGATGACGATCCAGACAAGGATAAGAAGAGGCAGAAAAAGCGTGGCATTTTCCCCAAGGTGGCCACGAACATCATGAGGGCGTGGCTGTTCCAGCATCTCACGGTAAGCCCAGACTTTACTTTTTTAAGGGGGGGAAAACACACACATTGTCAGAGAAATCCCTGCACACACACCTGTCACAAAGTTGTCACTCAGTGGCTTTAGCACTGTGATGCTCACCTGTCAGCCACCTGTCAGAGGGACACACTGACCAGGTCAACCTAATCAGTTGGGACTGTTTATTCTGCTCAGCACATTCACAGTCAGGGATGGACAGCCCAACAATCCAGGACATCTACTCTACTATGAGATACACTGTTTGTTTGGCCTGAAGAAGAATGTGTTTTCAGGGGCCTGCTGAGTAAGGCCTGGTACTTCCTGGAGAAAGATAGTGGCGAGAAGTGATGTAGAGAGGGTGTGAAATTCTGAAACATTTATACCTAACCCTTGAAGTCAAACATATTTTTTTATTGGAGCAGTATTTTCTTTGTACGTAGATCATAGCGGGTAAAGATTTGTAGCTCTTGGCTTTAAAACGCAGGAATGATTGATCAGGTTCACATTTAAAGCCTGGTTGACTTTGCAGTTTTTTCAACTTATGTTTCAGCCTGAGATATACGCTGCTAATATACTCTCGGTGTATTTTATCACATGTAATGTTGATTCAAAGCTGCTCGGTGGTCTTTGACAAGCTGTTTCTGTACGTTTCAGTCTGTTTTTCCCCTGTCTGTTTGTGTAAAGACCACATGTCCCCCCCACCCTTACTAATGTCAGGACATTATCAGAACATCAGGCTGTATTGATTTTGCAGCACAGGTCAGATTTCAGGAGGAGGTGGCCTCACCAGGACACATTAGCCGCTCTCTGAGTCCCGGAGACAGAAGGATGTCATAGAAAGAAGAAAAATAATCTGGAGAAGTCTTAGTTGAGAGCAAATTTAAGACGGTCAGGTGCTCCCTGTTCCCTTCCCCCCACCCATGCCCTCTGTACCCTGATTACCTAACCAAAACCCCAAGTACTGTGTGGCCAGCAAATACGGCCTAATTGAAAGGGCTGTAAATCCATTACATATTGGTCAGGGATAATCAGGAGTGCTTTAATCACTTTTATCTATTCAGGAGCAGTGAAGCTGCAACAGCAAAGCCCTGAGCCTCGCAGGCCTTAGCGGCTCCACCACGCCAGTCTGCATGCTTATTATTCTCATCATTATCAAAATGACTTCACAGCTGTTCACAGCTCCATCGTTCCCTGACTGGAGAGCTCTCACCGACGCTCACACACTGGGTACAATTCAGAGGCTGAGGGCGCAGGAGGGAGGGGGATAAACTTTTTTTTTTTTTAATTTAGAGGGAGTTTTTTTACTCACTTTGATTTAAATCCTGGAGACAAAACACAAAGCAAATTTTTTAAATCAAAATTTGAATTAAGCTAAGTTCCTAAATGCACGCACAAAACACCCTGATGTCTTACTAAGTTTGACTTCAAGTTGTGTTGGTCCGCACCACAAACTTCTTCAAAAAGATGCAAAGATAAAGAAGGAATGATGCATTCAGAGCTTTTGGAAAAGTTGCCGACATTTTCTTTACATTTGTTTTAAAATTGAATGGAAAGAAAGGAAAGGAAAAGAGAGAGAAAAGGAGCCCGATGTCGGGCACAGGCGCATTTTTCAGAGAGCTGGTTCATTCAGTCGGTTAATTCAAGGCCTTCCTTTTCTCCGTCCCTCTCTGCTTTATCACATCGCCTGCTTGTAGATGTTCTCTCCAATCTTTATTTGTTTCTTTTGTGCGAAGCCCTGGCCAGTCTTGTACAAATAATAATCCCTCCCTTTTAACCTGCCTTCATTTCTCTACTGAGGAAGAGGACTAATTGAATTATCCCCCTTCTCACCATCCAGCTCTCCCACCCATAAACTCTCTCTTACTCGGCCTCTCCCTCTCTCTCACACACACACTCACACCCATTAGCCATTCCCCTTTCTTTTAATTTGTTAAGCAAATGTATTTGCTATTGCGAGATGCGTTTGTGCAAAGGGGTGAATTCTTGGGGACTTTGGCCCCTGAATGGCCTATAGCGGCATTCTGCCATTCATGCATTCATTAACTGAGGGGTGAGGAGTGAAAGGAGCGGCCTTGTATTTTCTCAAACTGTGGGGGCCAGCATGGAGCTCCTCTTGCATGAGCCGCAGGGGTCTCTCTACATATGTTCTCAACATCCAGCCATTGTCACATCCTCTGAAAAGCTCAAAAGGAGAGGACCCCCCTTCACACGCAGAAAAACAACACAGGCCAATAGTAACAACTGTTGGCTTTTGGATTCAGTATAACAAAATTGCCCTCTCTCGCTCCCCTCCCACCCAGCCTCGCTTTAGTCTGACCTCACACTCTCCTGGGAGAAATCGCAGAAAGGTTTTTATCAAACGTATAGAAATGAACCGCGTTTCACCTTGAATGTACCATCAATCCAGCCGAGCCGAGAGAAAAATACAGTTTTTAGTACTGCGAGGATTTCACTGTTACAACACAGTGGAGCTGTGATAAAGCTGACCTCATTTATGTTGAGCTCATATACACACACACACACATACACCACCACAAAGCACGTGAGCTGGCAACCTTAAATGCCCTATATGTAATTGGCAAATGGCTGGACAGATCAGCTGGTGTAAGCTGGCAGAAGAGGGTCAGACAGTCTCTCACCTCCCTCCTTCTATCCTTCCTCCCACTCCTTTTTCTCTCTCTCACTCACTCTCTCTAATACCCCCTCCCTTTTTGTCCTCCCCTCCCTCCCTCTCCATGAGTTTCTGGATGTCTTCCAGCCACATTAGGGGAAGGAAAATCCCAGACTGTTGGTATAAGCTTTTCAATACTACAGGGAGATTATGTTATCAGAAAGGTAAACTTCTCTGTTAGGGGTAAAATGTTCTACTGCACTTCAAAAGCATCGGGGGAGGAAAAAAGAGAGAGAAATAGCTGGATGGGAGGAATGTGAAAAGAAATTAAATATATGTTTTATGTTGTTTTTTTGCATAAGGTGATGCCCTTTTGTTTGGCAAAAGCAAACGCTAAAACCTACAATTAGCCCCTCTGCGCCCCTGGCCTTCCTTCCCTCTCACCCCCTGCTAGCCCCCTGCTATCCTTTACTCACCCCTGTAAAGACAAGAGGTCGGCCTTGCAATGAAAACAGGAAGCACTCAAATCCAAAGATACCACTCTGGGCTGCGGCCTTGTCTTTTGACTAGTGTAAACCCTCAAACACCTATGAAAATAAATAGGGGACCTCAGGAGCCAACCTAGCTCGGTTGAGAGGGGTTGCACACTCGGGTATGTGGTAGCGAGAGAGAGAGAGAGTGTTGGAGGGAGGGAGGGAGGGAGAGGGGGCGTGTAAAAGGGTGAGTGGTCAGTCAGATGGGTAAGTAGGTAGCCCTCTCAAGCATCAAGCGTCTCAGGTTTTGTGCTGGGCCACCCTTTGGCCCGGGTGTTTGGGGAAATTCTGTTAAGCTGCTAAGCCAGGTGTATTGGTCCCTTGGGCTCCTTGAAAGGGAAGTGATATATCCCTCGGTCATTTGGAAAATCCTTTGACTGTGAGCAGCAGAAGTGTTGTCCAAAAGTGACGTTATACAATTATTAGTTCGTTGAATTGTTGTAGGATTTATAAACATTACAACCTTATGTAACGTTTATATTAACTTTAGCCTTTATGTCAAATAAACGTAAAAGTTCCCTTTGAGTACAGCGTGTAGGCGTGTGAGTGTAACCTGTTGACGTTAACTTTTAGTATGAGTTGATTTTGGCGCCCCCTGTGGACAAAGCAGTCATCTGTTGTTTGATTCAGACCAAAGCAAACAAAAAAATCATAAATACAAAGTGGCAGGAGAAACATTTCAATTATCAAATATGGGCAGTTACATCTTATTGTGTTGCCTACTGTAGCTTTAACATCTCTGCTCATACAGGCGCCCACCAGAGTGACGACACATCTCACTTTGCAAGTAGATTGTGCTGCAAACATCATTAGACACTACTGACAGTAGCCACCCCCCCCACCTCCCCTACCCCACCCTCCTCTCCCAACCCAAGCCCAACATAGCATTAGTCTCCATGACAACAGGGTGTCATCGTCAGGTCGAGCCCTCCTCGCTGCTCTCTCGACCGCCCTTTATAGACGCACATAAAAGAGCCAGCTAGGGTCATTCACAAGACATGGGCGAAGGCGAGGCCGGACCCTGGCAACGGATGTTTGTCCCGGTATGATAAACAAGTGTACAAGTCCATCCCTGTTAAAAAGGAGAGGGCATGTTGTTTGAGTAGACTAAACAGTCAGCTATGCAGTGTCCTCAGTTGTGTTTAAGCTTCTCGAGTCTTTCTAATCCAAGTGTGTTGTTCTAGGAGGAGCGGCGTTTAACTGGTGGAGACACACATCTGCAAACACTTTGAGATACCCGAGCCCTTTCTCCTTTTACACTGATCTGCTGAGAGCTGTTTATTCCATATTTCCTACTTTGTCTCTCCAGTGTTTTGCACGTTGCACTGCACAGATAGTTTACAAATGGATGCATAGCTGGAATGTTTTTTCGTCATCTGGTGCAATTAAAATGTCGATCTATCTGAGTTCACTTTTATGCAGCTTGGGAACTTTTTGAAAGCCAGAAATATTATAAGTTAACTACTAAAAGTCATGAAAACCTGTTTGAAGTCACCTCCTGAGGTTGTTGTGTGAGTTTGGTTAAAGAGTAGGCGATGACAAAGCAAAAGGAGGGGGGAGGAGGGGGGTTGTTTAGGCGTAAGAGCAAAGGGTGAGGAGGGAGTAAAGAGGGGGCTCCTAAGGGTCACAGAGGTGGGAGCCTGGAGGAGGCCCACACACTAATCTGTCATGTGCTCGTTTGCCTCGGAGCCCAAAAGTCAGCCCTCCAGTCACCCGTAGCAACCCAGGCGACAGTTTGGTTCATCGCCGCTGCCCAGATCAGTGGGAGACGCAGGAAAAAAAAGTCATCACATCACTTTCAGGACAATGCCAGCTGCTTTGTGTGTTTGCGAAACAGACACAAGTGTCAATATGACAGGATAGTTAGGTGGTGTTTAGCACAGGAGTCATTGAAAGTCATTGATAATGACTGGAGAAGATCTTAATGGGGGGTTGAAGGTTGGTGCAGAGCTATTGTTAAGTTGCTGTGCTCTTATTTTGGCTGCTCAGCGACCCTGGAAAACAGAGACGCACGCCACCTCAGTCTGCCATCTGTTCTACTGGAGAGCAGCTACCCCAGCATGGAGATGAAATCCAACAAAGAAGCAAAAATACATTCATGGAATTAGAAATTTTACCCATAAATCTCACCGTACTTGTAAATCAAGTTTATTTTTATCTGTAAGTCTCAATCAGGCAGCCTTACACCCTGCACAGTTTGTGACACCGTCTATTCTTGGTCCCTCTTGTCAACAAGGTGTTTCTTGTCGACGGATTGAGCGGAGAAAAGAATGAAAGTTTAGAAGGGAGATCGAGTGACTTCCCATTTTCACAGGCTGTATAATTATATGACGTGCCGCATCAACTTTGCCATCTCATTGCAGAGCGGCTGTGCTGTAATTTCCCAGTGTTAGTGTGTCACAGCTCTGTTTACAGTGTGATCTGACAGAGTTGGTAGCTGCTCCGGAGGTTTTAGTGCTGCATTAGAATGTAATAAGCCCTAATTCGTTTCATGCTCCGACATCAGACCTTTACACTTTGCCCCCTAATCCAGATCTGTCATAGCTCCACTTCAAAGCCAACTAAACCCACGTGGAATCCACTGACATATAAAGCATGGCACGTTAACCTTGCTTACACTATTTTGTGTGTGTGAGCTTGTAAAAAAGAGCAGAGATGTTGCTGTATTTTACGTTCACACTATGCCATTGTGCATGTGTGGATGCACAGACTCTTGCACAACACTTCTCCTCCCTCCTCCTCCTTTTTTCCCTCCCTCTCTGTTAATTTTCATCCCCGCTGTTTGCATCTTAATGCAGGTTGTTTAATGAAGTAGCAGAAATGAGCGCTTTCGCTAAGGGACTGTTTACAGCACGTGCAGGATGCATGGAGGTGATTAAGCAGTGTGAAACTTCTCGGTGTTTGCCAAAGAGCATTCCGCGAGATATCCTCCTGTCGGACAACAGAAAAGGAAAAACAGAGAAGAAGAATGTTCCCTAAAATGGGATTCAACGTGAGCGTCGCTACAGGGGTCGTCCTTATTGCGTACCAGGAGCACAGTGTGAGTTTGAGCGGCCCCGGCAGAGGTGACTGCACATGCCATGACCGCAGCAGAATACAAACAGAGCGAGACCTGTGGAGGGCAGTCAGATTTATACACTCAAAAGAGACTCCTCTAAAGCATACATGAGGCGACTTCTCGAAGGCCCCGTGATCATCTGAGAATAGGCAACAACCTGGGCATGTTTCCCTGCCTTTGGCGCAGCAGGGGAATTGTCTGCCGCTGTAGTCACAACACTGACCTGTTAGCGAGGGCCTGGCTGAGCTAGCTTGGAAAAAAAAACGAGCTGAATGACGTCAGGCAGACTGTGATAGCACACATGCCCCTGGTGGAAAAGCAGGGTTATTAAGATGGTGCGAGCTGATTCTGTGCTGCCTTCCCTTTTCTACACTTTTGGGGTTATCTTACTCATAACAAAATATATAAGAGGATTTTGGTTTCACATCTTCGAGCCGGTTTCCTTAAATTACCCCTTACCCTTCCAGGGGTACCACCCTGCAGGCTAGCCTCAGCCACCCCCACCCCTCCCCTTCTCCTCCCTATGGTTGATTGCGGGGTTGTGGCAAGAGCTGCTAGAAAACGGTGGCTGCTGCATGCTGGGGGGACCACAGAGGCCAATGAGATTCTGCTGCAGGCCTCCAAGCTGCCCCAGCAGTGCTTTGATATTCATCTCACACCAAGAGAAGAAAATGCAAAAGGGAAAAGGAAGCAGCACAAGCGTGGAAACAGCAAACCGGGCTAAAGACGAGGAGGGAGGGTGAGAGGGAGGGAGGCGAGTAAAGAGAGAAAGGTTGAAGGATGGAGGCACCGAGAAGAAATCAAAAGCAGACCTTGTGTGTTACACTGTTTGGTTTGTCATGGGACCCTGGCTGCACCAAATCCCACTCCTGCCATTTTGTGAGATTTTTTTTTTTTCTTCCTTTTTTCACCCCTCCCTTCCTCGCTCCTCTCAAATGCGTGCTTTTGTTTTTGCCCGGTGCTCGGTCCAGGGGCAGGCAGTGGGATTCCAGCACAGTGGGGTCCTTATAACTGGGAGCCATGTCTCTTGTTCTCACCTCTTCCCCCCACCACTTCCTCACCTTTTCATTTTTTTTCTCCACTATTGATATCCTCTCTTTTTTCCTCACTGAACATATGGACTGCTTTTTAAAGAGAGCGCTCAGTCCACATCAAAGGCAGACACTGAGCGGGTCAATTTGTTGCTCCTTTCCCCAACTCTTTCCCCCCTCTCGCTAGCCTCTGTGGACCCTCCCTGCATGGCAGCTATTTACCCACAATGCCCTTGTGCTTGGACAGTTCTACAAAGCACAGATATTGAGCCATGTGTTATGAGTGTCCGTCAAACCAAGCTCACTTCAGGCTTGAATTCCTCTTCAGCCACATTCATGAAACACTATGAAAATGAGCATGTGTGACAAATATTGGTCCATTTATAGAAAAATAAGAGTTCCACGGCACACGGATAGGAACAGTGGAAGGATTTAGAACTGCAAAAACAATGAAATACAGTAGATCAATACGTATAAATCCAGATCTGAGCAGAGCAAGCCTTGGATCCAGATGTGAATCTTTCTGAATATTGATTGTAAGGAAAGCTACTCCTCCTCATATCCCCAGGCTTGCGGCGACTGACACACAAAGCACCTCTCCTAAGCCCATAAACTAGCTTGTACTATTATTTAGATAAGGAGGGCGACAACAGCAGCAGCATGTGCCTCCTAACCCAGAACCTCCTCCTTGGCTCTCATCCTCCTACCCCTACCACTCTCACTCCTCCTTTTTCCCTCTTTCTCACCCAGCTATAAAGACGAAGAAGTTAAAAAAAAAAAGAGGGAGGGGGGGCAAATGTGTAATTAGCTACACATTTCTGAATCCTCCTTAATGTTCATTACTGAAACCAGGGGCAATTACAAGTTCAAAGGGGTTTAGGGCACCAGCAGCCCCGCATAATCAGTCGCAAATTAAGCACAGCTCATTTGTCACAGCACAGCATGCACGCCTGTATGTGCACACAGAAACACACATGCATGAGTGCTGTCAGAGTTGAGTCATAGGCTGACAGGCGTCAATTTCCACACAGGAACAAATCTCAGCTACCCCAAGGCGTTAGGTTAGGTCGGCCAATCCTCTTACGCTCGGCTGCTTTGTTGTCGCCAGACAACGGCAAACACCGCGACACCTTCGCCGTCAGCTTGCATGACACTACACTGTATCCTACTTGCGTTCATCCTCTTAAAAGTGTTCTGTTTGCTCCTACAATCCCTGACACCACCTGCCCAGTCCCGTCTCCATTTTTTTTTTTTTTTCACTCGATCTCCTCTGAGTGTGTCTCCTCCCTCTTCGCCGTGTCCCTGCAACATGTGACAGTGTGTGTTTCATGTCTGTCCCCGGAGGTGTATCTTGGTTACCTCTGGGGCTGGGTCACAATGGCTAATCCTGTCTTCAGGTGGCTGTTTAGCACACTGAGAGGAGAGCTTGCAGAACCGGAGGTGGGCTCACGTTACAGGGCTCCCTGACCGGGGGTCACCTCCGACACTGTCAGAACACACACGTGCACGCATACACGCACTCGGACACATACAAACATGCTTGCACACGCATCTGATGTATACTGACACCAAAGTTTTCCCACACAAACACATTGAGCCTCCTTATCTATCCCAGGTGGCTCAGCCTTCATGTCCCTTATTCTTCTTTATCTGTCTACTGTACGACTCCTCTTCCACTCTTTCCCCGTCTCCTCTCATTCCCGGATCACTCGCTCTCTTGTTCACATTAGGATTCCCTGATATGATCTCCATGAAGACTTGCTCCAGTGGCCATGCGTTGCCTGTCCTGCCCGGCACCCTCATTGTTTGAGCTGCTCTCAAACGAGGGACACAGTCAGGTCTCTGGTGGATTGAATGGAGCCCTATCATGTGTGGTTCTGCATAGTGGGAGAGAGGGAACTCATTTTTCACTGCGGGGAACGACATCCATCTCAGCAGCCGAACGCTGGGCTGTTTCATTAAGTAGCCCATCCAGGCAGACAGATGTGTTCCCCACACAGCCATGTTTGCCTATGCAAGAGCGTGTATTAACCCACAATCCTTTGGGGGAGATTAATAGGCTAGCAGCCCCTTTCCATTGATTATCTCCATGCTATTTTCCCCTCCTTCCACTGGCTAGATATTAAAAACTAATGAAGCCTATTGAAAACGGGAACCGCGAGGCTCTTCACGGATCATTTTCGGTTATTTGGACTCAAACAGAGAGGGATCTCTTTAAGGCACAGTTTGAGTCGAATTAAGAAAATAAATGTGGAGAGCAGTGTTGGAGAAGGAAAAGGGGAAAAAAGAGGAGAGAGGATAGAGAGTGTGACTGTAAAAAGATGTGTGTTTAAGAAAAGACAACTCCACTCTGACACATGGAGCGGAGACGCGGCAGATGTTAGCAATTCCAGAGCATAGCAAAGCATTCCTAGTGTTGGAACCACGTCCTAATTGCCATAATGGAGGTGGTAAGCGCTGACAGTAATGGAGTTGTGGGGATCCATCCCCAGCAACCTGAATTAGGGGCCACTTGGCAGATCCACTTCAAGATGGGCTGTGTTTTGAAGCCAAGATGCTTTTGTTTTCGCCCCTCAGTTCTTCTTTAATTTTGCTTCTGCTGACGGAATTTTTCCGTCACATCACCAGCTCTCCACCCCGCCGTCCTTTCCTCCACTGATGGTTGGCGTAGGGTGCACTTTTGAGAAGAAGGTGTGCGGTATGGATTGGTCAGAGAGACCCTAGGCGCCGGGTGAGCAAAGAGTTAAAAGCGTCCATGTGATGGGCTCACCTCTGCACCAGGCCTGGTGAAAGGCGGCGGGGTGCTGTCGGGGAAAATGACTTCCTGAGACATTACCATCAATCACCAGACAGGTCAGGCCCCCCGATCCCGCCATCAGGATGGAGGAGAGGAGAAGAGAGGAGAGGAGGGAGGGGGGATGGGGGAAGGAGGATTAGACTAGAGGGGATGAAAACAGAGAGGAGGAAGCCTGAGTTAAGGCTTGTTGTGGAGCAAACTATTAACAGTCTCTTTTTCTCACTGTCTTGACTGCTTTATGTCTCTCTCTTTCTCTCTCTCTGTCTTTTTTTTTTCTTCTTCTATTTTCCGGTCTTCCATAAAAACGGCTACCAAGGCATTCAGGAACGGCCCCTGCTGGTCAGAGTCCTCTCCCCGGCTCAATTGCATCATTAATTATTCCTCAGGCAGCGGGCTGGAAGCAAATCTAAAAGAGAGGAGGAGGAGGAGGAGAAAAAAAAAAGGGAGAGAGGGAGCAAGAGTTAGATGGGGGAGACGTGGGGGACAGCTGCTGAGCACCCCAAAGTTTGGGCTTGCTTTCACTCTCTTTCCCTCTCTTCTTTCTCTTTCTGTAAATGAAGGATGAGGAGAGGGGAGGGGCTTGGGTTACCTCAGCGAGCGGTTGTGTTACATTCCTGAGAAGGGAAGGGGTAAAGGGGGGGGTGGTGGTTCAACGAGTTGTTGAAAAGAACACAGACGCTTGTCAACAGCCTCCGAGCTGGGGAGCCATCCTGCCATTGCTTTTAGGCCCGGAGGTCAATGACCTTCTTTTGCACCCAGATAGGGAGAGGTAGATGAAAACCGAAAAAGAAAGAGAGAAAACAACAGAAAGGTACAACAGACTGCCATATGGCGTGTGTCACAGCTTGTCGATAGCAGAGTGGAGCTGCTTGATTGTGGCAAACATGGTAACAATTATTCAAATCTATATTACTTTTACATTTTCACTACATTCATGCTTATTTTCAAGACTTAGTCTCCTGTTTTACTATTAAAAGGACCAATATATATATTTAGCCCACCTGGATAACTCTCGTTCACCTCTTTCTCAATGTGCTCACTCTTTCCCTCTACTTCACTAACACACACTAACTTTCTGCCTCCCCCTGATCTTCTCCCTGGCTGTGCGACCCCGCTTTCAAGTTTAGCTAAAGTAAGATCTGTTTGAGGGAGGATGCAGAAGAGGGTGTGCTCCATTCATGACATAAGACAAAATGATTGCAACACAGCAGGCAGAAGAGAGATTGTGTAATCTTGTTTATCTTGTTCTCGTGATCGTAGGAAGTCAAATCATAGATTTAAATCAGAATTTGATTAGTCACCACCTAGAGTTCGGCTGAAAATCTAAAGACGCTTTCAAACCCTTCGTGTATAAACGCTGTATCTGAAAGGAGGACAGGAGACAGTGGATGGGCTCTGTAAACTGTAGAGTAGGAAGAAGAGAGGGATACAGACAGACAGGAAGAGAGAGAGAGAGAGAGAGAGAGAAAGCGGCGAGCGCTGCTGGCAGTCGCAGCAAAATGGCCCATTAGATTTAAGGAGTAAAAGTTCATCAGCTTTATTAATGGGCAGATATATAAATGAAGTATGAATTACCTGACTTTTATGGAGTGGCGAGAGTGAAACTGGAGTGTCTTATGATATAATGTTTTAGTGAGCTGCTCTGAGCGCTCTGATGAGCAGGCTGCAGAAAAGAGGAGGAGGAGGAGGAGGAGAGAATGAGTGGAGAGAGAGTGAGAACGAGTGGGGGGAAAGAGAGGAAGAGAGAGAGAAGTGTGCTGGGGTCCCCTGAGTCCAGTGGCTGGAAGGTTGCCTGATTGTTGCTAACATGCGTAGCTGATCGGGTTAGCTCCAAGACAGGGACGTTCGTAGCTTCCAGGCTTGTTCTTTGCGTGTCATTAGGTAGCGGAGTTAAAAAATTTGTCGGCACGGACAAATAAAAAAAGGTCAGCCACATGTCTGATTATGTTGCTCCTCTACACATGCGGATGCGGCTACAATCCCACATGCCTGCAGTTGGATACGCGCAACTTTGTCTATGAACGTGCACTGACTAATACAGTACACGCAAGCGCACACACACAAACATTCTCTCACACACACACACACACACACACACGCTCCCCACCATCCTGTAATAAGCGGTAAGCTGAGCTAGCTGATGGTCATCCTCCCATGGGGCTGCTGGGTGGCTGCCAACTTCCTGCCTGCTTTGTCAGTGGATAAAGCCCCTAACAAACGAGAGGGCTGTAGCTAGGCAGGCCAGCCAGGTCAAAGGTCACTTTGAACCCCCGGGCAGGATTGAGCCTAAGAGCACTACAAGAAGAGAGAGGGAGAGGATGGAAGAATGCACTTAAAGATTGGCTGCTATTAACCAGGCCTAAAAGCTATATCCCCCTGCTTTACCACTCCTTTTTGTCCTCCTCTCTTCTGCTCTTTTCCTCTCATCTCGAGTCTTCGTTTTCTTTTTGGCGGCACATCACAAAGGCATTTTAACTCTCGTCACATGTCGACTCCGCTTTGAGGAACATTAAGAAAGTAAAAGATCCTGAGGGCATTTGTCAGTCCGCACAGACCCGTGCAGCCAGCCGCCCCTGGGTGTTGAGCAATGACAGGAGATATCTCCTTGACTCATACACCCGGAGATGAAAGGAGAGCTCAGAAGATGTGCGTCTCTGAAAGGAGAAAAAAAAGTACGCCGTAAAAGAGAGGAGACACAACAGGTAGAGAGAGACGAGGTGGTGACTGATCAGGGTTTTGTTTGGCTTTGTTCCATGGGAGTACTTGTGATCTCAGATAAACGCGCCTATGGTTGCCATCAGCTCTGCTGGTCCTCATGATATGGACATGATCTAAACTGTCTGTCCTGGGCCTATAAGATTGTCTCTCTCTGGAAGAGGTTGGAGGAGAAGAAGAGAGGGCAGGAAATCTTTCTCTCCAACCCAGCTGTCCATTCAGAGGGAGAGAAAATTTGACATGGTTGACTTGAACACATTTAGCATCATTAGCAAACAGGAAGTGTCCCCTGCAGCTGTTTTTCAGCCGGGGGGAGGGGGTGTTCCTGCCCGCGCTGTAATGGACAAATGTTACCCTCTATGTTTGCCTTTGATTTTTGACCTGAAAACAAAAATTGACATTACAAATGTCCTATGATATCTTCCAAATTGGCTTGACATTCCATAGCGGGCCCCTGGGGGTTTCTTGTTTGTCCTCTGTAAGTGGTTGTGCTCTTGTTGTCATGTCCCGAGGCTCGCTATTAGAATGTAGTGGCCTTTCTCTGGAGAATGTGGAGTCTTAAAGAGGCAGGGACTAGAGAGAGGGAGAAAGAGAGGAGAGGAGGGGGGACAGATTGTGTATTTGAATACTTATGCTCATTAAGTTAATGCACAATGAAAGGGAGAACCGTCAAGTGGAAGCTCTCAGAAGCTTCTGTTTGAAGAGCCAACACACTCGCTTTTCTCTCCCTCTGTTCGTCCATCGCTGCGCAAATTAATCTGTTTCTGTTTCAACTGAAGATCAGCCCCACTTTACATTGACTCAGGAAGTTAAACAAAGTCTAAAGAACACAGCAGAATAAGGGGATAAACTTCAAGAGACCCCGTATGTTGATATAAAGTCCTTCTCCCGGCAGACTTTATCAACATGATTTAGGTTCTTAGAGCTTTATTGTGCTTTCTCAGCATTTCTTGAAAAGAACTGCAAGCTTCTGTCAGCCAAAATAGTAACTGAAAAAGCTCGGCCAAGTGGACTCAGAAAAATACACAGTACACAGTAAATCTAGTATTTCTGCACAGAGCCAAAGATCTAATATCTTGCAGGAGGTAGTTATGCTTTTTTGGCCGATGAATTTGGAATCATAGAAACAGAAAACTGTTTTTTCAACACAATTAAAAAATGAAAAAGTTATAAAACTTTTTTTCAGGTTAAAATCTTTGGTAATAACTTTTGTTTGCACTCTCATAATCCATGCTAAAGGTTTTCTCATGCCAAGACTCAGTTACGAAAATCATTGCTTTTTTACAATGTGTGCATACGTCATTAAACCAGTGCTGGTGTTTATTCAGAGGCTTAGTCCAGTCACTCACTTTAGCTTTAGCATGCGCTCCCAATGACTTTATGACTGGCAACAGTGACAAGTGGTGTGGATCTGTAGCCACGGTGGGTGGGTCTTCTAGCTTTGACAGGCCCACCAGGCTCTCTAATGATGTGCTCATGGGCGCTCGCAAAAGGCAGTAAACCTATAATCTACTGTAGCCCTCCCCACAAACACCATGGAGTATGAGATAACAGGAGATAATTCGAAAGAACTCAAATGTCGTTCGCTCAAAAGGAAAGGGAAAAGGAAAATGCTTTAAGTAGCAGACGGAGAATCCTTTGACTCAGCTGAAGTCATTGCTACAAGATGTTAGTGAGATTTCTTCAGAGCGAGTAGCGAGCATGGCTGTGTGTTGACATCAGGCGAGTTGGAGAGCTCAGCAGCAGAACAGAGCCGGGTGCCCCTGAGCAGGCAGTTACCACAACAAAGCCAACAGACTGGTCTGAAAAACCAGGCCAAATTCCTGCCCTGTAGGACCTGGCTTAAAGCTCCAACGGAAACTTTGAAATGGGAGGGGGGGAGATGAGAGGAAGAGAAGAAGAGGTTCGAGTGAAGAGAGGATACGAGACGAGGCCAGACGGGTTAGCATACATCGAGGAAGAAAAAGGGATAGCTGCTGGGGCCTACGTATGGAGAACGGCGGGATAAGGAGAGATGGTTGGAAATGAGAGAGAGAGGGAGAGACTGAGAGGAGAGAGCAGGCCCCCTCTGTAAGGATGGAGGGATCGTATTCCTCCTCTTGAAAGCTGTGTGGTGGAAAAAGAAGCCATGAACTTGATCTGACGATTAAATAGGCACATCTCTATGGCTGCAGGCCACAAATGAGACCAGGTCTACAAAGCAGCTCGCACACTGTTTGTGTATGAAACTGTTGGCAAACTCCAATAGATCCATTAGCAGTTGGGAGTTTTGGTGGATTTTTTCTTCTTCTTCTTAATAATCATTACAGTTTTCCCAGTTTTATTTTCTTTATTGGATAAAAGAGATACTTTGTTATCATTATGCACGATAGCATTTGGAAATACATCTCTCTCTTTTTGCGAGTTGATCCGTAAAGTCTGGAGGTGCATTGGGATTGTGTGGGAGTGATTGCTATTTAGCCTCATGCAGCTTGGTACAATCAGATGCCTGTCTCTCACATATCCTCCAGGGCTCCTTCCTCACCCTCTCCCTCCTCCCGACTCTCCCCTTACCCGCTTTGCTCTTACCATAACTTGGCAGGCGAGCGGGGGCAGATATGCCGTAGAGCTTCTCTACAACCTTGCACCATCTCCACTGAACATAAATTAATGGTGTAGAGCAAACAGGCTGCTGGCTGAGGTCCAGGAGTTGGCTTCAGGAGCCCAGCCAGCAATTGTTGTGGCGGGCCATGGCAGCAACAGCAGCAGTAGTACTGATGCACTGCCAACCAACCAGCCAGCCAGCCAGTCAGAGAGGCAGACAGACAGACTGGGGGCCCTTTTTGCTCTATAGATGCCGCAGGCCTTGCCAGTCCTCGCCTTGTATTTGCAATCATCGCCGTTTTACTGTCAGAGGGCAGTCCGCTGAGAGCCCTTACACTTACTGCAGAAGCTGTGGTGTCTGGTGTGAGGGAGACAGAGGTGTAGTGGTATGTTCTGAATGCTGATTGTGTGAGGTGTAGATATGGATGTACTTTCATTTGCTGTTATCAGGGGTTGGCATGCAGTGCGTGTGCTTCATAGGCTGGCATCATGTGAGTGCTGTTTATAAGTTGGCTGTATCTGTGTGAGTGTGGGTTTCAGAGTGAGAAAGAGAGAGAGAGTGCAAAAGGTTTCAAACATGGAGACATGTGGCATTCTTGTCTGTTTTCAGACTGTTGTCAGGAAGCAGAGTGGGTCCCTGCAAAATATAAAACAAACACCTCAAAAAAGCAGCCGGATCTCTGCCACCCCTACCCACCAAAGGAGACATTTAGAGGAGTGGGGAAAGTGTGGTGACCAGAATAAAAGCCATAAGAGTACACTAGACCTGAAATGAACGCCAACTAATTTCATTTTTGTATTTGAAATAATCAAATAAATCTAAAAACCTTAAACTATTTTCATATAATTATTTCTAATTATTCCTATAGATTTGAAAACTTAGGTTCTCAATTGCCAAGAAAACATGGCACATCTTTTTTAATTGTCAGTTGTCAATCTTTTAGATGTTGTCATACAGAAATAATTAACTCTATCCCTCGATTCAAACCTCAAAATCTGTCATAGAACTGCAGCTAAAAGCCTCATATTGCTCTGTGCATAGTAAACACTTGTGACAGATCCGCTAACTCTATCTGGATTTATTTGTCATATCTGTTTGATCTCTCAGTAATGCGGATATGCATTCAATCTCATTGTCATTTGTCAAAGAAGCCAATTGTGACAATATTAACCGTGGGAACTTCATATTTAAAATGTGCCAATCTTAGCCCAACTCAGCGCAGACTCCATATTAAAATGTCATTCCTATATTTGATTGCGTTTATTTTCTGACAGTGAATATTATTATCATCCTGCAGTCACTTTGATTAAAAACAAATAAGATTCCAATCAATGCGAGAAAGGCGTATATGAAAGGGGGACAATATTGCTGGAAAAACTTAAAATGAGTCCCATCAAATAAAATCTTTACTTTGAAAAAAAGTTATTTTTGTAAAAAAGTACATCAGTTTGGGAAATCTACATATGGAATAAACATGAATAAACGATCGGTAACTCAATCACCATAATTTACATAAATGGTAAAGTTTAATTATGTTTAATCATCACTTATAGACCAATTAAAAATGGCAAATAGATAGTTTATTAATTTAAGTTAATAGTTACTTTACTATTAACAAGCAATGAAATTATGATTAATGATTTTCATTCATTATTAATGGACTATTTATTAAAGGTTTATATAGGGTTTAAGTATTGGTTGTAAAACACCTAGATTAAAATGTGTGTCAGTAGCACTTTGTAAATGGTTAATATTTGGTTTTTAAACCATCTATAAACATTAGGTTTTTAAAATTGTAACATTTACAATTTATTAGTGGTCTATATGCTGTTTATAAATGATGATTAAACATCAATAAACTATCTGCTTACCATTTATAAATGGTCTATTTACCATTTATAAGTTATGGTTATTGTAAAGTGTTACCAAACAACCTTATAAAAAATATAAATGACCTGATAACACCATCAAAGTGGCAAACTACACCAATCTTGATTGGTAAATCCCCAGTGTTGCCATGACAACTAGGGGTAAACAGCCAATGGCCTGTGATTTCCTGGGAGTCATTAGCATGGAATAGGTTTTGCAAGCCACTGCAACCTCGCGACCTGGCTCTATAACTCATGTCACACGCTGATGATGTCATTCATCAACGGGGGTCCACCAGCCTTTCAGGCAAGAGGGCTGCAGGTTGGGCGAGGAGGGGTGGGGTGGGGGGTAGAGGAGGGGGTGAGAAGAAGCGGTGAGTGGAGCGGGAGGGGGTTTGAGAACGGAGCTGCTGGGATAATGATCGGGCTGTGGGATTTGACGACGGCAGCAAATAGGTGTCAGGAGAGTATGAATGTGATGTATGGCGAGCTGGATGTTCAGGGAGTAGATGGGGTGTGGGTGTGTGCGAAAGGTGTGCGTGAAGAGTGTGAGAGCGAGTCTGGCGGTAGATGTGGTTATTGTGTACGGTGAAAAAGGCAAGCTGGGCTCAGGAGGGGTTTAAGGAGCGAGCACAGCGGATGATGGAGCTACCTTTAGCTTGTAATGTTCTGCAACCACAGGGGCCATTACATCCAGCACTATCAGAGAGCACAGAGAGCATCACACCCTGTAATTTAGCCAGCAGTCGCTCACACTCACACATACACACACACACAAACTCACACACATATATACAATTGGATTCTCAATGACTTGCAGTGTGTGATCCACCTGTGTTTATGTGTTGATGTTTGTCTCTGCCTTTCCAGGTCAGATTGGAATTGGACAACACATTTGCATCAGAAAAGTGCACACTCGCACCATTAACAGGCTCAGGCATAATTAACAGAGCTGTTTCGATCGCGCATGGCAAATTGGAGCTGCTCATTTCTGGCTCTAATTATTTATAGACCCGCTGTTTTACGTTTTGCGGTCAATCCTCTTTTAAGGATATTGGCCTTGGTGTTTGTAACTGAACATATTGAGCGGATCCAAAGCTTGTGGGGAAGATTATCAATACCATCTTTGATCTTGCTCGGTGTTTTTGTTTCATCCATTAAATAAGCATGTCATACTGTCTCCTGAGGGGAGGGAAGGACATCTCCAGGAAGAAACACATTAGAAACCGATTTAGCCTTCTGGTTTTATATGTTTTGTTAATATTCGCTCACAATTTAATCACACGTTTTCCATATCAATTTTTTTTTTTTTGGCCTGCTGGGAGATGTAGTTTCATATTTTTTACTGAGGCAATTAACATCAAGAGGTTACTCAGAGGTCTAAATAGCCGTTCTCCAATTTCACGGCTGCTGCAGCCTTGTAACCACAAGGCCCACCATGCCGACTCACTTCTCATGTCCATGTGTGTGTGTCCAAGTGTGTGTGTGTGGGTATGTCATTGCCACCACACACCATTTTCTGTAGCTGAGAATTCACCATGCTTTGAGGAAAGCTGCCACAGCGTAAAGTGTGGGTGGCCTGCAGTCACAGCTATAAAAAGTGTGTGTGTGTGTGTGAGTGAGAGAGAGAGAGGGAGGAGGGGTGAGTTAGGAGAAGCAGTCCAGGAGGAAAAGGGCATTTTCTGTGCATCTTTGTGTGTGTGTGTGTGTGTTTGTCAGTGCATATGCAAGTATTGAAGTTGCAGAGGGGCAATCTAGTCTGACGTAAGGAGCAAAGGGGTCTGAGAGTGAGTAAGAGGCTAGGAGGGGGAATGAGCTGAACCAAATAGGATTTTTTTCAGTGTCGTGTCTATGTGGTCGGAGTAAATCTCCTTACTCAGGGGTTTTGTGTGCAAGGGGGGCTTTAACGTCCCCACTCTCCTTGATGAGACATCTTTCTTGTATGTTCGAACCATTCATTACGTGGTGGCTGCCGGACGAGGTACGCCGCTGGCCGGTGTATTTATCACCGAGCTAAAGCGCGCTCTGGCTGACAGTAGGCAATTGATGACCGGGTCCTGGCTCTAGTGGCTGAGGAAGCCTTAATACAATGTAGATGACCCACTCCCATTTCCAATTTAGGCCGCTCCCCCCTTCCCACACACACCTCCGTACTTCCATTCCACATCATCTTTACCTACATCTCAATTTGTGTACGTGACCGCTCGTACGTGTTTATGTTTGTGTATAAAACAACAAATAGGAGGAGGGGGTGTGTGTTGTGTTACATTTGCGAGCGTGTTTTGATTGTGACCGAGGTCAGAGCTAATGTGAAAAAGCCAAGGAAACGCAGGAGTGTATGGAGGCGGGACAAAACTGCAGTACTGCATTACACACAAGCGCACGAGGATGTGGATGTGTGTGTCTGCTCTTTGGACATGTTTACACACACACACACACAGATACCAAAAGAAATTGCACTATCTTCTCTTGCCAAAGAAATGTCAGCACCAGGCAATCAAAAATTGTATTTCTATGCAAGCTTTATTATCTTTCCTTTGTTAATGATTTTAGCATATTAAACGGAACTACATACACAAGTACAAATCAGATTAATCCGTCTCTGCAGCCAGGCTCATTATTTGTCCAATCTTAGCCTTGTTTGTTATTAATTGAGCACATTCCTCCAGCCGTTTTTTCATCTATCCTTTAATTAAAACGGACGACGTTTAGAGAGGACAGTGCTACCTGAAAGGAAAAAAAAAAACTCCTCCTTTGTGCTGATATGAAACCTCACTTACATCAATTATTCCAGCAGCGAATGAGAAAATAGTTCTCGAGCATTTGTTATCATTTCATGTTAAAACTGAATTCAATTAACACAAGCCAGGCCGACGTTAGCAGGCTTTATGAAATTTGCTTTCTCAGTGAATGTGGAGGAGGAAAGGAGCTAAGAAAAAAAGAAGGGTTTAAGTCGTGAGGCGAAAGGTGTTTTCCTTGAGGGGGAAGAATGTGCTTTAATGGAGCTTGAAACCAGAGGAGGATTTAAGTGTCACTTTTAAAAAAGGCATTTTTGTCTGTTGTGATTTGCAGGTGTCATGTCTGTGAATATTTGTGTGAGTGTGTATTTCTGTCTCTCTGTGTGCACGCATGTTCTCTGTCTATAGCGGCTGAATGAAACACATAGTGTCTCATTTGTTTCGTTTGCGTGCGCCCCGACTCCTAATCTGGCCCTTAAAGACATCTGTCACCAGCGATCACTGTTGTTTTGTCATGCTTCATAGCAAGCCCAGGGGGAGAGAGAGGCAGCCCAAGGTCTGCCATTTATATCAGCCCATGTTCTCTAGATTGGACCTGACACAAATAGTATCATTGCAGCCCAGGTCGCAGAATTACATTTTCAGGTAAAAATCCTGGCCAGGCTGTGGAGGAGATTTCACAGCATTCTGTTCTCTTAGCATTAGCCTGTATTCAGCTGCTCTCTATGAAAGAGCCACCACCAGGATACATGACAGACATTCATGGAAAGATAAATGTATTTACTGCAAATCTGCACCCACTCATTCTTTAGCCTGGTATTATAAAAGGATTCTCCGACACCACAGGATCTGCTCGAAAAGTCCTGTGTGTGTGTGTGTGTGTGTGTGAGAGCATATGTTAAGTCTGTACACTATATGTTGTTGGTGTGTGGGCGGGGTGGGGTTAGGGAAGGGGGTTATCACGGTTGACAGTTTTGACAAACTTGTTCGGCTAGCTCTGACAGGTTTAGCGCTGAATTGTGTGTGTGTGTGTGTGTGTGTGTGAGCTGATGTGTGGGTGGACACGTGTATGCTCTGTCTATACTGTGCAAAGGGAGAGGCAGGGTTGGGTGGAGGTCAGGAGAAGGTGCAGTCTTGGGTTACACAATGCAACAAACACGAGAACATATTGAATGCATACAGTAATAGGCAAGAGCCAGGAACCTGACTCGGAGCATGTGTTCCCTCGCAGGCCCTCTCTTTATGAGCTCTTACATGCGTGAATGTTTATGTTAATCTCGATGTCAAAGGCGCTCATGTGTGTTTCCTCTCTCTTTCTGTTTGCCTCTCTCCGCAGCACCCATACCCGTCTGAAGAGCAGAAGAAGCAGCTAGCCCAAGACACGGGCCTCACCATCTTACAAGTAAACAACTGGTGAGTCAAGATTTCCGCTCGCCCTATCTCCACCACCAGCATCGCTCTGCCTTTCATTTTCAAAAGCCTTCGCCTCCCTCTCGCCGCCAAGTGTGAAAAACCGTTTATGTACAGCCCTCCCCGTGGCATATAGACACACGCAGCACATGCACGCACACTGACAACCTTTGTAGCGTTATTATATGTAAGCTAGCAGGATGTTCCGCTGTTATCAGCGGAGTGTTCTGCGGCTAAGTCAGTGGTCTTTGTGGTGAGACGTGGATGTATTTGAGGGATATATTTAAGGGAGAAAGGAAAGACATCATAAGCTACCCCTTCAGCCCCCACACCCACCCCACCCTTTTCCATCCTAAAAACCATACCTAGTACCGCCACTGGTCCCCCCACAAAAGGCAAAAAACTGCCTTCCACCCCCTCCCCGTTCTACACGAAGCTATATGGTGGATTAAGGTTTTGGTGGCCTGGCCAGCAGGGCCTTTGTAGATGGCTTAGCACATAACTGGGGGTGGTGGATTAAATAAAATGATCACAGAAGCAAAGAAATGATACAGGAATTACTTATCAAAATACTAGCCCAGGTTTTATCTGCAGCTTAATTTTGTTCAGTACATTCTCAGGGTGATGTTCAGATTAATTGAACTGACAGCTTCCTTTCAAATTTCCAGCAAGGTATTTGCACGGATTTCAGGTCTTACACAAACTTAATTATATGGAACCCCATTTTATCATTCTAATTCCATGTAGCGGGGGTTCTATTTACAAATGACAAGTCTGTGCCTTTTATTCACAGCTTTCCTTAATATATTTATCAAAGCCGGTTCATTTACAAAGTGCTCTATCTGTTGGGTACAGGCGGGCCGACATTAACGAAGCTTTTAGGTTTATCAGACTCGCAGCCTGACAAGCCACCCGAGGGTCAATTGATTTTTTGGTTTCTGTGATACATTTTTTTCTCATTTTTTCTGGATCACAATGAGAAACATGCCTGGAGAATTAGCCTGGTTGTCGGCCTTATCTATCAGCCCCCACCCTCCTCTTCCCCTCCCTCAATTCTGACGTACTCTCTCTCTCTCTCTCTGTCTCGCTCTCTCCCTTTTCTTTATTCCCTTCTAGCCAGGGGAAGTCAAGCTACTTAAATTGGCCACAGGAACCGCTGTTATCAGACTTTAATGCACCCTACAGTGTGGATAGCATTTCAATTACACCAGTAACCAAAGATTAGCCCCCGCTTGCCTGTTTCATGCCTCGTGCCACCGTTTCAGGACGCCACACACCTTACCTACAGGAGCAGAAAATTGAGTTGCCTTGCCTGTGTCATGGTGATTAATGCAGAAATAGTCTGCAAACCTGCGGAGGAGAGAGAGAGGGGGAGCGAGGGAAAGAAATAGACAGAGACAGAGATAGATATAGGAAGAGTCGCTGCCTTCTTAGAGGCCATGAAATCCAAGCCTGGCACTGAAATGCCTCAGATCCATTTATAAAGAGGTCTCAGGGAATCTCATGCAGGGTAACATCCTTATGGACACACGCACACACGCACCAGCACTCGTGTACACAGAGGAGGTTATGGAGCTGTTTATTAATGTTACACCAGGGGTGTTAACAAAAACACACCAGGAATCAATTTTCACAAATAAACTCATTAGAGGGGCTTAGAGTCAAATCCGGTGCATTCTGGGTCATTTTTAAGAGACAGATGAGAGAAACAGAAGCAAGTTAAGTCTTATTTCCTTACTAGCTTACACCTTAGCTCTGTTTGGGGTCTGCTCTTGCCTTTATTCTTTGATATCTGGTTCAAGTGGCTGCCGTTCACCCAGGATATGACAGGACTTTGCTGCGTGGAATTCCTGTTTCCTTAAAAAAAAAACTCTTCAAATTCCTGGCTGGCCCCTTGCATTGTTCTGTAGTTCTCTTTGATGCACGACCGCTGCCATGTTACTGGCCAAAAAGTGAGAGAGAGAGAGAGAGAGAAAGGGAGGGAGAGAGAGAGAGAGTGAGTGAGGGAGATAGAGACAGAGGTAGGGGAAAAGACAGAAGCAGAAGATGAGTGAGAAAGCAGGGTGGAAGAGGGAGGGGATTGCCGCCGTCTTCGGTTTCCAGAGCTCTCCCTCGGGGAAAGGATGTGCTGAATCAGGGCTTTGTCCGCCGGCACAATCGCAGCCCGGCGAGGGCACAAGGGTGCTCTGTGTGAAAGTCAATAGACAGTGCATGATGCTCTCTCTCTCAAAATTTACCCCATCAGACCTCCACCTCAGACCGTTTGCTCCAACTTACACCTCCCTTTGACTTCACCTGCAGCTCACCTGTACGCATAGAAAAACAAAACTAGACTGCAAACCTTTTGTCTCTGAACTACAGAAAAAACTCTTCCTGCTTCTGCATATCTTGTCTATAATATCACCCGGCAGCTACACCTGTCTGTAGCCCACACTTCATAAGCTTTGAGATACTAATAATGAATAAAGGAAAGGTTAAAGTCCACAATCTCTGATGAGGAGGAGGACTTGATTATCCTGTTAATAGTGTCCACCGTGTGTGTGTGTGTGTATGTTATGCACATTATATCTAATGGTCCCCTGTGCTTACTCAGTATGTGCATGGGATGTAATGTGTGTGTACAGCATGTCAGGACACCATTAGTTGACCATTAAGTAGCGTGTTTGCTCGGCTTACATTTGAGACAACTGGCGTCATGCTAACAGAAGCGAGGAGTGGTCCGACATGTGATTGCATTTGTTTAAGATTGTGTCAGGAAAAGGTGAGGGCCGTGTCACACAAGGCATTCTGGGATAATAAAGCGGGTGAAATGGCAGGTTCAGCGGGAGGAGAAGAAGAAGAAGGAGTAGCATTTACAGTTTACAGTATCTGCTGGCATATTTGGCTGCCTCAGCACCTCCTGTTGTCCCCGCTATCAGTCTAGGCTAAATGGGGCCTGACCGAATCCTTTCATGTGTCAGCGTCAGACCCAGCACGATGTGGCCTCACTCACTCATAAACACACACACTGACAGCTATCCCGGCGCTGGCACACACACATACAGCGAACATAACACACAGGATTATTACATGGGCCTGAGAAATGACGCAGATGACAGATGACTGAGAGAAACAGAGGCTAAAAAAAGGAAGGAAATCGTCCCCTCATTATTCCCTCATCTCCCAGGCAGCTGGTTGGTCCTCTCAATAGTAGAGAGAGAGAGAGAGAGAGAGAGAGAGAGAGAGAGAATATGTCAGTTCTTGGCATCTATGATGACTGACTGCTGTGCCACTGGAGCACTAATAACAATAAAGAGGGCAATAAGCCACACTCTATTTTTACCTCTCTGCCTCTTCTCCACAGCCCAGGGGGGAATACATGCATAGACACACACAGACACACACACTAACACACTAACACACACACACACACACAGGGGAGAGGCTCTAATTAGCGGCAGAAAGGAATACAATGAGTGAGTTATTAAGACACAGGGGCGGATCACAGCCAACCTTTGCCCCCTGTCAGAGCACAGGTCACATGATAAGGGAAGGATATCCGCCAGACGACGGCGCCAAGCGGCCTGTGCCCACTGAGGAGACGAAATGAGCTCAATCTCTGCAGCCGTTCAAGGCAGGGCAGGGTGCACTGTTTGTTTTTCTTTTTTTTTTTCTATCCAGACCTTACCTGTAGGCACCAAATCACAAAAGAAAGGATCACGATAAGTTTGCATCAACCTCAGTCTGAGCGTAGCTGTGTCCTGTAAACGTGCGTTAGCCAGTCTGACAAGTTAATGTGGTAAAAATAAACTCTAAAAAGAAAGGTTGAAAGGATACTGCGGTTTAAAAAGTATTTTCAACTTTTACCCATCTGTGTAAGACTTAGATCCTCCTCCCAGATCGTATCCTGCTGTAGCGCAGCATGCAGATAAACGAGTTTAGCTAGCTCTAAACTGACTGCTTTGCAACTCTCCTCACAGCATGTTCCCAGTTCCCACTCAGATCATCGTTTTCCCTCCCTCTCTCCCTTTTCTCTCCAGACTTCTTAGAGTTTAATGCACCAAACAGAGGCAGCAGGTTCACATGCAGATTGTTAGTAACGGTCAAACACATTTATTTGTAAAAATCTCAGAACAAGAAAGCGAAAAACCGAAGCCAAATTTGTTCCTCTACTTAGCGAAGCATTTTCCACCCTCTTCCTCGGTCCAATGAGACACTAAGGAACACTGGCTTTTATGATTTTTTATGATTTTTTTATGATCCTCTGGTTTGGCGGGCAAGCCCATTATGAAATGCAAAATAATAACTAATATTTTCCAAATGTAACACAAAGCTATGAAGCCTGCCCAGCCGCCTTTTTTCTTTTCCACATTCTTCATAAGTATTTAAGTCTTATGAATCTCTCACACAGACTTCTGAGGTCCCTCTACCCTCTTCTCAGTCTACTCCACATCACCGCCTGGTCCTCACTTCTTTTTCTGCCTCATTGGTGGTGGGCTAGTTGACTGAAGTTGCTGGTTATCTGTCTAACTTTGACCCAGATGGAAATGTCAGGCTTTTTTTGGCTCCAACCAGGGACTCCCGGCAGTGGCCATCTTCTGCCCCCCTGGCTTTCTAAATATACAGCTGGAGTGTGGAGAGGTTGTGGCTGTGTGTACATGTGTTTTGCGTGTGCATCTATGAATGTGTATGAGAGTCTGAGCGAGTGAGTGAGAGAGAGAGAGAGGGAGACTATCGGGGCGCTGCCAACACAGGCATCATGATCCCTCTCATTTAGGGACCGCTAATTGGCAGTTAATTAGCAGAATTGACTCTGTTGTCAGATCCCAAGTGCCAGCCCCCCTACCATCACCCCCTACCAGCTAAGTTCATTTGATCTGGCTGCTTTTCTTGATGCTGTAATAATAATCCCATTTTATCTGTTTTGGAGGGAGAGCAGCATTTGGAAAAACATATTTTCATTATTGGCAGAGTAAACCCAGAACAGGCTCCCTGTTGTAGCAGGTTTCATTTTGTTTCGCATTTCACTTGTTACACATCCAAATATCTGTTCCTGGTGCAATCTAGACACATGCTGTACTCACAGGAAAAGCCAGGGGAGTATTAAATCGCTGCTGCTAATGGGCCTACTGCTTATTTCTCAGGGCACATTGGGTCAAAGCGTGGCGTGGTCGCCCGCTTTGGCCAGCGCCCAGTTTGAAGTCGGTATGGCGTTATGGAAAAACAGGTGCTGCTTTAGTTAAATTGGCACTGTCTGGCAATCATGCACAAAAAATGAGAACTTTTTTTTTTTTTTTTTTACTTGTTTTCTCATTACAAGACTCTACAAGGCGGTGGAATTCTCCCAGCAAAGACGGCATGCAAGGAGAGCGAAGCCAGACGAGGCAAGATAGAGCTGAAAGAGGCATTAGAGAGAAAGCATTAGAGAGGGATGGGAGGAGGGAGGTCTTTGTACTTCTCTGCTCCTTTTGGCTCTTTTATTCCTCAACGGCTTGGTTTTATTGGTGGGTCGTTTAATAACAAGGGCTCTGCGTTTGAAATAAAGTCGAGCTGCGTTTGCGTGGGCGAGACTACTTTTTTTTTTTTCTCTCTTCATTTTAAGATGGTAATTTCTGCACTAGGGGTGAGAACTGGGGAGAGATGGAGAATAGAGAGGGTGAGAGAGCAAGAGGTTGAGAGTGTGGGATAGGGAGAATTCAAGGAGAATACAAGCGAAGGAAAGTAGGTTAATTTATTTCATTTGCTGGAAGAGAAAGAACTTAAAAAGAAGGGGGAAAAAAAGAAAGGTTGGGTGATAGCAAGAAGGAAAGTGTAGGATGCTGTTTTCATGAACAAGCAGCTTAATGCACACGGGCAGCCACAGTAAGCCTGCCAGAATCTCCCTGTGCCTGAGGCCATCTGTGAGCAGAATAGCAATTTTATTACTTTGTCATTAAACCAATTTCACAGCAGTATTGTTTGTTAATGAGCAGCCGCAAACGAGCGAAGATGTCACGTTCTAGAATAGCAGCAAGATTTGTGACCCCACTTCTCCCGCGTTTCAACCTGCGCCTCATTCTTATTCTTCTTCTGCTCTTTCTGCCGCCGTCTTCTTCTGCTTTAACATCCTTACCTTACTCTCCTGCTTCCATCCTCCCTCATCCCTCTCCATCTTTCTCTCTCTCTCCGTTATAGGGGTCCCTGGCTCATAAAAAGGGGGAAACTGCTGAAAGATAAAATGCAAAGTCTATACAGTCAAGTCTCTGTTTATGAGCTTCCATTTGCCTTTAGAGCTCATTGGGACGAATGGTTTTCTCCGTGGGCTTTCAGGGGCTGTGCAGCTGGAAAAGCCTGCGATGCTGGCCTGTTACTTCGCTCTGAAGCTTACATGGGTGCCAACAGCAAGTGCCAACAGAGGGACTAGGCGTCTGAATAGGTGCATAAGTCCTTTGGATTGTATGCTAGGTGATGTCATGCTTTTTTTTTTTGGTGATGTTTTTTCAAAGTTGTTTGGAGAACCGGGCTTGATCGCTGCTTTTATGTCCGGTGGATTTTTGATTTAGTGGTTTGCCTAAAGAGAAAATCAACCTCCAGTATGTCGTTTTGAAAAGTCTGCTTTTGCCATGTGCATCAGCTGCTATAAGCATCTTTATGGCGAGTCACTCTTGTTTATGTTTTTGCTCTGGAGGTTACTTGGCACAGATTCTCTGTCTTTTTTTTTTGCGGCGTCTGACTCAGAGAGATGGACAGACAGAGAGACAAAAAGAGAGGGAGATAGAAGGGGGTGGATTTAAACCGAGACCCCAGAGGATCAGACAACCTGACAGAGTAGATTTGGGATAATTAGTTTTATCTGCTGGGGGAGATAGCCAGAGGAGCTGTGTGTGAGGAGCCACAGGGTGCTGCAGCAGCGTGCGTATATATCTCAGTTTGGGATACGCTTGGATGAATGTTGTGTATATGTTTTGCGAGGGAGGGGTATGGGTGTGTTGGGGGGGACTTAAAAAAGGGGATAAAGGTGACCAGGTGTAACAGAATGGCCTTGAGGGTGAGTGTGTGTGTGTGTGTGCATGTGTGTGTAAGTGTGTGTTTTGGAGCCAGAGAGGACAGGAGCTCCTTCTTTGGCTGAGCTCTTTAAACTCTGTGAACCTCCACAAGGTATTTTCTCTCTGTCCAGGCATGCTCGTTCTCTCACTCGTTCTTTCTGTTTGTCTTTATCTCCCTCTTTCACACTTTACATTCCCTCTCTCTCTCTCTCTCACTCCCCTTCTCTCTTTTCTGTTTGGTATACAGTAACAGCATGTAAATAAGCATGCTCCTCACTCTTTGCTTTGTTTTTGTGGTGTCGTGTTCAGAAAACAACCACCCCCTGACCTCGCTTCCCCTCCTAAAAGACACAATGAAAGAGTGTCTGAAGATATGAAAAGAAACGAGGGGGTTGTAATCACATCCTTGACTATGTGTTACTCTTACCTGTTGTATGTCTCTGTGTGTGTATTTCCGTAGCTGTGATTCATGGCCTCGTGCCCTCTGCGGCTTTGACATGCAGGCCAATAAGCCTATCATGGATGACCCTATAAATCAATATAGCCCTTTGTTTGTTTAAGCCATGCTCTGCTCTAGTTCAGACCTGTTATGGATGAGATATCAGGGGAAGCAATGCCAAGCTAAAAAAAAAGGGGGAGGGAAAAGCAGATGGGGTGATGCCCCAAAATCTTCTCCATATCAAACCTGGTAATTTGCAATTTGGGAAAAGGGAAGGGGTGAGGAGTGAATGCTGCAGCGTGCACACCAGCTCGCATACACACATGCATGCACTTTGATGAAGTTATCACAGCTAGCTGGAGGAATTAGCTGCTATTAGCCAATGCTATAACATGCATAACAAGATGCAGAGATACAAAGAAGGAGCAGGAGAGAGAGAGAACAATGAGGGGTATATTACCCTAATCTAGGGTTTTTCTCTACTCCTGGGCTTATGAATATTTATACCTCCATTACCGCTGATGATGTTTCAATTGGGAGACTGTGTGAGCATGTGCAGCAGAGAGGGAATCACTTTTTCCCTTGTTTAGAGTGGAGGGCACATACTTTCAGCTCCTGCAACACATATCTGCACAATTGTCTTCTTAAAGGCATCTTAAATTTGAAGACGAATATGAACGGTGGCAAAATTCAGAGATGTAAAAATAAAATTTCTGTTTAACCTGCAAAATAAAACATTACAGAAGAATAAAGTCATCTCTATTTTTGGGTTTATTTCTAAACCCTTCGTGAGGAGATCGCTCATGACAGCACGCAGACTGCAATTCAAGCTCTATATTCTGCAGTCTAGGCTGAATTGAATGTGGCTTTTGTGACTCACAGAGATTGCTGTATTTGTTTCAGGCTGTCACATATGAAGGAGGCCAGTCAAAGCTGCACACAGTCAGTGTTCGAGCTGATCTGAGAGGCAGAGGGCTTGCTTCGGGCCACCAGGCACATCAGAGTCCCTGTGGTCTGCTCCTCAGTGTCACTGCTGCCTCTGCCAGCAGTCCCCTCCACAAACAACAGCTATTTATAACACCAGGCTGCTGCTGCTGCTGCTGCTGGGCCCTTTTTGCCCTTAAACTCTGCTTCTTTCTGAGCGTGCCTTCACATGTGTGTCTGCATGCTCTGTGTGTTCACGCTCAATGTATGTCAGAGCGATTATGTGCAATTGAAACTCCGATTAATTATTCAAGAGGGAAGTCGGAGGCAGCATTTGACCAAGGACTCTCGTGGTCACTGTTATGTGTGAGATGCAAACACACTCAAGTCAGACACATCATGGAAATGTGCTCTGTGGAAACACTCACTCACACGCCAGAGACACAATGATGAGAAGATGATGACATCCCAGTGGGAGGGAAAATCCCTTTCCAAACACACACACTTAAACACACTCACATGGTCCTGTACCCAGTAGTCTGGCTCTTAAGTGCAATGACGCCTAAACCCAGGCTTTAGAGTATTTCGACAGTCTATCCACAAGGTTTAGGTGTCACTTTTTAATTGCTCAGACTGCTGTGCATTTTCACCGAATTCACGGGTAATAGAGCAGCGATGTGAGGAGAATAAAAGTCCCAATAAAAGGAAAGCAGAATAGGCATGTGTGTGTATTTTTGGGGGACACTTTTCCCGTACAATCTCCAATTGGCTCTGACTCCGACTAGTGCATTTTAGATTTAAAAGCTTAAGTTCATGTGCGCATACTCAAAAGTCTACCCAAGCATGCATGTGTGTTGTGCGAGGTCGTAAAAAGTTGGAGCCCCTCTTGGCAGATCTTTCTTCTCCTCTTCTTCTTCTTTGAGCTGAACCCATTATAGTCTTATGAAAGGAGGGAGAAGAGGAGACGTTTGATATGAGGCACAGGAAATAGATTGGCCTTATTTCCTTCCTGGCTGCCGCGGCGCAGACACTTGTGTTGCCTAGACGATGCAGCCAATTGACACTCAATTTTGTTTGAAATATCACGCCTCTATCATGTCATTATCAGCTTCCCCTGGTAATCCACAAAGCCGCCCTGTTTGATATCTGACAATAAGGAGGAGGTGGCGGTGGTGGTGGGGGGGAATCATAGAGTTGGGGAATCTCTCTCACTCGATTACCAGGCGGAGAGGAGGGAAGAAAGGGTCGAGAATGAAAGGAAAGCAAAAGGAGAGGAAGACAAAAGAAAATAGAGAGAGGAAGAGGGTGCAGGAGAGGGCTAAAAGAGTCACACGTGTGTATGATAGGAGTGGATAAAAACAGAGATTATACCTGCCCTCCCTGCAGAGACTCACAAAGGAGCCCAACAGGCTGAGCATTGTGGGAAAAAAAAGAGAAATCTGGGCGATAGGGGTGGCACTCTGCACAAGTGAGAAAAAGGGGTGATCTTGTAAGCACACCCACTCATCTCAGGAGGGCTGATGGGAAGGCTGGGTTAATGATAGTGCTGGATTCATTCTCTCTCTCTCTCTCTGTTATCCTCTGTGTGTGTGCCAGCCTGCCAGCATGCCTACGTTCTATTTCTTGCTGGCCCTGCATGAAAGCAGGAAGCCCTCACCCATTAGGTGAGGCGCTGTCTTATGAGGAATGAGCGCTACCTTCCAGCGCTGACGGCCTCTGTCATGGGCTATGTGCTGGAACCTTTGACGAGGGGCTAATATTGACATACGTTCGATGTTTTTGAGACGCTCTTCAAATAACACAAAAATCAGCTGTCGGTCCCTCAGCTCGTGGGCTGGCACACGATACCTTTTTGCGCACCTATACGAGCTAATAGGATGCTCTCTGAGGGGTGACGCAAAGAGATTTGGATGAACTCTTCCCTGATCTGGTTGTGATTTTCACGAAAATAAAAAGCACCGGGAAAACATTCCAGGGCAGAGGAGTCAGGCTCTTAGGAAAAGGAGGTTAATGATGGGAAATATTAAGGGAGCGTTTGTAAGACAGAAAGAGAAAGATGAGATGATCCCACCCTCCTTCTTCACATCAGAAAACAGGTAGAGCTAGGGCAGGTTAGCCACGCTGGGTTGCTACAATAAGGCCTCTTTCATACAGGTGTGTTGACGCCTGGGGCAGGCTTGGCCTCGGTCCATTCCATTCACCCTAGCTGATTTGAACAATAACTATCATATCTCTTAAAAGAGAAGGGAGGGTGAAGCGTCAAGACGGAGATGCCTGAGAGCTGTGTCAGGGCCAAGAAAAACCCTGCTGCCGTTGTCAGAGCTTGTTGATGTTGTAGTAAGGAAAAAACTGGCAAGTTTTTTTTTTTTTTTTCTAATCCCCCCACCACCCCTCCATAACCCCCACATTTTTTTTTCTTCCCTGCCTCTCTCTCCCTCCACTTTCGGCGTCGGAGTCAGTGTTTTTATGCCGTAGGACAGAGTGTGGTGAGGAGACAGAGGAACAAAGTGCTGCTGTGTGGAGCAGCAGCTGCTGCTTGCCGGATCAAAGGGGCAACAAGCGTGGTCTTCCTGGCCCAATGCTGCACTGGAGGTGTTTGACGGACAGTCAGCAGCTGGGGCCGCACAGCCCGCCATGCAGGGGTCAGGCTGCTGGACTGTAGGGCCCAGGGGTGACATGCCCTCACTGGACAAGGAGGGAGAGGGGAGAAGGTGTTAGATGGGAGGGTAAATAGAGGGAGAGATGTCTATGTTTGTTTCCTTTGTTGTTAGTCTTGTGGTGCAGGCTGCAGAGATGCTGCTGACAATACTGCTGCATTTTCATGACAGACTGTGTACACTTAATACTTCTAAGCTATGTATATTAAACAAATGCATATGTTATTTTATTCACTAATTTTCTTTGTTAGTTACATTTTTGTGTGATATGTGCAGGTTGGCAAAGCAAGAGTAGAAGCTAGATGAAGGAGACAGGAGAGCCATCAGCTGCCACAGCTGATTATGAAATCATGGATTCAACTATCAACTACTAACATCTTAGGAAATAATTAGCAACAAAACAATTAAGTCATCTATCATCAAATTCATCCCAAAACAGGAGGTTATACATCAAAATTTAGCTGATATGTTGCTAAATTCAGCTTCTGCATGGTAATCATTTTGCACAAAAGCTTTTTCTAACTGGAATTTCGTTAAAGATTGCCTACCATTGAAGGTGGTTTGTGTCCCTGGAAGGAAAACAAGCTACCTTAATAATCCTTTATTATTTTTTCACCGTGAAAAAGCTTAAGATCAATCTGTCATCACAGTTTATTAATACCTAGGTTTAAAAAAAATCACATTTTTGCAGTAGTCGGAGCCTCGTTTCAAAGGTTAAACCATCAGTAGAATAGCACAACACTACACACTGCTGTGATCTCTTTTTTGGTGCTGACAGAAAAGTCAAGCGAATAAAGAGAGACACACAGAGAGCGAGCGTGCTGCAGTGCTATTGATTTATTTTAATTAGCTGCTCGTTAAATCGTGTCAGTTTGCAACACAAATATATAATTCTTTGTCTGATTTTCCACTCGAGTCTTAATGACTCGTGCTCCCCGGGTTTCAGAGAGGAATGACTTCTGCAGCAAGACTGACAGAGCAGTGCAAATGCTGCTCATATGAGGCTGAAGAGAGGGGGGTGCCACAAAAGGGCAATGAGTGGAGTAATAAAAAGGGAAAGAAAAACAGGTCAGTGAAAGTCCATGGAGGAGAGGTGAAACTGTGCCCCTTGTAGAGGCCGACAAAAGAGCGAGAGGTGGAGGTGGAGGTGGGGGGGGTGTATGGATGAGAGAGAGAGGAAGAGAAAGAGAGAGAGAGAGAGGTAAAACTATGTAAACACAGTGGCTGCCCTAAACGTGGGCCCTCTCTCTGACGTTCCTAAAAAATGATCCCGCCTCGCTCTGCTTCACATCTGCACTAAATCAAACACGGGGGTGAGGTAATGTTCACCCGGCTTATGTCTCTTAACTCCTGTTTTAGCTTAAAGAAGGGAAGAGGGGATCGGAAAACGGACAAGTCGGTGTCTGATAGGACGAGCCTGAGGAAGCTTCCTCATTCCTCCTGTATCTATTCTGTCCTTGGAGGAGTGAAGCCCGTGAAAAGCTCCTTTGTGATAGTTTATGATAAATCCACAGATACTGGAAGTTCAGTCTGGTGGCAAGCGATGTATAAACTGTAACAGGGGGGGCCTGTTCAGACCATGTGAGCTGATTCAATCAGTGTTGTTGACACTACAGTAGATCAGTGTTGGAGGTTCAGTAGCCCCAGACTTCCCCACCGTCTGAGTGCACCATAATTAGTGTTTGCTTACACAAAACACACCCTCCTCATGGGGTTAATTTGCATGCACTTCCTGGTCAAAGGACACTGAATGTTCGCCTCCTTTTTGCCCTGTCTATCTTTTTCTTTTTTTTTTGAGGGGGGATCAAACTAAAGCCTTCCTCCTTTGATTCCACTGAGTTGTGACTCAATCGCTGGAGGTTTGGAATCTCTATTTCAGTCTAAAGCACAAGTATGGAAGCAATGATCTTTAATAGGAACCAGAGGACGGCCATGTTTGCGAGCAGCGATCGGGGATTGAGTTCAGCACGTTCTTTTTCAGATTGTGTTGCATCTAATCTCCCTGCAAAGACAGATAGAGGCCAGGGAATATGACTGACAAACGGAAACTTGCCTCCCCACCCCTCCCCTGCTTATGCATACGAGCTCTCAGAATGAGCATATGCAGGTCAGCCATGAAGGCAATAAACTGTCAACGATTTCTGCGCCACTTTTTCAAAGCCGCCTTCTCTCTTTGCACGCTCTGCGGAGCTACATTTGGAGCAGTCTGGTGCTCATTTCTCCAAGAAGATATGTTCAGTATTTCTCTGTTTCTCTCTCTGGCTCTTGCTCCATTTCTTTCTTTCATCACAAACTCGTCAAACGAGTGACCCTACTCCTGATTGGCTGGGTTCCCTCCAATCTCCACGGCAATTGGCCGAACAAACAGTGACTCTCTCTCTCTCTCTTTTTCTCGCTCGCTTTCTCTCGCTCTTTCTTGTCTGTCTGCCTCTCTCTCTCTCTTTCTCCGTTGGCTGTGCTCCAGGGTAGGGTGGTTTGGCATGACGATTTCTCAGGGAAGGAATGCTGACAACAGGAGCGAGTTACCAGGTGTGGCTGCGAGTCAGTTAACCAGAAACAAGGCCTTTCTGACAGATTGAGATGAGGAAGCAAGAAAAAAAAATGACAAAGAATGAACGCAGGCACTGAGTCAGACCGACTGGTTTGCTGCGATTTCATCTTCAGACTTTAAATAACCTTTTTAACTTTAGCGGTGCATTTAGTTGGTTTCTTTGAAAGACAGTCCAGAGGCTCGACGCACATTTGAGGATTATGTAAACTCCTAATCAGACCTTGGTGTCTCCTTCTGCCTCCGACCCCCAGCTCTCACTGGGTATAGCATAACATTGTATGCTAGCCAGGGCATTTAACACCTGTGAAGGCACTCTCTGAAGCTCCCCCCCTGCGTGTCCGAGCAGATATTAGTAACCAGGGAAGCCGTGTTGATCCAGCCTCGAAGAGACTCTGTGTCAAGTGGACCCCTGCTGCCCTGGCTCCATCATTCATATCTGCCTGTCATCTTTCTCCACAACACACAGAGTGCTAGTAAACTTAGCGATCTCTAAGTTGTCATGCAGAAGGCCTTCTTAGTCCGCATCCACATGTTTGCGCGCACATGTCCACTCACGCAATTTTAAGGGTATGTCAGTAAGAAGTGCTACTGTTGCTCAATTGGCGCCTGCGTGTGAAGAATGCGCTGACATGCACACACACATACACACATGTTGACTCACATGTGCGTACATATTCGCATTGCACGAGCAGTTTTTGATATGCAACTTGAAAACGTGTGGAGGGCTAAGCGGCTAAAAAGAAACTAGCTGCCCACATTAAACAGCGGTGGACCGCCGCCCCCACCCGTGCCGCTTTCTCCAGGGGTAATGTACACATTCTGAGCTGTATCCTGAGGAATGACCCCCACACGACCCCCTAACCTTGCCTTTAATTATTTGTTTGAAGACAGCATGGAGTTCCCATGCTGAGAGGTACTCTGTGTACTGTGTGTGCACGCATGTGTGTTGGCGTTTCTGTGCGCTAACACTGAGCAGAGGCAGGCCATAATAAGCTAGACCACCAGATGTAGATAATAAAACATGGGCTTTTTCGGTTGGAGGTTTTTCTTTCTTTCTTTTTTTTTTTTTAAAGCGAGTGTCCCCTGTGAGCCTCCTGTGTTCTGGTTAGCCTACAGACACACTGGCGGTGCCTGTGGTCATGTCCATAGTGTGGATGTGTGGATTTACGGCGTGCACGCATGTTTTAGCGAGCGGTTGGGAATTCCGGGTCCCTGTGGTCAACCTCTGGTCTCTTCTCAGGGGGGCAGTGGGTCCTCAGATCCATCCATCTATCCATCTCTCTGTCCATCCCAGTCCACTGGCCTTCATCTCTGGAGGATTCCTGGTGGTGTTTTTCTAAGCACACACCATTAGCAGCTCACGGGTGGAGGGAAAACAGTGTTATCAGGCCTGGCTCTGATAATCTCAATTGGCTTTACTCAGGCTGATAAAAGGTGCTCTAAGGCCACCAGAGGGGTCCTTGGTCAGCCCCCACTCCCTCTCGTGTGCCGCATCACCTCCTGGTAACTGTGGCAACTTGTGAAGCGTACAAAAACAAAGCCTCTATGTGTGGGTGGGTTGTTGAGTGTGCGTGTGTTCGGCTGCTGTTGCCTAATAAGACGTGTTTTCAAATAGCAGAGATTAAATTGATATACATATGTTTGTGAAATTACTTCCTCAGCGGGAGCGAACACCTTTCTAGCTGGACGTTTTTCTGTTGATTTAATGTCATACATTTCCTGTTAGAAGTCCCTAAGAGGAGGAGCGCTGTTTAGGAGGAAAGATTCAGGGTAAAAGTCAAAAAAGAAACCTGAAAACTGCACTTTGATCTCACAGCAGTACTCCGAGTCCGTAGAGTATTTCCTCTGCAGTCACTGGAAACCGTATGGGCAAGTTTAGCACCTGGGAAGAACATTCCTAATATTATGTGTTTATGGTTATGTCCCAGAATAGGTAAGAACGCATGTGGTTGTGATTTTGAGTCCCTTAGTGCGTCGGGAAAGGGAGATTGCAGGACGTATATTTCAGAAAAGGCTCTGCGCTCTGGGCTTAAAGAGGGAGTGTGATAACAGGAATGTCTTACTGTTTACTTGCTCAGCTGGTTCTGATGCTTGAAAATGTCTTTCTCGTGCAATGAAGGCATTTCTGACAGAAGAGTTATCTAAGAATGCTTCATCTGCTTTGTTCTGGCAGAAAAGTACTTTCACAGTTAATAAAACTTAATCCTCATGCCTCCTTTAGAACCTGAATTACAATAATATAATTTCCAATCCATCTCTCTTGTTCGTTTATTCTCATATGGATGTGTTTCATCTTTTTCTCTTGGGGGCCCGCCGCTCCCCCTGCGTACCTGCACTCTGGATGCCCCCTGGCAAATGAGCGCAGCGTCTTTCTTTTTCCCAACCGTGCATTTTGTACGTTTAACCATGTCACTTTGAGCCGGGCAGATTACAGGCGTTTAAGTTCATTGGAGAAGGTAAGGGCAGGTATCAGGGCTTCATGGGGGATTAGGAGTCCAAATTGGTTCCAGCTCTCCCTTCCTTCTAATGACCAGTTCTTTAGCCCCACTGATGGTGCAGTGGCCCGTATGTTAGCAAAGGGCGCTTGTTTTTTTCCTCCCTCTCCTCTGCTTTTTTGAACCGGCGAAGGTCTGCGTGCTGGACAGCTCTGACGTGATTCGAAACCCCTCTTTAATATCAACCACATGGTGGTACCTGTGTAAGGTCCAGGTTTTTACCAACTTATAGAAAAGAGAGAAATGTGGCAATCTTGTTTGACCAGCCTGCATTCGCCACAGCTCAAGGCGTCCCATTCGGAGTTAAAGAAGGGTCGCCCCCGGCTGGCAGTCACCTCCAGATGACCTCCGGCTTTACACTGGAAAAGCCACAGGAGCGAGGCCGGCTGGGGAGGCTTTGTGGAGCTGCACTTATTCGCTGCTGTGGTGGTGATAAAACTTCAGACAGCCTAATTGATGGGCTTGCTGACATAACAATACCTTGTGAAAGCACGGAGTGGCCCATGCCTGGTCCTCATTTCTAGACAGCTGGAAGGGGAGCAGAACCCCCTACAATGCAGCTAGAGTGGGGGTCCCACAGAGGGGAAGGGTTGGAGGTGGAGATGGGGGGTGGAATAGTGGGGGAGTCATGAAAGGAACCATTTGTACGCTGCACTTTGCTAATGTAAAGCTTACACAGAAATTCCAGTGGGTGATAACACTGCAGACATAATATTGTGTCGGAGAAGGAGCTGCAGACATGATGCTGCAGGACGGACTGCAAAGCTGTGCTGAGGTTACCGTGTGCAACTCGCTGCAGGAAAAACAAAAAAAGGAAAGAGAGGGATGTGCCACGACGAGGGTTCCTCTGTGCCCGAGCTGCACTTAATACTTGAGGAATGTCTCCCTGGTGCCTATAGCAACCGAACGTAATCAAAAGCTTTATTAAAAGAGGGGGGAATAGATCATAAGGAACATTAAAAGTATCCCTCACTGGGTTCCCAAGTCGGCACACAATTGCCCTTTTGTTTGTTGCAGTTTTGTTGTGTGTGCCTCTCTCAAGGACTTGCAGGCTAATGTTGCCATTAAGTCATGCAACACAGTTTTGTCTTTGTGCTAGCTTGTGATGAATCTCTCTGTGCGTGAATGCAGGCTTGATTTAACGTTTGTTTTTCTCCTCTGTGTTTTTTTCTTCCCAGGTTCATTAATGCCAGGAGAAGAATAGTACAGCCCATGATCGACCAGTCAAATCGAGCAGGTAAAAAAAACAGAAAAAGGACAATTCAGCCGACATACAGCAGACTGCTGCTTCGCTCTTTCTTTCCCTTGCATGAAGACACCCTTCTAATATCCTTCACTGGCATGCACATCATGCCTGGAGTCCAGATTTTTTAAAGGGGCGCCCTAAATCTACAACCTCCTTCAAATAATATGAAAAATCCCTCTCCTTCCTCTTTCTTCCTTCGATTTTCTTCTTTGAGATGTGTTCAGCAGTGGTGCAGGCCGTTTGCTGATTGACTCTAATTGGAGATTTCCCATTCTAAGTGGAGGGAGAGCTATATTAGCACTCTCTCTGTGAATTACTAATTGGACACAAGAGGAGAGCTAGAAAGGCTAGAAGCAATTCCAGAGTTATCGCCTCCTTTTCTTTTTTTTTTGTTTTTGTTTATATTTTCCAGTCCAGGGTTGCAGGGTTAGCCTTAGCATCCCACTGCATTTTTGTATTATTCTATCAAGAAACACTATTCAAATGTTCATCCTTAGAAGCGATTTGCGGCCCAGTAGAATGTAAGAACAGCCTTTACCTTTTCTGACAGATTGATAGTTTGAAATAGGGCTGGGCAATAAAACGATAATAATATATATAGAAAATTAATTTCCCTCAATATAAAACATGGTCAATATGCTTTTCAATAGTCGGCATTCTGCCATGTTTTGGTAGACTATAAGAATAGCCAATGAAAAGATGACATTGTTGACAACACTGGCACGAAAACCGAGTAATGTGCACTGCAAATTATGTCAAGAACATGTTCTCGCAAAGTCGGGGAATACCTCAAATCTTTTTCAGCACCTGAAGTAATGCCACGAGCATCCGCAATGCAAAAGGTTCAGTCCACTTTCTCTAGCGCAACGCCCTGTGACAAAATGTCAAAGAGACACAAAGACCTCACAGATGCAGTAGCTTATTGTATGTCAAAAGATATGCTACCAATAAGCACAGTTAAATTTCAATTTTTATCTCATGATATATACCTATATCGACTGATATGTAAAAATTTATCGTGATAAATTGATTCCCATATCGCCCAGCCCTAGTCTGAAATTATCAATTAATGCACTTTTAGTCATGGAGATGGAAGGATGGTTTTAACATGAGGCATTGATTCAATCAGAATCCATTTCTCTTAAACAGATTATGGACAATTAACTGATAACAAACTTGTTTTATATCTATTGTGGTTAAGTTACATAAACAAAAAAAACAAACTAGCAGTAGAATCCTGCTAAAGTAAATCTAAGTAATTTGTATCATGTAGGTTAAACAGCGAGCTCTCTTTCTGGAAAAGGTCCCCTCTCTAGGAGGAAAAACCAACATGAGCCACGAACCAAATGAGATGCACTCGCATACTGTATGTGGGAGAGACCGTCTACAATCCCCGAGCTCAGCATGCAACAAATGTTGTGCCAAACAACAATCTCTGCAAAAACAGCATGACTAACAGCTCCCCTTAATCTTTACGAATTACAGATTATCCAAGATAATACTGTTATAGTGCCAGAATACACCATGTTCTACAGTCTCAAAAGAGCATTAGTTCATTAGTGCTAATTACAGACAAAATAAGATGCATTTAACTGCCAGTGTATCCTCTGAATCATGTTAAATAATCAGATAAATCTTTAAATTATTGGTAATTGTCAGAATAACATAAAGATGACTATGCTCGGTTTAGGAGTGGAAGTGTGTACTCTGCTGTTCAGATGACTACTGTCTGAAAGAATTGGCTGCCACGGCAGAAATTCTTCTCATCCTGTCAAACTGCATGCTTTCTCCTCTCAACTAGAGAACAATGTATCTCCTGTGTGTGTGTGTGGTTTTGAAAGACACTGGCAATGTGTGTGTGCGCGCGTGTGTGTGTGTGTGCTTGCATGCATGAGGACCTACTGTATGCGTGTTTGCATGCCACGCGTCAGCCAATGCGGTCCACAAACATGAGCACAATGTCTTACAGTATGTTTGGGCTGAAGCTGGGACAATTGCTGATTGTCTGGTGTGTTTTCTCTTCTTTTTCTTCCCCCCCTCCTCCCTTTTTCATGTCCACGTTTTGACTACAATCAGGTTTTCTTCTTGATCCTTCAGTGAGCCAAGGAGCAGCATACAGTCCGGAGGGCCAGCCAATGGGCAGCTTCGTGCTGGACGGTCAGCAGCACATGGGGATCCGACCAGCCGGTGAGTGCGTCGTCCTCTTGCTCGCTCTAAAAAGGCACCAGTTTCACCCTGAGATCCGGCAGAGCAGATCAGCGCTGATCCTCTTGTCTGAAGCATGAGATTTGGTGACCTCAGCAAGAAGCAGGTCCCAAAGTTAAACCCAACCCTAACAACAGCAACAAAACCACGATAACATCACGTTTTAAGAAATCCCCTCACATTTCCCCGCTAAGTCTACTGCCTGTCTTGCTTGTTTTTTTCTCTTATCTAACAAATCCTTCACAAATAATCACAACAAAGGGATTTGTGGGATAAAATGCAAGATAAAAACACTTACACCACTTCTGTACGTCTTCCACTTCCCTTTTCCCTAATCATTTTCTATCTGGAGCTAACTAAACCTCATTCTCTCTATCAGCGGCTCTCCTCTGACCTCTCTGTAATTCAAACTCCTGCTGACCTTTGTTTCTCTGGCGTTTATCTCTTCCTTCCAGGGCCTATGAGTGGAATGGGGATGAATATGGGCATGGATGGGCAATGGCACTACATGTAACCTCCATCTTGTAAAGCAAAACGCAAAGAAAAAGGGGGAAGTAAGTACTGGGCTCTTTCTTTTTTGACACTTGGGTTGTCGGTTTCATTTCTTCACCCACATTTCTTCTTCTTCACATGATCAGCATTACCCTACCATAACCCGGCCGTCATTTCGCATCAAGCTTCTGGGACCTTTTTCGACAGCTTGAAGCCGGCATGCATGGGCGTTTTTAGCAAGATGTCTTCAGGGGTAGAGAAGGGAGGGTTTGTAGTCTTGGGAAAAAAAGGGGGTGAGCTGTCCCAGCGTAGAGAGAGTCCCGACTTGTGGCGCCAGACAAACAGGGACAACAACAGAAAAAAGGAGGGGGAAAAACAACCTGGCATGGTGTGCACAAATTTATTTATCACAACAGCGCCATCGCTCTCCGCATCCCGGACAGCCAATGCAAATGTTGGACATTTAGGGAAAAAATAACATCTCCTGGGGAAGGGGCTGACGGGGAGAAATTAAGCAGGCTCCAGTGAAGCGATAAAGAAGGAGAAGTGAAACTGTCCTCCGAGTGACATAAATCTGTCCGGGGAAGGATTGATGCCCAAATTATCTTATATGCAAAGACGGGAACAGCGCAGTACATTACGCTCCCTGAGCGAGATATACGGGCCGTGGGTGACACGACCGATCCTTCACTGGGGGTTTGGTTTGAGCTGTGTAAAGGGAGGAATGAAAGAGGGGGGGAGCTGTGTGTTTTGATTATTTTTTACTGGAGGGAGACGATTTAAGGGGGGGGCGGGGGCCAGTCTGACCTGAGACTCACAGACAAGAGCGGAGAGACATTGAGATAAATTTATAAGGTTGTAGACACAAGCATGAGTGCATCTAAAAAGAAGGGGATCTCTTTCTCACATACAGATACAGTCCCTCTCTCTCTCTCTCTCTCTCTCTCTCTCTCTCTCTCTTTCACACACACACATACACACACACACACACACACACTATCCTCATACAGCTAAATGGCGGCAGTCTGATTAAGCCGGCCATTCCACCTCCCGCTTGTGCCACAGTGCTGACATTTGAAAAATCAAGACGTATCACATCCCGAAGGCAGCAGGGCAGAAGAGATTTTATTTTAACACCTAAACTCCCTTTGCCCAATGAGGCACAATATAATAACACTTACCTTGATTAAAAGAACCCTTTATATGTAAATGGAGACTGGATTTTCCAAAGGGTCACAGCGGCAATTCTGCCGACAGAGATCATTTCACCTCCTCTCTCTCTCTCTCTCCCTCCTCTTTTCCCTCTGTCTCTCACTCTCTCATCCCCTCCTGTCTTTGCTAATGGCAGCAGGAAAAAAAAAAATCAGGAAGCAATGTTCCCTAAAACAGCCACACAGAGACAACATTTGCTCAGGTTGGCTAATTCTTAATATAGGGCTATATAATTTTGAGACTATTTAATTACATAACATACTTTATGCTTCATGACCAATTACATTAATAGCTTAATACAGAGGAATATTATCCTCTCTTGATTTGATTACGCAGCCACACAATATGGTATATTTGGTACTTAATTATGGCCAGCCATTGAGCAGGGCCGCTGTGCCATAACAGAAGTGCAGCGAGGGAGGCAGGCATGCAGAGATGGGGAGATTGAGAGAGAGAGAGAGAAAGAGAGAGAGAGAGAGAGAGAGGCCTTAGTTATTGTCTTCAGATGGTTTTACCACTCTTGTTAATAAAGGAGGGGGGTCTCAGATCTACTTAACGGAATGACTGCAGCTTACAAGGCTGGAGATTACCAGCTTACAGTGTCAAAAACATCTGTTGGGCCTTTTAACAGGAGCTGCTCCAGGTTATATGGAGGCGAGGGCACCCATCATACTCGGGCACCCTGAGTGATTTATTCCTTTTATGACCCCGGTAGTGAGCTTTTAAGAGACCTGCTCTGACAAACATGTGCATTTCAAATGAACTGACACGGACAAGAGGGTGGGGTTGGTGGTGGAGGGGGGTATTAGAAAATGGCACAGCTTTCAACCAATGAGGCTGGTCATTAATCTTGGCCTCTGCTGTCCCCTTTTTTTTTTTCTCTCTCCTCTCTTTACCTCTTCTTCTTCTTCCTCCCCTCACCAGGGCCCTCCAGTGTAATTTCTTAATTGCAGTGTACTAAAGGTGGAGGAATGCAGAGAGTGAGCATGCCTAGTGACCTCACAGCGACCTCTCCCCCCTCCTATTACAGCTTCTAATCCCCCAGGGGTTCACATTACAAAGCAGGGCCGGCCCAGACCCAGTCCCAGACCCAGGCCCCCTCTGGCTCCAGCAGGGACCCCCTGCTCTTACTTGTTTCTCCCCAAGGTCCAGGCCCCATAGAGCAGCCATGTTCCCATACACCAACCCCTGGCTCCAGGAACCCCCCCCCCCACCTCCCTACTTCCTCCTTTTTTTTCCAAATTCTTTCTGATTACAACAAACAGCAAACAGTGGCACTGCTGTGTGACCCAGGTCCTGTCACAGTGTGAGATATCCAGCATGCTGGGGTCTCTACACATATTAAGTAGAGTCCATCTTTAAGTGACATCAAAGTGCCCCACCTGCTCTTCCTTTCTTTTCCCCTCTTTCAACTCTCTTTTATCTCCGTCACTCTTGTCTCTCTGCTTTTTCCTGCCTCCTTTCTCTTCTTCTACCTCCAAAATACCCCACACTCCTCGCATCCGAGAGCAGCGCTTTGTTTTGCATCTGGACTGAACCAAGCCTAGTGATACAGCTAACCGAGTCCTAAATTATTTAATAACTTCTTCTTCAAGGGGTTTTAAATCAAATATGTTCACAAAAAGACGCATCCCCCATGAGAGCGTGTCACTAAAGCCAGTCGGGGAATTGACTGTTCCGCTTGTAAAAGTATTAGCACTTCTCCACATCAATACACACGCCTGGTTTTCCTCACATCCTCCAGCTCTACAGTGTCTGTCTGAGGATGACTGAGGATCATTTTCCAACCTGAGCCCTGACCACAACGCTGTTGGGCATTGTAAACCACTCACCATGGGCCTAAAATAGCCCGTCCAATAATGTCTCTCTTTACTCGTCGAAGCTAAAACGCGGTGTCGTAAAACCTGCTAAGCCCTGGGATGTCTGAGTTGCGTGTAAATGAAATTAAGGCCAGTTAATGGAGACAGAGAAATAGATTTATCTGCTCTGGGAGTTAATTTCTTCTTGGTTTTCTTCCTCTCAGGTCTGCCAGGCATGCCAGGGGAGTACGTACCTCAGAGCGGTCCTATGGGCATGAGCATGGCCCCGCCCACCTACACCAACCCTCATCAGATGACTTCCCACCCCTCCCAGCTCCGACACGGACATCCTCTCCACGCCTACCTGCCCGACCACCACCCTCATCGCCCTCATCACCCTCACCACCACCCTCATCCTCACCCGCACCACGCCATGCTGATGCATGGAGGACCCTCGTCACACCCAGGAATGACCATGTCTGCACAGAGACCCCCTTTGCTCACCCCCATTGACCCCAGTACTGGAGGACAAGGCCTGGACATCCACGCCCAATAGTATAAGGGAACTTTGTTACCACGACAACAGCAGCTACTACAAGAAAAAAAAAAAAACAGTTGAAAAAAGACGTCAGCAGCCCACAATAAATCATATTTTGAGACTATTTTTAAGAATAGAAAGCGAACCCTTTTGACCAGAATTTGACACTAAAGAAACAGAATTCCACATGAGCTGTGATAAATCTTTTTTTTTTAAAGACTTGTCAATTTTCTTACTTTCATCCAAATGGAGGACCAAGCTGACAAGAACACTTTGTAAAGTCTTGGGCTTTTGGTAAAGATCAACATAGGATGTTTTGACATACACGTGTGCGAAGGACGGACAGATGCGCGCACACCGCTCCAAAAACACAAACACTTTTTTGACACTCACTCACTTACACACACACATACACACACACACACCGTCATAAACATATTCAGTACACTTTCATGTCAAACGCTTCAAGAATAAAATCACTCTGGAAGATTTAAAAAAAAAGAAACAACAGAAAGACTCCAAGAGTTATAACTACTGTAGTATAAAAGTATAGATAAATAAGTTAAAACTTGTGCATTTTTTGTTGATCACATGGTTTATGTTTCCTGAGCTAGTTTTAGAATCAAAGGTTAACCTTTTCTCTCTCACACTGTGTGTGCTCCTTCCTGGAGGAGAAACTGTCTCGCAGCACAGCACTAGAAAAGAAAAGAAAAGAAAAAAATAAGAAGATGGAACATCTCAAAAAGGCTCCAAACCACAGAGGGCGATCAGGTCCTGTCCCTCACAAGAACAGGGCATGATGGGTAAAGGCTGCTAAATGACACCGGATCTCTCCAGAAGATTCAGTTTGAACATTTGTCATGCCCCTCTTTTTCTTTTTCTTTTTTTGTTCATGAATGAATGTTGCCCTGTAGGTTTTAAAGGAAAAAAACGTTCTTGTTTGAATTGCCCAAGCACTGGATTGTGTTGGTTTTATACATTTTTATTTTAATATTATTTTATTTTTTGTACCCTGGACTCTCATTGGTCAGAGCCTATTGAAGGAAGCTTAAAAGTGGAAAAGCAACATCCTCTGGCGCTCTCTTTCCCTGCGGATCAACACTTTTGCCATACGGACAATACTGACACAAACGTTGATTCTGCGGCACTGGAGAAGCATTTGATGGTTGATGCACCAAAAAACCTATAACTTTAAAAAAAACAAACAAAAAAAAAAAACTTAAATTATGAACTCAATGCTTTTGGGGGGAAAAAAAGCTGAGAGAATATTGTAACAAACTTCGTACAGAGTTCAGTCTATTAATTGTTTCATGTTAGATATTCTATGTGTTTACCTCAATTGAAAAAGAATGTTTTTGCTAGTTTCAGATCTGCTGTGGCATTGATATTGTATGTCCATGAATTCCTTCCTTTTTCAGCACGTGTTCCTCACTAGATGATAAGATGCCGTCTCCCTTAAGCTTTGTCAAAAATACATTAAATACTTGTATGAGGACTGTGACGTAATGTTTAAAAGGTGTTCAGTCACAAATGCTGTAATAAATATTTCATTTTTGATTTTTGTTAGATTTTTGTGTGATTAACTGTCTGATAAACGATTTCAGCATTTCCATTTCATTAGTTACAGGAGCACTTTTAAACAGTTTGGTCATGTTTTTACGAGGTCTTAATTTTTCTGCAATTTCTGCAAGAGTTTAAAAAATTTCCTTCACCATATATGCAACAGACTCTTTATTCTCAACCAAACGGACCATTTGGTTTTTATTCGTCACTTAAAATGACAATAGCTAATTATTGATCCACATAACCCGCCTTTGCCAATTATTAAAGCACAGAAATGTGTCCTCCGAATTATGATTTGCTGTCAAAAATGTAAATAAAAAGTTTAAACTACATAACCCATTCCTTACATTTAGATCAGAGGACGTATTATGAGTGATGGTGTTTTGAGGAAAATTAAAATAGATTTCAAAAGAAGTATAACTAGATAAAAGTAAAATACACAATTTCTGGGAATTAATTCTGAACATGGCTTATCTGTTTAGGAAATTTTCCCACTTTGCTTTTTCCAAAATTAAACACACATTTGACGCAGATTCAACATCACTCCAGATATGTCTGATCATGTCTAAAGCTGACCTCAATTACAAAGAAAAATCAAGACAAGTTTTCTGGGTTAGAGGAATTTTAATATTGCTTTGTGATCAAACAATAGATTGAGGATTTGTCCCCCTGTGAATCTAGAGTGAGAGAGCCATGGCTGGCACTCTTGTCTGTGTACTCACTTCTCGTTTCTGCCGTTTTGCAGCGCCGCCTGTCGGCCAAACACTGCACCGCCGTCTGGTAAAAACACAGATGGGCTTTGATGGGCTATCTCCTCTCTCCTCTCCATCTCTGAGCCCGTGTTCGCCCCGCGGCCATCCGAGTCCCAGCCTCAAACCAGAAACGACCACATCACTTTGGCTCAAATCTTCTCCGTCCTTCACTAAAACAAGTGAAAACAAAAGCAGAGTTCAAGTCCAGACTTTGAGTTTCTTTTAATTAATTTCTTATTTTTGTGTAACACGAGCTCAGATCTCACTACAATAAACCGCATTTTTGTCTGAGTCAAAAATATATATGTATAAAAAAATACAGCAAACAAACGTAAAAAGTTATTATGATATTTACAATTATTCTTATTTTGGCACTAAATAAAAACTAACATTAGGATTTTTTTTTTTACACTTTTTTACACTCGGGTGCTTTAGAGGAAATTCTAAAATTATTCTCATGTTCTTGCATCATTAAAAATAGTTTATTAAAAAATGATATCTACATTTTTTTAATTTTATATCGATGTAAGAATATTAAAATTTTTTCTACTAATTCTAAACCTAACTCTAAAAAAATGTGCAAACACAGATTTGTTTGTTTATGCAGCAGGTCTTCCCTTTATTTGGGTTATGCAAAGTAAAACAAACAAACATGTAAATCATGTATTTTATATTTAAAGTCACTTTTACTCTGAACTTTAACTGACCACTATAAAAGGCCTTTTTTATTTGCTGTTAAATCAAAGCACTTTTTAAGTCTTTAAAATAAAATCGTTTTATTACTCTAAAAGCATAAATCTTATACTCTACTTTTGTGCATGTGTGTGTTATTATTTCTGTCTGGATAACAGTCAGCCCACATCATAAATAAATATCTTTTAGTTTGACTGTTTTTGAGAGAAAAAGCGGACGTGATAAGTACACAGCTGATCTTTGTTTAACACTTTCCCTCCACACGCAGAGGCATGTTAGGCCTTAACCAGGCAGGGAGGAAATATGTAGATATTTATAGGTCTTACTAGTGCCTGGTTAATGATGCATCTTCCTCTCTCAACTATTCAAAACCTTTAAGTCTTTCTTTTTTTTTTGTTTTTCCAGCGCTCTATTATTCTGCGGATAAAACGGAAGGAAGAAGCCCTCCGTTTTGTGCGGAGATTATCAGATGAAAAAGAGAGAAAACGTGAGGATTACTGTGGATGAAGAGGATTTTAATATTAATAGTTTTTTTTTTCTTTTCTCTCCCCTTCCCTCCCTCCTTCTCCTCCTCCCTCCTCCCCTCCTCCTCCTCCTCCTCTCTTCCTCCCCCCGATGAGACAGAAGGTAGATTGCCTCTGCTGCTTTCCTTTTGCCGATTCGGTGTGACAGGGATGATGGATGATCCAGCCGAGCTAAACAACTCCTCCCCTTCATCTCCTCCCTGTCAAAGCCAGTCCGGGCTGCTGCTGCACGAATAAAATAAGGAATATATTCCCCCTGCACTGCTGCACAATGCAGCCTGCTCCTCTGGAAGACACACACTCTCTCTCTGCGCGCGTGCAACAATATTAAAAGTCCACACACAGACACCCCCCCACACCCCCCAGTTGGAACACTATGTGCGCGCGTAACAGAGGCAACATGTTAATAAAGCTCGTGTTATTGGTTCTCTTCTATCCTCTGCAGAGCTTCTCTTAAGTGTGTATTCTTAGTCTCACATGTGAGTTTTCTGGCAGCAAAGCAGACACACACACACACACACACTGAAAAAAGTTCGTCCCTGCTTTGTTTTTCTTCCAAAATGCTGATTTGGATAGTGGTCATAAAAATGCACGCGCACGCAGGGGCTGAGTGTCCTTCGCTTTGCAGCTGTTTCTCCCCCCAAAAATGGCTCTGCACGCTCAGGGGGACACTTTTTAAGGTTTTGTGTGTCTGTCTGTGTGTGTGTGTGTGTGTGTGTGTGTGTGCTGCCCTCCTTAAAAAAAAACATTTCAGCAGTTTTCTCTCCTCTTGCCATAAGGTGTTTCTATGACGACGTTACGTAGGCCTGTGCGCGCGGGTCAGAGGCGGGGGTCCCTGGGAGAAAAGGGCCGCATTTGGCTGATCATTTATCAATGTCAACCGCATAATGATTCTCCCTGCAGTCCCCCTATTGATGAGGATAATTACATTAGCTCAGAGTGACTGATCAATAAAGCCCAGGGAAAATGGTTTATTATAGCAGCACCGAAAAGCCTTTCTTTAACCGAGGACTGGCTGCTGCTGCTGCTGCTGCTTTTTGACTTCTTTTTTCTTCCTCTTCTTCTTTGATTAAAGAGTTGCAACCAAAAACTCCGGAAAGATAACCAAATGGGGGCTAAACTTCATCCTAGCACAGATGAAAATGCTGTGATTTTGCTTATATTCGTGCTTTTTTTAAATTCTAAAAACCACTTTTGTTGTTCTAACTTTAAATATGTTTATTTTATTCAAGAAAATGAAAACCAAAAACACACTTTGGATTATGGTTCACCTTTTTGGGAATGAAAAAAGACATCAACACCAGAAAAAAAATGCACATGGGATCACATGGCCCACATTTTTTATTTTAATGTAAAACAGAAAGGCACAAAAAGTCAATCCAGATGCAGTGATTTTTAAAATTATTTTATCTATTTTTTCCAAAATGCCTCCATATATTCTGCACAGGCCTTTATTGCAACATCTAAATCTATTCCAAAAAAATTACTCAGGCCTCATAAGAAAAAACCTTCAAAATAAGAGTCTTATTGTCCGAGTCAAGCTGCAAAAATAACCTAAAATAAAAAATAAAAAAAAGAAATTAAAAAAGAAAGAAAGACACAGAGACAGAGAGCCATCCGGTAAAACTCTCCCTGACCTCTTTCTCACTCTCTCCCTCTCTCTTTCCACGCGTGTGTGTGCGTGTATGTGTGTGTGTGTGTGTGTTCTTTAATTGTCAACAACTTCTCCCCTGCAGGAATGGTGCAAACTCTTTCGCCTTCATCCTCCGTGGTGCTCCGCGCCAGCTCCCATTTAGCGCTGATGAACGTGTCTGCAGGAGACAGCTCCATTATCTATTTATCATTTCTGATAGTATTTTCTCAGACAATGGAGGAAGAAACGCGCCCACGGACGGTCCCACTCTCTTAACTGCCCTTTTACACGCGCGCACTTCCTCATGTATTCGATGACATTTTAGGATTTAATCTAAAAGTACGGCTTTTACGCACTGGATTATTATGCAAATACGCACATGCAGGGTTTAGATTTCATATATTTTTTTAATTTCCAAAAATAGAGTGATTAAAAAACAAAAAATAAAAATAAAATAATGCTTCTGAGAACTTTTTTCATGATTGAATGTAACTAGATGGGTGATATTCAAACCTTTTTTGCGCATGGCCGCGACCACTTGAATTAGAGGCGATTTATTTTCACACTTCAGCGGTGCTTGTCTTCTTAAAAATGAGTGACAGTCACCCCTACACCCCTCCCTTCTTCCCTCCACCCCTCCTCCTCCTCCTTCACCAACACACACACACACACACACTCAGGCCGCAAAAAATAAATCTTAATGATGTGAGAATTATAATTAGTCAAATAACATAGCTATAGGGGCTTTGAATGAGCAGACAGTGGAAAGTGCAATGGCCAGTTGTGAAGAAGGAGAGGAGGGCATGTGAGTGCAGAATAAATAAAGCGCAATAAAAAGGGAAATAGCCGGAGTTTAGTCAAGCCTTGAGGTACTCAAACCTTTATTTCAATCAGTTAAGATTTAATTAGGAAAGCCTCAGGCCTGAGAGTCTCTCTTTTTTTCCTCATTATGGTGCTTCTCCAGCGCTGTTACAATGGCCCCAAGGTTGTCAACATTTGACCGGCTTTTCCGCTGAAATAATCACAGTTTATGGCTGGAGAAGCCATAAGAGTCGCAAATAAATCTGGCATTATTCCATTTATTCCATTATGAGGCGGCAGTCCGAGCAGTGAGCGGCGAAAACATCGATTACTTTAATTCATGGCTTGTTGTCCTGAGTTAATTTTCCCTTTTCTTTTATATTCTTAATTTTATTTTTAATTTCTTTCGGTTATTTTAAGATTTTTCCAAAAAAAAAAAGAAGGTTAGAAATATCTTGCGGGTAGCCGAGGGCAGCAAAGTGAGACATTTCACAAGAACTGTAAATAACAGAGGAGGGCAGAGAGAGAGAGAGAGAGAGAGAGAGTGTGAGAGAGAGTGAGAGTATTCTTAAATATGTAATTTCTCCGGGTTATTGATTAATGTGCACATTTCAATAAGACCTCAGTGCACCTTTCAAATCAATTAATTATTTACTCAAACATTATGGATGTTCATTGTGTTTTTGTGAAGAAAGAGAGAAGAGAGGGAGAGAGAGAGAGAGAGCTGGAGACCCCCTCCCCACCACACCCTTGGGCGCACTGTTATTACAAGATGGCGACCCCTTCTGGAGGCCAAAGTAAATGTGTTTACAGAAGAAGAAGAAAAGTAAGACGAAGAAGAGGATGCGCTTACTCTTTTGGGATTTTTATCGTCCCAAAAAATCCTGCAAAAATCTTAGTGGTAGTTTTATCCCTCCTGTAGTAGAAGAGGCTGACCTGCAGCAGTAAATGTGACCTCCAAAGACTCTCATCTCATATTTACTCACAGGTATAAAGCTCCTTATGCATGTATTAGGCGGCCACGTTGATGGTAAAATCAATAAAGATGGATTGTAGGGTCAATATTATGCTTCGCACCTGGGGACTTGTTGCCCGGCTCCTTCTGTGACAGAGAGAGAGAGAGAGAGAGAGAGAGAGAGAGAGAGAGAGAGAGATTCATAATGAGAGACCGCAGCAATATCTCTGCAAGAGCACGAGACATGGTGTGTGTTTAAAGGGGGGAAGAGAGAGAGAGAGAGAGAGAGAGAGAGAGAGAGAGTTGAGGGGCTTAAAAGACCCAGAGTACACTGACATCATTAATCATGGCCCACTTGAAGATTAAGACTGAAAGTATAGAATCGGTAACCATTATCGTCTCGGATGGCAGTTAAAACCTCTCCTTATTTTTCAAAACAGTGTAATGGCACAGAGGTCCACGTAGAGAGAAAGAAAGAAAGAAAGACAGAGGAGGAGGAGGGGGAGAAAAGACGAGGAGAGGAAGACCGGTGTCACTGGGATGGAGTTACAAAGGAGGAAATATCAAGGAGAAACAGAGGTGGTCCACTTCATTACGTGGCCTGGACTGATTTAATAAGAGCTGGAAGAACAAGATTAAGGCCATAAAAGGGGCAACAAACAACAACTAATGCTCGTTTAACTATACTAATCACACAGTATTATAATAATAATAATAACAATAATAAGGAAGTAGTAAAAGGCTTAATACAGTTTGTGTATCATGCGATTTGTGGAATTTAAGTAAAAATTGATCAGTATCCTTTTAACGTATTTCTTTAATATTTAAACGTCATAAAACAATAAACAAAAATAAAAATAGCAATGCAATTAAATGCAAAAATTTCTCACTGTCAAGTTAGCTTAATTCAGAAGAAAATACACGTTTTTCTTTGTGTTTAAAATTGGAAAATGTTTTATTAATATTTGGGAATAATTTAGATGTGAACAGGTAGGTAGACCTACCAACTGAGCTAGCATTAGCTTACCCATTCAACCTAAATCTATCCATTCAAGGCCTAAATATTTTCTCAATTCATTTATTTTCTTTTCCCCCTCAAAGCAAATTTTTATTTAGGAATTTATATCCTAAGAAGTTTAAAAAAATGAAGGAATAACACACTGAAAGTAATGATAAAAAAGTAGCCTAATTATTAAAGTTCATTTTCTTCAGGCGCTGGTTAGACAGACCTGCTCCACACTGCGTTAGCCAATTTTCCTCGACGTTTCCCGGTCTTTTTAATGCGCAATACCCGATAACTTGTACCGTGAAGACACCTGAAGAGTTTAAGTTTACCCCTGCCCCCTTAAATTCATCATGTGAGCGCTTCAAACTGGATGTTTCTCCTTTTTTATGAGTGTTTTTTCCCCCCTCCAGTACACACAGTACTACTCTGTGAGGGAGGAACAGAGAGTTAGCATGCTCCCTGTTAGCAGTCGGAAGCTGCAGTGATGAAAAGCAATAGCTGGTGTCAAGCACTTTTTTAGCACATCACTACAGCTGGTGGGAATAAATAGTAGCCAACTGGAGAGGAGGGGGGAGGAGGAAGGAGGAGGAGGGAGACTGTGACATAAGGCTATTTGGGTGTGTGACCACAGGGAACCTGGCTTTTTCATATCTCCCCTACACAATAAAAGCCCTGTTGTGGGGGGCTGTCTCACAAGTCCAACTTTGTTTCTCAACAAGGAGTGTAAACTGTTGTCAATATTCTGATAGCCTTCATCTGCCAATAATGACAGGCAGCCGGCTTCCTATCTTATCTGCGGGCCAGGTAGCGCCGCACCTGGGGGGAATAACTGCTGCGATAAAGAGCGTCTGGGCCAATAGAAAGGCTCTTCTCTGTCTGCGAGGAGTTAATAGAGAACGCCACTGGAGACAGGAAGTCCTCAGAAAGTGAAAAGCACTTTATTGTGCACCTGAATGGCCTGGCGTAGGATTTCTCTCAAACCCAATGGGAAAACCACATTACAGGTCCTTATACAGGGTCATTACAACAGGGCAATGGAGTTCAAGTGATCCATTGCATTTGAATGACAACATCACATCGCTCCATTCAGTCTTCCTTCTTGTGTGACCTGACGATGATCCCTGTGGGACTTCATTTGCTGTCAGCGGAGTGATGTGCTGAAGTTACAGTTGAGAAAAAGCAAGATTCGGCTCATTCAAGTTTGCATAAAAATTCACAGCAGCACAAGTGTTGCCTCATCTGCTTTTCACCTACTCTGACTCAAGACAGTTGTGGGGGCTGTTGCTTTCTTTGCAACAGGTTCGGGCACCCATTACCCACAGTACACCACAACATGACATCATCAAGCCTCTAAAAATGAACTGCAACATCGATCCCTTGCAGGCTGACCTCCCATAAGTCAAATATAGACGATGTGGGACATGTGTTTGGATGGAAGTGTATATTTACCTGTCACCAGGAACTCAAGGACATGGCAGCAGCGGGGTTTTTATCCAGCCCAGGAGTGGAGTGTTTTGGGGTGAAAATGAGTTGTAAAAGTGATAAATGGGCCACAATTTTCAAGCTGAGGAGCACTGGAGCTGGCACGGTGCTAACAGCCCAACATTTAATTGCTCGGGACAGAAAATACACTGCACAGAATTTAAAAGAGAAAAAGGAAAAGAAAAGGTTAGCTCAGTCTTCATCTTCATCTCGGCTTATTTCCTTCTATAGCTGAATGGCTACTTCACAAAAATATTAGGTTACCCATGGCAACAATTCAATAAAATAACCAATCACATCTGCCCTTTCACATATTTCCAAAATTAAGGAGAGTCCACACATAATGGAGGACTTGTCTCATCTGTGCGTTATGGTCTCAAGCCAGGATTTATTGTGTGCGAATTCGCATGGCGTGTTTTGACAAATACAAGGCTACTTCTTGAAAGAGCCAGCTGAGTTTTTCATGCTGTTTCTGCTGTTATCAACCGGATTAGTGGATCTGATCATGCCCTGGATTCAAGCTTTTGCTCCAAGCACCCATCAAAACCTCATGCATCCTATAATAGCTACTCTTGTCTCCATGGACACCGCCATCCTGTGTACAGTAGCCCCACCTCCTTCTGAGTGCACTTATTTCATAACAAGCTTGTGACAGCCCTCGTCAGGAAATCACGCTCACAAATAGAGGACAGGAAAAAGACTGTGCCAGGGTTTGTTTTGGCTGACTTAAATTTTGTCTCCAGACTCTTGCAGCTAACCTTTTTCCCTCCACAGTCATATTTTCCACCAATCTTTCTGAATGTCACTGGTTCTGCCTCTTCCTGCTCTACCCTGCTGTTCTCCTCTGCTGGCCTGTACCTGTACCCGTGTGTGTGGACACAACCAGGCCTTCCTTCAGACCCCTGCTGAGAACAGGACTTGACACACTTTCTGGGTCACTTCTGTCACGGTCCAAATGCCACTCAGGGGGGGCTGACCTTTCCAGTGGCCGACGCTGAAGCAGGCGGCCTCCATGCCGGCTGTCACCCCTGTGGTTCCAACCACAAACACACACTCCCCAGAGCTTTTTTTTCTGCTTCTTCTGCAGGATTCGCCTCCTCCGTTTTCATCCCTGACAATACATGTTAAAACAAAGATGGTGAATTCAGAGCTGATGAAAACAGTCACTGTAAAAATCGGTTGATGTATTACATCTTGGCGAAAGTCAAGAGATGACCAGAGACATGATGGATCAGGTCTCACTGGAAGGAACTCAAAATATGCTTCCTGGATTTATTTGAAGGTATGGGTTACACAAATGAGAGCCTGAATCTAAATGTAATACCGCAATTAACAAGACGCCCAGTCAACACCTTTCTCTTTAGCGAGGTTCGCAATCTGAGGTATTTCCACCTCCGCTGTCAAGCACGGTCTTAACTTGTGACATTGTGTTGATAATATCAAATACTCTTGCAATGTATTTTATTGGAGTATATTTTAACTCATCAAAACCTACTGTATCATATTATCACATGACAAACATGGAAAAGTTGGTGTTTTATTGGAGTGTGTTTAGAGCTCAGATTTTTAGTTCAGCCACGTTCCTTCTTGTCCCCGACTACCAGTGACTCAGACATCGCTAAACTCTCTAAATTAGCCCCCGCATCTTCCCCCGCCCCTCTGAGTGGGTTAATGTGTCATAGTTGTTCAGTTTCCCTCAAACATACCATCTGCCCTCCATCTTGTCAATCAAACATCCACTGCGTTGCCATTTAAAATCCCCCAGACCGTTTTTCTCATGCTCCATTGTTGTTTTTAAATCACAGCCTCTGATTAGCAGGCAGCGCTTCCTAAAAATAAAATCTCTTCCTATCTGCCTCAGCTCAGGGCAGCGAGGCTGCTTTTTTTCCCAGTGCTGTTATTCAAGCCCTCTAAAAAATCCTTTTTTAATTTCAAACTGGCTGCTCTCGACTCTTCCAGGAGAACTTTTATTTATTTCCACCCTGTGATGTCTTGCTGGCTGAGGGAGGCTGAGAGGATCTCTACTAAAAGCACTACACAGCCCGAGGCAGAAACAGGCTGGAGCTCTCTTCACATAAATAAAGCAGGAGCGTGGAGGGAGTCCGTTTGGTGGTCTGCTGGAGGAATAGAACCAAGCCTTCACTCTGTCTCTGGTTCTGTCCTTCGTTTCTCGTTCTCTGCGTCTCAGTGGTCTATCGAGCAGCTTGACTGAAGAGACATAAAACAGCAGGATGTGGAAAAGATTGGGCCAAGATGTACATCTGAGTGGATAGTGGACTTCCAACAGCCTGCGGGCCCCGGCCAAACAGAGCGGGCGCTGTGAACTGCATCAAACTAATCTGACACATGGGAGACACAGATTTAAGAAATGTAACAAATATTGAAATACTGGAAAAAAATGGAACAAAATCTGCTTCTGCGTGGAGTTCTTGGCAGACAAAAATATATCAGGCACATGCTTTTGATTTGCTCTCCTTCAAACAAAATCAATAAACTATACGCTTCATTTAGTACTGTTGTTTAATATGATAAACCCTTGAATGAGGAACTACTTAAAGTCAAGTTTTGTTCTTACTGGATGCCTCTTGAGGATCAGATTACTCAGAACACTGGTGTCCTGGCCCCAGGAAATGACCCCTCCAAACTGGCCTTATTTGGAGAGCACTAGACTGCCCCATTGTTGTGACAAGAACAATGAATCTAAAAAGAGGTGGGAGACAAGGGCAAGGAAAACACCAAATAGAGATGTCTGGCTCTTAAAAATCATCATAGAAAGTTTTTTTCTTTTTTTTTGCGCTCACATCATGGAAATAATATCAGCTGACGCCAAAGTTCGCGCCTGCCTTTGAAGTCGATTTAAAAAAAGCTGTATTTAGTTTGCATTGTGTGCAGAACTTAATTTATAGGAGTTGACCCTGGCTCCTCTTTTGTGCAACAGCCATCTTGGAAAACAATGGCAGGAAGGCTTGAAAACTTGAGAGGAACTGAATCTGCTGTTTCCCATTTTTTCTGTTCTTATTCGACCGAGAATTTTCCCTCCCCGAGTAAAATAGCTGTTTTTGTGTGCAACAGGAGCCATAAACTGATGTCGAAGCATTCCACGGCCAGGCAATAGGGCCGAGTTTAACTGGACACATGGGGACAGTTGTTTTGTACCACATGGAGCAAAGGGGGGTCAACAGAGGAAGCCATGGCCGCCTGGCGACCTCGCAGTGACCCACTGGCCTCCTCATGGAGGGATCAAGGCCTAGATGGGAGCCGGCTGAGGGTTAGAGGTTTAAGGGTAACAAATCATGCAACACTTTAGTGGTATTTAACCCCCACATACCATATCTCTCTAACTGTGAGAGCAGAGCATAACTGTGCAGGACAAACATAGAAAAATGTATTTTTAGGCTCTCTTTAGAAACAGAACTGAAGCAGGTTAAAAACTCGGTGATGGCAGGAAACAAATTCTCATCCTGGCTTTAAAATCACAACGGAAAGAGAAAGTAAACGTATGAAATGATTCCAGTCTTGTCATAATAAGATGCTCTCTCAAAAGTTACAGCAGGTTCTTCACACTTTCACTTTTTCCTCTTATCAGTTTTTTTTTCTTTTTTGTGTGTGCCGTAAAGAGAAGAACACGACAGGGACCCCCTATGGGCAGTGCATATCTGCCTCTAAAAGCATCACTCAACTTTATGTTCTCTTCTGGTTCTCCCAGCCAGGCTGTGTTTCTTCCACCGGTGTCTGCTCATAAAAAAAAACTCAAGTTGTAAAGATGTGCAACAGACAACCGCTGGATGGTCACACAAACCTTATCATGGAAATCAGGTGTATCTTACATACCTCTAGGCACTTACATTGCTTAAGGAAGTATCATGGAGCACGTTAGGGTTTTACTGGGATTTTCACGACAGGAACAAATTCAAAAATCGAACCTTATTTTTAAAAATAAATAACACATAAATCACACTATTTAATTAGCATGTTCCTTTAAACTACCGCTACACAAACTATGGAGTAAAGAGATGTTTATGGATGTGGCTCACCAATACTTAGATTATTATAATTACTGTAAATTATTTGCTTTTATCTAGGAAATTGTGACAATTGTTATCAAAGTTATCAACCAGTAAGTGAAATGCATACACAAAATTATATTCACAAAACCAACTGCAACAAAAAAGTGTATCATAAAGCTTAAAATATGAGTATTATTAACATGACCTGTATTTTAAAACATGCAAACAAGCTGTGGAAAGAAAGTCGAACCACCTGTTGAGTAGTTTGATTATAATCATAGTTGTGCTGTAGGAAAAGCTAAACCCAAACTTGATTTATTCATAGTTACTGACATTTAATTTCATTGAGATAACTATCCGAAAGAAGCAGACGAAAAGTGTTGTTTTTGTAAGTAAATTCAGTTACACCCTCAGTTTATAACTGTGAAAAAGGTCAGACAGAGAGCAGCTCTAATCAGGAACGATTCTGTTTCCCCCCTGCGGAGCAAATGAGAGGGCACTGAGTGACGCAGGTGAGAGTCAGCCGTCCACTCAGCCCGCGGACCGCACCTCTCTTATCTGCCGACGGAGCAGAGGAGGAAGGGGTGACAAAGGCCAGGGCTTCGGCGGTGATAAGGAAGGCCCAAATGTCCTGCTTTGGCCCCGGCTCTCACCCTGGCTGTCCGCTGCAAGGGGCCATACAGGGGCCAGGAGCTGACCACAAGCAAGGAAGCCTGCAGGAGTTTTTTTTTTTTTTTTGCACGCAGGTATGAATCTGACCCTGTGCTGTCAGATTTACAGAATTCTGGTGTGTATTTACATGTGGTAGCTTTGAGGCAGTGAAAAGAAAGAGAGGGAGGAAGAACAGACAGAGACACAAGGTCAGGTGGAGTTCAGGGCAGATTTTTGCCAGGAGTCTCACTCTGCAGGAAAGCCAAATTGCTTCCGGATCTCGGTATCCACCCTTGTTCTTACCCTTCCCCGCCTCCTTGCCTTCCTCTCTCTTTCCTGCCATGCTTCCATGCTTAGCTTTTTTTTTTGTCTTTTCGCACTCTTTTGTCTTTACTCTGGCTCCTGTGGCAATGGGTCCTGCGGGGCGGCGTGGCACAGGGTGACAATGTCTGTAGGGAAGCAGTCTTTAAGTAGAATACCTCTGTCTCTCTGGCAGTCCAGCTCCTCTATAAAACCATACCAGTAGATCACCAGGCCAGGTCCAAACCTGAAAGGAAAACAAAGTCCAGCTTTTGTTAGACCATTATTGCTGTCACATTAAGTAGCTATGAATGAGCTATGTTGTTGCTTTTGAAATTCATATCTGCAAAAAGCCTACAGCTGTTGTCTTTGGATTTAAAAAGCATACTGAGAAGCAGGAATAAGTAAGAGAAGAGCCAGAAATATAGGACAGTATTGTGATTGATCTATGAGAGATAAGGTCGCTGAGGTATTTTCCTTTGATCACCATCCAAGAAACATGTGAAGAATCAAACAAAAAAAGCCGCCAAGAAGATTAAGATCTGCCTGACAGGGTGATACACACTCGATCACATTACAATGGCAGCTAAACAACAATAACCTGTGAAATAACAAAGCCCTAAACTAAACCAAGGCACTGGCATCCTGTCATTGGTCGCCTTTGGCACATCACATGTAGAGTTCAACACAAAGTCTAAGGCTAAACACGCCGCATCTGGTGGATAATGTTAGCCAATCCTGCAGAGTCCAGCTGTTTCTTTTGCTTTGAAAGCCAAAGAAACTTTGACTCAGTTGGCAGACACTTCAGCTCCTAAAATCTATAAATAATTGAGTGCCAAGAATGTCTGTTATTCAGTTTATGCTATTTTTAAAAAGAGATTTTTCTTGGGTCGGTCTTTTTGTTCTCTCTCCCTCTGCTCATTTCTCTGCTATTGTGTTTTATAGACACTGTAGCTACTGTACACCTCAAGGTCTGCTGAAAGGTGCAGAAACAATTAAAAAAGGACTTCTTCACAGGGGATATGCAAGGCTCTTTTTTTTCTTTACTTCTACTCCTCACAAAGGCAATAAATCATCTTTCCAGCTATTTATTATGCCCCAAAGAGCCACCGGTGGCCCCTCTCTGCCTCATATAGATCATACCTATTCTTTGAACATTAGCTGCCATGCATAAAGACTTGTCACAGTTGAACTCTGAATGAAAAGCACCAAAGCCCCCACATGCAAGACCAGAATCAGAGGGGTTTGAAGGTGCTCAGGTCCCAGACACTCTATATCCTCAGACAGTTAACAATGTTGTGGGGGCCTCTAGGGACCACAGGCAGGAAGCTAACAGAAAGGGCCACGGAAGGCTACAGAAGTTCAGCGCCAAGGTAAAGTCCATATAACTTTGAACCTGTGATCAGTCAATTCGTATTAAAATACCGACTCAAACAGACTAAGGTGTTATTTTAATTATAATTATGGGAATCTTTAGTCTTTTTTATGAGCGTAATTTATGACCTTATACCTAGATTGATGACCTTACAAGTTTGACAAGGTATTTTAACCTCATAAATTACAAGGAGCAAGAATCAGTTGTCGTGACATAGCCGGCTATATGTGTCTACTGTGCTGTGTTGACTAGGCCTTGAGGCGGTGCATGTTCTACATAGAGAACCTGTATGGAGACAGACACATGCACAGAATAATGTGTGACTCTACACGCACTCACTCCCCTCGAGAGGCCCTCGCAGCAGTACAAGCTTCTGCACCTCATCCGCGCATTCTGCGTTTTACAGTGTGTGATTTACGGTGCTGTATCTGTGAGCAAACAGGCCAAAGCTAACAGCCCTGGAGAGAGCGCGCAGATGCACACCGAAAGTTCACCACAAAGTCACACACGAAGCTCAGTCTTCTCCGCCGCTCAAGCCCACAAAGTCTCATCCTTTCCACGGTCCAGCGCTGCACACAGCCGCCAACTCTTAATATGGAAATGTTATGGAAACAAAACCTAAACATTTACATTAGACGACTTTGGAAAAGGGGTTACGCTCTTCTTTTATTCAGCCGCAGAGCTGTATGTATTTCCCTGCAGTGGACGGGGCTGAAAAGAGAAGGAAAAACAGGAGACTAGTCTGTGCAGAGAGGAGAGAGGCAACCTTCTGAAAAAGGTTAAAACTGTACATCAACAGATAAGGCGGCGGCGCACAATACATCATGTCTCGGGTCTGTCAGGGGAGGCCGAGCACAAATTGAAACAAGCAAAATTATAAACACAGGGGAGCCATGTCACCAAGGCCTTTCCATACCGTAAAGAAAATAAATGGACTTGGAATCCTACTCAGAATTAATACAAGTCAATAGTACAGGGACCTTGAGGTAAAAATCTGAGACTTGGAACAATAACACTGAAGGGGGACTGAGCGGTCAGGGGGCCAAGACTGAGCCTGATGGCTACAGTATGAGACTCTAAAGAAAAAGCTTCAAGCTAAAATATACAGTATGTGACCCCTTATATCCCACTATACAGTCCCTCTGAAGTTTGTGTGTTTAAAAACCCGAGGAAGTGAATGGAAGTTCACATTTGTAAGGGAAAATTATGGTTTATTATGTGGGCTGGTGCATCTTAACCTAGCGTGTGTGCCTATTACACACATCACCTCGCCGAGTCGGAGTCAGCCATCTTCCAATAAACACCTAACAACGTAACGAGTCGGGGAAATTGTTTGTGAAATGTAGCTAATTTCAGCGCGGAGGCCACTTGACGAGCCTGGGCGTGGATTGCGGCTGCCAGCCACGCTTTGGTTAGCGTTAATGAGCAGTTGGTGGTCTCGTTTTAAAGCAGGTGCCAAGCAGCTCGCAACAGCAGCTTAATGAGAGCAAGGCACTCAGGAACACTCAACAACAACAAAAAAAAAAACCTCGAATAGAGAAAAGGGTGTGTTATTCGTGTCTGCCTGCACACACATATGCACACACACTTAGAGTCATGCAGCTGAGTGAAGCATTTGCATCCTACATTTACAGTTTATACACCAAAAGTGACGTACGAGGCTGCGAAAGCTAATAAAAATCCAATAAGTGCAGCCCTCGATGAATGCGCAAGTTTGCTTCCTGCTTTTTTATTTATGTCTTTCTCATTTGTTGAGAAGTCTGAGGTTGCTGAAGGTCAGACAGTCCCCCTCCTCCCACCACACATAGACAAAAGAAGTCAGCATTTTACCTTTGCAGCCAACACACACATCATGGCTAATTTAATCTGCCACATTTGGTGAGAAAAAAGCTTTAGGAAAACTGGGGGCCGAGCACTTCTGCCAAAACACATTACACTGCTTGATGAATTATCAATAAAATCAGGACAAATTTACGCTCCAGTTTAAAACACCGTCACTTCATTTTACATACTGATGCTGGCGCGCTTTAAACAAACGCCCCAGCAATGATTTAGACAGCATAAGCCTCTACCTGAGGGTGAACTCTGTGTCTCTGAGGTCCCCCTACAAAGACCCCTTTGTTTCCAGCATCCATACATCAGGTCACAAGGTAGGAACACTAAAGCTCTGCCAACATTAGCTTCAGTCAGTCTTCTCTCTGCTCCCTGAAACGCAGGTATGGAACCTGCTCAACTTCTTTTTTGACAGAAAGTATCCAGAGTGATCGGGGTGAGGGGTAAAGTGGAATAAAAGTCTCCATGTTAGACAGTAGAAGTATTCTTTTTGCAAAAACAGCAGCAACTGTGGCGAGTGCTCTTAGAAACCAAAATAAAAGTGCAAAAGGTTTTTATAAAAAAAGCTAGACCTATCAGTCAGCTCATATGCATTTTTTGCTAACAGGTGGGTCTGGAGCTGCTGTTGTTTTTAACAAATTTCTTTACAGACGTTTTACAGACTGGCAGTGCTGTCGCTGCAGGTCTGTAAAATCCATTACTGCAGCTGTTTTAAATGAACTGGACGATGTGTTTTTAATAAAACAACACTCAGAGCGTTCTGTAGTAAGAAAGTTGTGTTTGCTGTACTGCAGAATTACTGCTACGTCTGTACTGCTACGTCACACGCTGTTTTGTTCTAATGTTTGTCTTATTGCTTCTAGTCTACATGCTACAGTACGGACCCACTGGGTGCAGCAAAGACTATTTAAGATGTCTGGCTGCTTTGCTTATTGTCTCCAATTATGAAGTCTTTTCAACTAAACCAAGACTCAACAATGCTTTTGCTCTTTAGGCTCAAAATCCCAAAGATTTCACACACAACTACACAACGTACAATTGCCACATTTATACTGACCTATGATTTATTTAGGCTGCTGTGCCGATATGAAACTTTAAAAAAAGAACTAAAGGATTAAAATGTAACTGCAAGAAGCTTTTTGGGGGGGATTACAGCTGTCACACACACCAGAAACAGAGCTCCAAGGAGATTGAATGTTTAAGACCCAACCTCTGATTGGTCAACAGACCCAACAAAGAACAACAAAGACTTTCCAACATGACAAAAATAATAAATAAATGATAAAAGAAGACATTGAGCACAGACTATATCATAAGGGATTATAGCTAACAAGGGCTGGATTAAAGACTAAAAAGATGAATTAGAAGCACAATCTCATGGGATTTGTTAAAATGGTGCAGCTTTTATCAAACATCCAAAAGTAGTGTCGCGAGCCAAGTGACACACAAATAGTTTATCTTAATGGTAGCTAATCTTTCTGTTCATACACAAAGAGTTTAACAGTCACAAGTTATGAGCACGACTTGAGCTAAAAATAGAAGAGCTTCTTTTCCCTCCCCACCTTTTACTTGCCTGGTACGATAAAGTTTGATACTGCTCAGGTATGTAAAACACAAATACAAGGTAGGTGCAGCATCATAATTAAGGTGGAATAGAGGGCGATAAAAATCAAACAACGTCTTCCGGCTGGTGTAATTCTCCCGGACGTTTTTATGTTTTCTGTCACTGAGGAATGGAAAGAGAGCGTGGCAGGGATGCAGTTTGTCTTTGTATCTGTTGGAGGCACAGAGATTGTTTTGTGTGTTTGTATGCTCGTGTTGTGTAGTGTACGGTTTAACATAGAGGTGTGGAGGTGTAATGTGTGAGTATGAAGGGTGTGGGAGGTCAGGTCGAGTCAGTGTGTTGTGGGCCGCTTGTTGCACTAGAAGCTAATTTGCGCTCACTGATATGAGATAACAGATACCAGAACGGAGACTAAAGGATCCCACTGCTTTATCTGGTAACCATAGCAACTATGGTAACCTCCATGGCAGGACAAGCCCTCAGCTCTCCGACCCGCCAGAGAAAAAAGAGCCAATGCTCAGAAGAGCTAAAGAACACTATAAAACAAACACAAACATAGCACCTGAAATATTAGCATATAGATCAATCACAATTTCATTATTCTCACAATGAGTGTTTACAATTAACACACTGCAAATTAATTTTACTCGACAAGAAAGGATAATTATTTTACAATGACAATCAACGCTATCACTCAGTGTATATAGATGTTAGTAATTGAAAGAAGGCCTTAGTAGAGTCGTGCTTTCACAGTTTCAATGGAGCTCAATGGAGCTCAAGTCAGCCATCAGCCACACATGTGATTACTTGATGCTAATTCAGAGTTACAAAAATGCTTTTTTCATTACTTATGGACAAAAATCAGAGGGATAAAATACACTTTCATATTTGTTTATCACACTGCATACTGTTTCTGCTATATTGACTAATGTAGCTTATTTATCTTTTATCATACAGGCCTACAGTAGACGTATGGCAAAGGTATATTAAACATGGTAATTTGTAAAAAATATCAACCTGGAAAAAATGGCTGTTAATTCAAATGAATCATTGATTTGCTCTGTATATTTTGTATCTTTTTTTTGTATTTTATATGTAAGATTATTTTAAAGCTTTTGTTAGGAGTTTTTAGCTTGTCATGACTGAAATACAACATTCATCCATCAGTATAAACATCAAGTATTTCTGTTTAAGTATTTCTGTTTAAGTCTGAAACTGCTGCTGAGGGATAGGTGTCTCTATACATATAGAGTATACACAGAACTAAGTCAAAATAATAACCTGAGGTGATTGTTAACTTTTGGGAAAAAAAACAAAAAAATAAAAAATAAAAATTTAGAACATTTTTAAAAAAATTGTAATTTATGTTAAAATTGAACATGGTCAGTTTTATTCCCCTTTCACAAATGAACTCTATCTGATCTCATTCCTCCTCACAACCTCTGCCCACTTCTCACATTAACCCAGACTTATCACCTTACACACAGTCTGAGAAACTCCATACCCATCAACTAACAGATAACTTGGCCAACACCTGATTGAAGGAATGGGCACATGAACGAATAAGAACAGGGAGCCTCACTCTTTGATGGCTCAATGCAGAAGTTACAGAAACCAGCGCCTCACACTGCCATTTGGTTCTGGTTAGGATCTTTTTGTTCAATATCATGCTTCCCAAACATCCTCCAGCCAGAAAAAGGAGTTACAATCAGTGTTTTGAACATGTTAAGTCCCTTAACTGAGCATGTCACACACCAGATTAGCACCATGTATCTGAGGGAAAAGTGTACGTTTTGTGTGTTAGCCCCCTCTTAGATCTGTGGCGTCATGGTTCAACATGCTGTGACACGGACTGGTCTGTTTTGGATGTAGAGTGAAACCAAACAAGGTGTTGTCTGGCTTTGTCTGCTTTATGTTAAAGAGTTTGTACCAACAGGGTTGAGGATACTGCATGTGACAAGAAGGCAAATCAAGAACAACTCTGCGATGATAATTCATATTAAAGTCGGGCTGGCGTTATGGAACAGCTCAACTTTCAGATGAGAACTTTCTACACGCCATCCTTTCCTCGCAGGAAGAAAGACTCTTGAATGTGGTTGAGCGTGTTTCTAAGAAGGCTTTGTCTGGGCTGTTCTCTGGCCGTGCAGGGGTTAAAATTCAGACGGTCAGAGCTCACCTGATCTCCTCTCACATATCGACTCCCCATCCTCCATAATGACCCTCTACATCATGAAAATGGCCTGATCTCTTCAGTTATGACACACTGAGTGGGTATTCATTAACACTTGATGCGGATATTATTAAATTCTATTATGGCAATGGCTGCAAATGGTATCTCCTAGTCCTGTGAAAGTACTGCACTGAAAGCATGAGTAGGCAATAACCGTATGGGAGACTCCACCTGTGTGTAAATACGCTTTAAATACTCACACCGTCCAGGTTTGAAATGACCTTTATACAACCTGACGTTGGGATAAAAAATAAGTGAAGTAAAATGTCTTTGAGGGCTTTTCTGTTCTCAGATGAAGCTTATTAGTCTCTGAGGCCAGACACTGACCCAAGTGCTAATTTACAGACGTGTCCAGAGAGTCCCTCTGGCCTTTGATGAGTCCCCATGTCTATGAGATCTGCTTGGAGACAGGAAGCTCCCTGCAGTGGCAGGCGAGCAGGCTGGGGTCTGGGAGTCTGTGCAGATCGAGAGGACCACAGCGTCAGGGGGATACATGCTCCTTTAACCTGTTATTGTGAACTCCCAGCAGCCCTAGCCGATAATTGCCACTCGTCTCTGGGGAAACAGAGTCAAAGGGAGGCAGAGGGACAGCCATTTTGTGTCTGCCGCTACTCCTTGTCTCACGTCGCCCTGGTCCTCGTACTGCCCTTAACCCTGGCGGCTAATGTGTTTTCAATTTAGGATGATCCCCCCCGCTACAGGCGAGGCCCTAATCAACAACAGTTTGTACTGTAACCCTATCTGCCCCTGTGAGGGCAGCGTCAGCCTGACCGGGCGCCTGCAAACCTGGTGTGTCCAGCAGAGGAACGGTGTTATATGTGTGTGTATATATGCACGGATGATATCATGTTTATATGTGAGGTCATGGTACGTGAGCCTGCAACTTGAATATGCGTCTTCATCATCTTGTTTACGCTGCTGAAACAAATATGTGAACAAGGTATTACACTCACAAAATACACAACATGCTTGATAATTAGTAGATATACAAACAAAATTAAAAGTGTGTGAGTTTTGGAAGGGCTAACTTAAAAAAGAGAACAGAAAAAAACAAAAAAGTAGCTTCTAGAGGAAAATAACAAGACTGGTATCAATTGGTGAATTCTTTACATCTTTTATCCCACCAATTTTGCAACAAAACCTCTATATTCACTGGTATAAAAGCCAGAGATTTGTTGTCCTTGATTTCTCCATCAGGTTGAAGAACAAATCTTCAATCCTACTTCTATGGGGGCTGAATCCAAAGTAAGCCATGGAAAGGCAGGTGTGAATGTTTGTTGTCTCTGCTCTCCTGGCCTCTGCATCCACAAGTAGAACTCTGCCCCAAAATTAGAGTGTGGCCTCTAATGTCTCCCTGGGAGAAAAAGAGGCCTGGCTTTCGTCCAAGTCAGCACCTTTGGAAGTGCAGTCGTGTTACCACCACTAAATCAACATGTCAGCGCCCGGCACAGTGAACTTCTTCACCCAGACTCCACCGCTTACAGCTACCCCACACACCTAATGAATTGGTGTGAATGCCCATCTGTCTGCTACAATGAAAAGGGGAAAGGAGATACAGGGTTGAAGGAGGGACAATTCTTTTTTCAGCTGTTGCATTAAAACATTTTCAACCAGCTAATCTGAATACCATAGCTAGACACAGAACCATTTGATTCGCTCTGTTACATGAACGGAAAACCACTCAAGCCAGGTTAAGGTGTTCTCACCAGCAACCTTGGCCTCCGAGTCAAAATTGGAACTGTCCGTCTTTTTAGGGGGGTGAGTTTTAGAGATGGACTCAGGCAAAAAGGCCACAGAAAGCCGTGTGCTTACTCGGCAGTCTGTTTACATTCCTCAGGGTAATTTTAGCCCTGGATGGGGGGCAGAGCAGGGGGGCCCTACATGTCGTTGGGGCTTGTCAGTGGTGGACAGGCCAGCCGGCGCAGTGGCGGCACCTGGACATGTGGGTGGTACATAAAAACACATGCATGGACCTCCAGCACTCAAATCCCTGGAACTGCTATCTGTGTTTTTGCTAATCAGCTTTAGTTGGTGGTCGTATAAAAGAATCCAAAGTGTCTTTAAAATCAGATCAAAAGCAACAGAAAACCTGTGATCACAGGAGTGAGGTCGTAGTCTCACTAACAGGCCTACCACTGAGAGGCATTAGCTTTGGACAACACAGGATATCCCAAGTGTTTTCACTGATGATCTGGGGTGCAAATCTAATTTCATTGTAGTTTTTAAAAATTTGCTAAGCAAACAAAACAATAATCCGAGCTCAAGAATCGCCAAAGGGCTCCTGTGCGTGTGTTGGGATTTGTCTTTTTATTACTCCCAGCCCAGAGTGTCCCTTCAAAGGGCAAGAAAGCAAAATGTCCATGTGTGTTTTGCTGTGCCGTGTGTGTGTTAGCACACGTGTAAGAGAGAGGAGAGAGGGATAGAGGATCGAGAAGGGAGGGAGAGAGGGAGACTCCAAGCTTATCGAAACTAATTAGGCGAGGGATCAGGATGGAAGTTAAATACTGGGCTACATGTAATGAAAGAAGCAGAGTGGGGGACATCTAGGGGTCAGACCCACACCAAACAGTGGTCCTCAGGCAATCTGGTATTGATTTTCACTCGTTTGGGGATGAAGGTGGAGGGGTGGGCGGGGGAGAAGGAGAGGCAGTAGTGCAGACTCTAAGGGTCTTGTGAGTTGTCAACTTGACAGTTTAACCCCTTTTGGAGGAGAACAAACAAACAGAGGGATCTCCTGGGCTGACAGCGTTGATCTGTCACGGTGATGACACTGCAAAGCCCCACACAATGCCCACACAGGAGAGGAGAGTGGGTAGGAAGAGGAGGGAGGCCGATACAGATATGCAGAGGCACATTCCTTAAGCCTAAGAAGATAGGAGTGGGCTCTGTTTAAGATCAGGTAAGTCTGATCTATGAATACCTGCGACCTCAAAAAAAGAGAGAGTAATCTGACTTCCTCTCTATGGTCTGGAGTTATTCTGCTGGTATTGTGTATCAGAGCCTTTCGTCTACCGATACAAGTACCAACACCAGAGTTGTTCTGGTACTGGTACTGCCAGTGGTATCAGAGGTGTTCTAATACAGATACCAGACTCGACAACTGAGGTGTCTCAATATCACTATCTGTACTGATACAAGAGGTGTTCTGATACCAATATTGGTGACTGATACCAAAGTCGTTCCAATACTGATACAGGCATCTATATTAGATTTATTCTAATGCCAATGTTGGTCCCAATACTAGCGTTTTCTGATGTTAGCATTGATACCGATACCAGAGTTGTTCTGATACTGATACAAGAACTCTAACTTCAGTTCTCCTGATGCAAATATCGGTATTAATATTGGGTCGTTTTGACACCTTTATGGGTATCAACCAGAATTGATACCAGTTTCAGTGTCTTGAATGAGTTTTTGGTTATCAGTTGGTGTTGGTTGGTTATGAATTTAAATAATGACAGCAGCGTGCTAGCAGAAACAGATAAGTTTGAATGGTTACACCAATCATCTGCGGCACATTTCGATATTTCCCCAAAGTGAGAAAGTTTTGGTCGCCTTTGATAATGCAGTGTAGCTGACTCTTTGCGCAGACACACAGATGTCAGCACTCCCCTCTTGTCACTCAATCTGCGGAGACGGTCGCCACCCCCCCTGAGCACCTTTCCTCTCATGTCCTTAAACACTTGAAGACCCCCTTTTCACTTTTCCCCTCAGACTGCCTCATCGCTTTGTTACATCGCCAAAGGGGACTCCATTAGCCTGGCCATGCACAGAGCCCCTCCAGCTCTCACTTAAACTTCACACATACACATAGACACACATGGCGGGGGGAAGGCTGATCCGTGCCGCTAAGGCTGTCCACATCAAATTAGAGTGGCCCCTATAGTCCCTATTACGGCCTGGGAATGCTCCATCATGACGGATGCTACGGGGTCCCTCACTTGTCAGGAGTTGTCAGACAGATCAGGAGTCTGGATACACACAGCTGACAGGTAATCTTAATGTCTTCAATTAGCCCAATTAGGCCTGTCATAAACAATTCGATAAGTGCTCGACCAACACAAACAGATAAACGCACGCACGGGCATGCGCAAGCGCACACGCTCACAGCGAGGTCTGTGGGGTATTAATGAGAAGGGTAATGGGTATATCAGCCGATGGTTGACTTGTCTTTTGTTTCAAGCAGGGGTGTGTGTGTGTGTGTGTGTGTGTGTGTGTGTGTGTGTGTGTCCCCACCCCTTGCTCTCAGCTGTGCGCTGCTGGCTGCTACCTGGTCACTTCAAATTGTACTATCTCCTTTCATTAGCGCATCGCTGGTTGAGAATCTGAAAGGCCGTGACAAAATTCATTTGAGACGAGTGGGAGCAGATTGCCTGAAGCAGGTGCTATAAGGGAGATAAAACAAAAAGCAGCACCTTTGAGACGCTCTGTGTGTGCGTTTGAGTGTGTCTTTTCTACCTGTGTGTATGCAGCAGAGGCTTTTTTCCCTGGTCTTCACATTCTGTTCTTTTCCCTGCTATGGTAAATGGATAATGACACACAAGTGCAGCTGAAAAAAGAAAAAGAAAGAAAGACAGAACCGAGAGCAGAAAGGACTCGGCCCAGTGCACACTTGGAGCGTTTACAAAGCAGTGGTGAAATCTAAATATTGTTTCAAGCGTGACTAAACAGGCCAACACCTTTCTGCGCGGAGGATGTGTGCAAGCTAACAGTGTTTGATTTGGTCGCACCTTTACAATATCTTATCACAAAGCGATGGTGACACCCACACTACATCCCTTGCTTTTGTCCTCTGACTGCTCCTTAAAATCAGTTATTTGCGGCCATTATCAAATTTCTTTTTCTTCAGGTATGCAGGCATGTTTCAGCAACCTTGAAGCGCAAGCTAATGGTTAAAGCAGAGATTGCAGAGTTTGCAAACACACCTAAGACCTAACCAAGTCAGCACCAATATTTGAACAAGAGCTTCACCTCAATGCTGCCTTTACCTTGTGCACAAAGGCACTTAAACGGCCCACATCCCAGCAAGGCTTATGCATTAGTTTCAGGGCATTTAGTGCAATAAAAATGAAAATATAAGAATTCAGTTCAGAACAAAGACAATGTGCTGACTTGTGAAATCCAAGAGGTCGTTTTCATTCAAGGAGTCCCCAAAACTTGGGAAGGACTGACTGATAACAGCTGGATCTGTGATGGACATCTAACTCTCCGTCTGATCTTTACCTCAAGTGACGTGAGAATGCCATCTGAGGAGGGGAAAAAAAAAGGAAAGACGAGAAAGAAAGAGGAAAGCCGTCACCGGGAAGTTGTAATAGGAAATTGCTCTTGGCAACTATTTGTTCAAGCATCAGATTTTTTTCATCTTTATGCCAACCCAGCGAGCCCCCATTGGAAAACAGGGCAGGTCCCCCTAATGAGTAATCTATTTCAAAGCAGTCGTGTCTGGGCATGACAGTTTACTGAGAGGCTTGAAGAACTGGTAATTACCAGTGTTACGGGGCAATTAATGCATATTACACTGCGGCACTCATGGCGGTGACTGTCAGCTCCCCAATAAAAATGAGCACTCTTCAGCTAAAGGGTGACATTAATTGGGCCCTTAATGACTATGCAGAGGAACCAAGCCAAATAGGAACAAAACAGGGGACTCACTCCGACTCCAGCAGAGGGCTGGAAATTGGACTAAAAATGAGATTAATTGCTGTTTGGAAAAAAAAGAAGGGAAAAAATGTGGTGAGGGGAAGGGGGGAAAGAGGTCGGAATTATAGGGTGCAGAGAGCAAGGGCTGCGCATAGAAATGACAATTCAATTAATTATTTTATACTGTATTTTCTATACCTTAAAGAGAGAAGACAGGTCTCAGGGCCGCTTTAACGGCTTTGTCTTGATCCGCAGCTCAATGCATAAACAGATACATGTGCAGGCACCCACACGCAGCTTCATGGTGCATATGCTAATTTAACAGATAAATCTAAAGTCTCCATTTAAGTGCAAAGGAGCTTTCCACCATAACGCAAAGAAGGTATATATTTAGCTGTGATGTATGTAAAAGAGATCAGGTAATTAGGTCTCCATAATGTGCAATAGAAGAAAATCATCTTAAGAGGCTGTTATTGAGAGTTTCTGGGTTACACACTCTCCCATGAAGCCTAAGGCCTTGAATGTGTCTTTACTTCAAGAGGCCCATATAAAAATTATGGGAAGCTTAAAAGTAAATCTGCCAAATCGCAGGCCTTCCACCCCCACAAATGTTTGTTTACAGGGAGATCAAGGTTGTTGTGAAGATATGAAGTAATTCTGCTTAATGTTGCTAAAGCCAGGCAGGAATACTGAACACCACCTGAATATGCAAGCCCCAAATCATAAAAATATCAGCATGCAAAACATGCCGTCATTTGCATATATTTTTGATTTTGGATTTCCTTCCTATTTAAATATGCAGTTAGAAATAGTCCAGCACTGCCTCTTGCGCTGTCACGCTGCACACTCACACTGTCATTGGGCCTGATAGAACTCTTCCGCTTCAAAGGGAGCTTTGCAATGGAGAGGAGAATGAGCAAATATTTGAATTGCAAAAACACATCATCTTGCAAGGGGAGAAAATTCAAGACAACTTTTTAGAGTGAAAGACACCCCCAACCCCCGATGAGCAAACCCTCTGCACACAGCACAAAAAAAAGTCAACATATTCATAGCAGTGTGCCGGCTCCCCACTAATTTACCATATCCAAATTTGTGTAATGGGATATGACACATTTTAGAGGGGATTGCGGAAAGAAACTTTAATTTGAAGAGAGAACCATAAAATGTTTAAGCTGCCCCTGTATTTAGCTGAAATCCAGCACACAAATCCAGGTTCTCAGACAACCTGACATGGGTTTGATTACAGACTGAAGTGTAATTAGCTACTTAAGTTATCCTCTGGTAGGCTGGAATGAGTAGCACCGCCGCCGCTGCAGCAGCGAGCTTTTTCAGCATAACTAAAGAGACCTTTATATTCTACAGGAATACCTTCCCCCTCAGGATGCAGCACAGCCAGTTTACAGTCATTTACATGCAATCAATCAGGGAGAATCTCCGACAGCCTACAACTTCTGCAGAAGTTGGTGAAAAATAAGCGCAATAAATAACCTTCATGACAGATCAATAATATGACTCATAGCATATTTGAAAGTAGGAGCTCCTAATTTGATGCCAGGATAAATAGAACATTTAAGCCAAAAGTCTAGCCACGAAGGCCATGAACAACATTAACGGCAATAAATACCCATCTTCAGACATCTGAAAAAATACGCCTGCACAAGGGGAAAACTGTGTTTATGATTGTAAATTTATTTACCGCAGGCTGAGAAAGTACCTTGAATTTTAAATGGGGGAAAATGTGAGAGTCTGAAACACATACTGAATGTTGAAGATATGTGGAGAATTACTGTGATTTGCAAAATAAACAGTGGAAAGACGGGCAATCAGCTACTGGTGGAAAAACAAAAATCAAGGCTTAATTATTCATGGGCATGTCAGAGCTTTAAATATGAGACAAATAGCATGTGGATTTTGTAGTATAATTAAAGGATCAAATGAAGTCTTATTTTAAATCATTCTTAATAAGAGTTAAACCTGAATAATGGTCTTAGACCGCTTAAAGCTTGTCATCTCTGAACACACACAGAGCATTTTGAAGCAGGAGCTCCTCAGTCGACTGTCCATGCCTGTTTTTCTGCGGCCGCTCCTCCATGTGACTCGCCTACGTGTAGACAACTTGGAGACAGGTCGGAACAGAAATCAAACCTGAATGATGGATGGCTTTACTGCACAATGACCTCTGTCACTGGGTTCTTGCCCTAAATCAATGCTTGCGATAAGGGGCCCTGCGCCAGCGCTTACCTTGGTATGTTCACCAGCAGACCTTATCTATGGCAGGAGGAAGTGCGAGTAATAACTAAAGACAAGCCACGACAAAACCACTAACCCCACCTTGTCAAACATAATTTACAATGTATATCCCTTTACCCCCCCCCCCCCACCGCCATCGCTGCTTTTAAAAAAAGTCATTATGAGAACTGAAGACATTTGACTTTGTGTTGGGCAAATAAACCTGCTGTCGGGACTGTGGGAGAGTTTTTCCACAAGGGGTTCATATTTTAAAAAGAAAATATAGATACACACGCGCATTCATTCACAAAATCATGAGTGAGATCCTAAAATTTCTCTGCGGTGGAGCCAAAACGCGAAGTGATCCATACAAGGAAGCAGAAGAAGGTTAAAGTTGAGAGGAAGTAGAGGCAAAGACTTTCTGAGAACTCTTAGACCTATCAGTAGTTTTTCATTCGAGTGTATGCTTTTGTGAGTGTGTGTGTGTGTGTGTGAGATACACAGAGACAGAGCTGCAGAGAGAGCAAGCATGCTCTCAGGCAGTCGCATCAGCCTGAAGAGAGAGACCAAACATGACATCAAACGTTGCAATTAGCTGACCCCTTTCTCCCAGAGTCACAGTTTGCCTTTAAAACCCTGATTAAAATATGTTTGCTTTCTCATTCAAAATGACATTTGACAAGGTTAGTAATATTTCAACTAACTGCGAAAACATTCTTGCGGCCGTAATCCTTTTTTTCCACCACTTTGCAGGGGCGCAGGTAACCTCGGAGTGAGTTTCCCATGAACTCAGCGCTACAATTTGAAAACAAATCGGCTGATGGGAGAAAAAAAAGAAGAGTAGTTCAAAGTTTCACTTGAGCGTGTTTAGTTTCACTCAGGCGGCTGAAGCTCAAAGTTTAAGAATCGTTATTCAGAGAATTTATCCAGTTTCTGATTCAAACCACAACCAATATTTAAAACAGAGGCAGTAGTCTTTTCTCAAACCACAACCTAGGACTCAAGGGGGCTGAGGACTGTCAGCAGCTCTGCGGATAGAGTTCCTCAAAGTGTTAAACCCCCTCATCACCAAATTAGGGGAGGTGTAGCCTGTAGTCAAATAACCGATCCAGTGGAAAGTATTATAAAAACACAGTTGAATATATTTAACAATGCACGACATCATATTGTTTTTAAGGAAGTATTGAAATCAAAACTTTGCCTGGCTCAAATTTCTTAAGGAAAGAGTTTTAAAGAGTCAACAATCTTGAATAAACAAAATGTAAAAAGGTGTCTGAGGTGGTTTTTGTCAGCATGCATTCCTGACAAAACAAGCCCCAGATAAGAAATGAATAAGGGGAAGAGATCAGAACTGGTCAGGCCAAAACTCTGTCTAAAGTTAACAGTTTTCACATCTATTCCAGTCGCAAGAGAAGAGAATGCAACGTGTCGGGCCGGACAGTGAGCCAGCCCAGACTCAGCTGCAGCTGTGCTCAAATTGAAGTGGCACTTTCTATCAGCGGCCTTTCTCCAGACAGCTCTATTCTGCCCTTTCACTTGTAACCTCCATGACACACAAGACACCCATTAGAAAAAATAAGAGTGGTCATTTAAAAACACACAGCCCTCATTGAAGAGACAGACTCCGGGTGTAACATGGGAGGGGAAGATACATGGTGCGAGAACGTGCCAGCTGATAGAGATATCACTCAAAATGAGGAATACATTTATCCGACGTCTCTGTGGCCGATGTTCAAAGGGGGCAGCTCAAAGCACCAAAGTCTGCGCAGAGTTTATATTTCACTTGTTCGGAAATGTACGCCTCTGTTATCTCGCATCAATCCAAGGGAGAAGGAGCGGGTATCGTGTGGTCCGACTTCCCCTCTATGATGAAATGTTACATTGACAGTGGGCAGAGTTGGAATTTTTAGCTAACTCTGTGAGCCCTTGTCAAAAAACGGGTTTACTCCACTCATTTAAAACACAAAGAAAACATATTAGCATGATTAGTAGAAAGAGAATGGTAAGGATATATTAGCCTCTACACTGAGTGCACATTTACTCTAAGAAGTTTTAATAGGGTTCAGCGACCAAATGCATTTTTTTCCTAATCATTCACAGACCCGACAGAGCCAGAGGAGACAAATCTGTTGACCTGATAGATCCTCGTACATTAACCCCCAGAATTGATGAGCAAAATCAGAAGGTCACCGCCTGGACACAGGGCTCCTCATGTGTCTTTGATTACACACTCCTGCTAAGGGATAGGCAGGCAGAGATGTTTAAGCTATCAGGCAATCAGACCGCCGCGAGACGTGAAACTCAAACCAGAGGGAGAGAGGGCGGCCTGGGAACAAAGATGGGGTCTTGACGAAGCTCTTTAACAAATGCCAGGACCGGTGAGGAGGGACTCAGATGTGCTTGTATCTCTCTCAGTGTATCTGGCATCGATGCAACGAAGTGAATTAATAGTGAAATATAAAGCAAAGTTCACTCAAACGAATGCCTCTTCATCTGGTATTTAACCTCGGTTAATTCTGGAACATCAATCAAAGTGAGTGCCACGAGGTGCAATCAGATATAGGTCTTACATAGTGAAACAAACAATTCAAACCATATATACATGCTATTGGGGAAGATGGATGAGGTCAACTGTTGAAGCTGTTGAAAGGAGAAATCTTTTTTTAACTTGATGTAGAAAATGAAGAACAGAACGGCGTCTTTTGGCGTCAACGGAACAGAAGCTGATCAGTCAGATTTCCACTTTTGTATCACCTAAGAAAGGAAATCTTAGCCTTATGGTAACTTTTTTTATGTTTTCTTCATTATTAAAACTATTTTTATAATTGTCTTTTCAATGATAAAAAAATCTCAGTGTTTTTTGTGCTATTTTTTTTTACGATTCTACACACTGGAATTAAAAGAAGAGGTTTTATTGTACCAAAAAAAGAGGAAAAAAAATGCAGGAACGAGAAGGTGAGATTGCAGGAAACGAAGAAGAAAATAAGCATGGGTGGTATGAGCAACAACAACAACAACAAGGTTATGTGAGGGACAGTGGGCCTATAAAAAGAAGCCTACTGTCTAGATTATCTATAAGGAACCACTTATCACAGGCGACCAGCCCCACACAGTGACTGATGGGCCTCCACAGACCATGAGTACCAGCACATTATCTGGTGCACACAGAGCTGCTCTTTAAACACAAAGGCAGAAATATGAAGCATTGTTTCCTCGGCTGTCATTCGGTACAAAATATTCTATTTATTCTCAGTCTGGAATGGAAATAGTGTTTTCTGTTTTCGTGCAACAGAAATACACAAGACAATGCCGGCTGACATTTAAATTAAGGCAAAGATAGTTTGTTAAATGTAAACAAGCCCTGATTTGAACCAAAGAAGCATGTAGAGGGTTTAATTGAATCTTCAAATATACTATGCTTTAGTATACAGTACCTGTAGCAGTGCTACACACAGCAAGATAAGTCACTCTTACAAAACAGAACAACAAGGAAATGAGGGAAACTTAATCCCCTTTAAAAGCACGAGTCATGAAATCATATAATATTTATTCCTCATCTATCCAGACAAAGCACAAATGCACAAATACACAAAATGTTAGGCCCAAACTAGTCGATAGAGTCAGAAAATATATGTTTTATTTATGTATTTTGGTTAAATCTTTTTTAGAGGCCCTGAAATCTACACTGAAGGGATCATTGATGACTCCTGACCTTCTTCAACCTTTTCTACAGAGGGGTTAAGACACGATTAAGCCCTTTAGCTGGTCAGTGTTAAGGCGTGTTAAAAGCAGCTGTGCAGGTGCATGAGATAAAATACTTAAGAGGGCTGAAGAAATTAAAAAATCCTCAAAAGAATTAAATATTTGTGCTGCTGCTTCTAGTCTGGTGTTCATTAAAACTCTCTGAAAGTATATTTAGCCAGATTTAGTGAAATACAAGCTCACAACCTTATCTACAGGCATAGCTATTTCCTTATCCTATTTATCTTTCTATAACTTTTTGTAGATGTGAGAATGAAAAGCAACAAAAAACATTTACACAAGCACCTCATTTTGTGTTCAACATCTATCTGTCGAGGCTATCTTTAAAATCAAGAAAATACTAAAGCCAGTTTGATCACTTTGGTTGAGATAAAACTTGTTTATCTTTAAGGAGTAAAGGGGGCCATCAAAATTCACTGTTTAATTTGAGTTTTACAAAGAGCCAGTATAATCCTTACTCTCTTTCTCTCTCTCCCTGTGCTTTTGACAAATGCTGCTAACTTCTTCCTGGAATTAAACCCAAAAGGTCATGGTGGAGAAAAAAAAAAGCTTAGGAGGAAAAAGGCAGTGAGACCAAGAAAATGAGAAAAATGAGGGGAAAAAAAGAGTGTCCATGTTAGTCTGACAACATACATCGTGAAAGCTGACAAAAAATGTACGTTAATCTTTGAAAAAGTTCTATGGCGAAACAGGAATTCATGGAGACAACATGCTCGCACCTCATTTGACTGCGGGCTTTCTTCTCCATCTCACAGTGTCACATGCAAACAGAGAGACAGGAGGAGGGATACACATCGCCGGGGCGCCGCTTTCTGTCCCGCTCCTCGTTTATGCACACAGCGGCCGTGTCAAAGCGGCTCTCACACTCAATGGTAAATGACAAATTTGGATAATGCACACATACAACCCTACAAAAATAAATAGGAGACATGGAGGCTTAACCGGAGCTAAATCCTGAGGCTGCTGAAGACCTGAGAGTGCGGATTACACCCCAGACGCCTTAAACAATGCACCCAAATGTGCATCCTTAAAAGCATGAAATCCTTGAAGCAACAGAGACAACTTGTCATTTGCCATTAATATTCCAAGTTGCTTGCGCTTTGGGGGCCTGCATTGCACTTCTGTGTGCTGAAGTGCCCTAAAACATACACTTGCAAAGCCCTAAAGGCACCACCATTGTGGATAGCTATTTTTCTAACTGTGGAATATTCTGCGAGAGGATGTCATAACAAAGGAAACAATAAAAGAGGCCACGTTCCTGCACCGCATGGGGTATCCATGACTATAAATAGGAGGAAGGCAATGTCAAAGGCGCTTATGCTTTAGCAGGAAATCTGTTTTTATTTTTTATTTTCTCTCTTGAAAAATAAACAGACGAAAAACAGCTCTACCTAGAATTCTCCATGAGGATTTAGTAAATAAAAGCGTCAAACCTATGCAACCCTGCAAAGTCACAAAATCGACACCACAAAAATGAACGCACTGCCTTTAAGTTTAGCTATTCACACATTAGGTCACTGTAACAATGTAGATGTTTTTTTACTGTCCCTCTTCTTTTGTTGTGCGCACACATCTCTGACAGGATCGAGGGGAAACCTGGCAGTGCACAGGTCCTTGAGGTGTCACATTGTCACCCCAGAAGCATCGGTTCCTGTCCTCAGGGATGGCCCTGTAATGTCCAGCCTCATTGGATCAGCAGCAGCTACGACCTGTAGGCGCCCTCTCTCAGGTGACAATGCCTATCTGCTCTGGCTCAATGATGACCTTGCTGCTGCTGAGGCTTATACTGCTCAACGAGACACTCTATACGCATGTAAAAGCATTTTTCAAACCCCCGTCTTCTTATTTAAAAAGTCACATGTGTAAAAGCAACATACCGAAGACACACCTAGGAACTAGACCTAGCAAAGAATTTTTAAAAGAAATCGGTGTAACTAGCTAAATCCAGGATGGGCTGTCTGCAGTATATCATGCACGGCACTAATTAAGGATTCCTATCGTCCCTGCTGTGGAAAGTTCAACAAAAAATGATGGACAAGTCCATTAAAAAGTATGCCAATGTACATCATCTGGAATCAGAAAATTAATTTCATGTCCTACATGGATTGACGTCTCAGAAAATATAACAGAATTAGTGAGCATTATCAGCTGTAAACTCCACAGACATAATTGGAAAAAGTTCACTGTGGCCCCATGATGTCTAACTGCAGCTGTGTGGACGAGTATAACACATCGCATAAATCAGATTTTTGGATGTCTTTTCATTAGCCAACACGTCAGCGAGCAGATTAGCGCCGATGTCGGAGGAAGAGTCTGGTCAGACTCCCCAGAGTTATGACTTCCTCAATAATTGTTGTTATAGTGTGTATCAAAGTAGTGTTACAACAAAGGACGTGCATAACTCTGATTTGTGAAAAATGCATTAAAATGGAGTTCAATATGGGGTTTTGTATCATGGGAATATTCTGTTGGTAATTATGGGAGGGTGTAAATTATCCACACAACAAGGCATGGCTTTCAAAATGACTACAACAAAAGAGCCAGACGAAAACAAAATGCATGTGCGTGCAAGTGGTCAAGCCAGATGATGTATAATGGCAAACCCAGAGTCTTAACCCCCATTTCATACGAGGGAGAAATGAGGCATACTGTCCCATTATATTGCCATAAATCATTTTTTGTGGACGGCTGACAGCTTTTTATCAGATCTAACCTTTTCAAGCCTCCATTAAGAGAGCTAACATTTTCAACTCTGACACGTTTTGCTGTTTATGAATCTCACAGCTGATTTGCTTTGGGGTGGGGGTGCACTGGCATCCATACTCATTTCAACACATGCATGTCACTGTGTTGTGTTGGACTGGGGGAAATGGGGGAGGGAAAGTGGGAAACATTTAAGACAAGGGCAGGCTCTGAATTGATTATCGTAATGGTGCATTTTCTGTTTTAATCTGCTTCACTGTATATCAAAGCAGTTTTATATTTTTTGGGACAGAATGATCTGATTTAGCTGATTGATTTTTTCCTGCAGCAAAACTGATGCATGGAGGAAAATAAAAGGCCATTTCATTACACCCTTCACTATTTACTAAATCAGTAATGAGCAGACCCTCTTGAGCAAAGAATGCAGAGAGTCCTGACTGCACGAAAAAAATATAAGCGAAAATTAATATATCATTTAAAGAGGAGCTCTTGAGCATCCTGTTTACATGAAGGATGTAACATGACGGTTTAGATCGGTTTTAGTTTTTCTGATGTGTAAGGGACAGTTTAACTTTAAAGCTCCAGTGAGTAACTTTTGGTTTGTGTCAATTTTGGCGCCCCCTGTGGACAAAGCAGTCTTTGCTCATCTTGTTGGCTACATTCTTGAGTACTGATTTTTGACTAAATATCTCAACCGGCTAACTTTTGACAGTCAAATGTAATATTCATTGCAAACATTTTATTGGAAATTTTCAAAGCAGGCATTTTCCTCAGCTGCTCAGCTGACACCTACCCCTACAGCCCAGTTTCAAGCAATAAAAATTAGGATGTAAAAATCTTAAATCTTCTCAAACTCTGTCTTCTTTGCTTTGGAATATCATGAAAAGACATCAATGTGAATTTCAATTGATTTTATAAACATAAAAAAACTCCTCATAGGAGCTTTAAATATTTCAATCAATCCATTTATAAAGAATCAGACCTCCTCTGGTGTCTTCGCTCCTCTATTTTAGATGTACTTATGACGTCTGGTACTGACAATAGTTTAGCCAAAATCTGCAATAAGCAATAGCAAACCATCATAATTATGGGAGTGAACATATGTGTAAATAACTGTCATTACACATTAACATTGTATTATGGCTCAAGTATTCGGTAAAATAAACTCATCAGACATGAAAAAGGTCAGAACTTCCGTGGCTTCTCGGGGAATTATGGGGAGAACTTTGCCAACCATAATTGATTTAAAAACATCCTAATCAAGGAGGGGCAGTTAAGGTGGCACCACACGAGGGTCTATATTTCATTACATGCTGTGTTTAACCTTACCCACTCCTCCTAAAACACACAAGAGGCTCATTATGTGTTTAATATTCACCAGCAGGTGAATAATTTCTATGCAACTCTGATAGTTGGGCGAGATGGATAACTCAATTATGTGAACATCCGTCAGAGCAGAGGGCTCGCTGCCTCTGGAACGCCACCAGCTGAGATTGATGGCTGGAAGACACCAATAGCTGCTGCTTCACCATCTCATCCAGGCACTGGGCCTGAACACGCTGTTTGATTCTGCACAAGACCGTTTTTCTACCCATTTTTTTCCTCCTTTCTCTTTTTTTTTTCTTGGGACGTAGGTGAAGCGTCATTACCCCTCACTCCACTGAAGAGGGGTTCATTATGGGGTTAGTGTGTTGGCAAGACTATTGTTTGGATGATAAATGCAGTTGGTGAGGGCTTTGGAGGGAAAATTAGTTATGTTTTTTCTTGCCTTCTACAAAAACATGTCTCCATAGCTCACTCTGAAATGCTTGAGGGCAAACCAAGAACAATTAACACAGGCAATGGGTGAAGCAGCTCGGTTAAAGCAAAGAGGGAATTCATGAAAAATAAGCAAATCACTGGAAATGTCAATCAGGGGCGATGAAGTAATTACAACCACTGCTGTGCGATTCCAAGGGCGGTCAAAAGAAAACTGAACGGTTTGGAGTCAAGCGCTGAAATGTGAGTTTGAGGAGTGAAGGAATGGACAAACATCCTCAAAATCAGTGCTTTAGGGCTTGTCTCAGGAACTGGCTCGACCTAATGAGAACTGAAAGCCGGGTGATGTCATCCCATCACTCTCTTTGTCCCCCATTTCTCTGCTGGTTTATGTTTTTGGGACTACAAAGTGCTGACCCCGAATTCACTCCCTTTACTTAACGAATACACACAAACACCCTCCTATTCGCACACACACACCCGTACCTCAGATGCTAAAGAGAAAGATGAGGTGCATTCTCAAATGTCAGTAGTAAATGTCAATTAAAAATTACAGGGTTACTGGAAAAGGTAGCATCTGAAGGGACTGACATTTTGTCTTTTTTTTTTTGACACTACAATATTTATCTGACCGGGCTGCTGGCTGACATGATGGGATCTGCTTTGTCAGTTCCTTAATACACTTGGACAAGGCCGCCCCAGTGAATATCAATGAAAGACAGCCATGGGCAAATATGTAAGGCTCAATCCAATCCCAACTGTCCACACAGCCTGTTAGTATTCTGATATTTTGACCTACTGTAAACTAATGCCACAAGTGCCAAAGAGGAAGACATAAGACAGACTACTGCCGCTTTCTTCAATCCAAACGAAGAAAGAACATTGGCAAACACAGTGAAATATTTATGTAGACATCTGAGCTTCACGTCCTGCTGCCTGTGGTGAAAGAGAAATGAGCTCTTTTTGAATTATTTCAAGTTTGACCAACTGAGACAGCGATCGTTTAAGTGCTTCCTCATTAAACACACTCTTGAAATGTTCTGGAGCTGAAGCAAAGCTCTTTATTGTCACTTACTTTTCTGAAAACATTAAGTGAAGCCTATCAAAGATCGTTACCAACACAGAACGGCCCTCTTTACTGAATGACAGCACTTTCTTTTGGAGGCAGGCCCTTTCCAAATAAAGCTATGTTACTAAGAAAATAAAACACATCATTGATTACGACCCTGACCTCATCTCCTGTGTTTTAACGACTCAATGATATTGAAAGAGTCATTTCCCTGAAAATCAAATGGATGTTTTTCTGGCAGTTTCTAAATGAAATCAGGAGGTCAGTCATCTATTAACAGAGGTAACATTTACTGAATGTGAAACCATTATATCTGACATTCAGTGAAACACAAAATCTGCTCCCTTTTATTACTTGAAACTGTGATTGACCAAAAGATAAATTAATTTGATGTGACTTGTTAAGTATCTCCTAAAAAATACCGAGTTGGAGGTTATAGACAAGGAAAGTATAATGAGAACTTTGTTTATAAATTGCAAGCTCAAAATAAGAACAGAAGAAAAAACAGTCATTACAGCCCATTTCCATCTTCGTTGAGGAGCCCGAGTTGAAATAAAAGCTTTACAACCTCATTTTGCTGGTTGAACTTGGGAAACAACACAGATCAATACATACACACTCATTCATAATAAGCTGGATAACCGGATTTAACTGTATATGAACCCAAAGCAAAGCAGAGGAGGTGACTTTTCAAATCGATGGGAAAAACTTCTTGCCAAGGAAGAATGGGATGTATAGCCAATCTTTGGTTAAATACCTTTATCAAATGACTTGTGAGATGCAGAGTCAATTATGTGATAGAGGAAGTGATTAGACAAAAGACTGGTAATGTTGACTGTGGTTAGTGGTCTAAAAAAGGGAAGCTATAAACCATGTAAAGTGGAAATAAATCTGTCTTAACTTCGTATATTGAATGCACACAATGCAAATCGGAAAAAGTTGAGAATACAGAGCTCACCTGTTCCAGTAGCTCCAGAACTGTTCATTGAGGTATGTGCGGTGACTGTGGTCATCTCCAAATGAGGCTTTGCTTTCAATCCAGTGTACAATGTGTCCTTCAACAGCTAACACACACACACAAAACGCACACAGTCACCCAGAAAAACCAGAAACAAAAAGGCCACACAAGTAAGATCCAGAAGGGACAAGTGACATTTTCTTTTTTTCTCTCTGTCAGTCATTGTGAAAAAATCAAAGATGATCTGGCATTAAAATGACAGGGGTTTGACAACTGTGTAATCCTGTTTGAATCAGGGTAGCTTAGGTTAACAGACAGTTATTTCTGATGATACATTGGTATTTGTGATGTAAATACTAACCTATAGGGACCTCCAGGATGATATCAGGTGTTTTGTCGTAGCCCATAGCTCTCAGTTGGTTTTCATCTATGGGGGACACAGGGCAGAGTTTTAACATCTGACTTTACTCTGTTGTTAGTTTTACTCTTTACTGAAGTTCTGCAACAGCAGGTAACCCAACAACCTTCACTAGAGCAAAAAACCCCTTAGTGTTAGCAAAGCAGAAATAACAGTAGAGGACAGTAAGCACAGTAAAACCATTAACTCTACCTGCCACTGATTCGCTGTCGTAGCACAAACCTGTAAAGCCTGGTTACAGAGCCGCTCTGCTGTTTGGCAGAGCTTTATAAAATATACAGCAAGGGGACAAGGTTGGCATTATAGACTATGTGAGCCTGACCCCTGCCTGCGCACGCTGCAGCCATTGTCCTTGACTTCTGGTGCGCTTCGGCCATTATCCCTCCAACACCTGATTTCTCCATTAAATCTCAGGCTGACCAGGTCATTCAGTTCCAAGGGCCTGCCTCTTTGTCTCCAGCCAAGCTCAACTAATGGGGCATGGAAGGGAATTGAGGAGAGATGGAGGGTGGCGGTGTCAGTGCTGAAGAGGAGGTAGCATCAGCCAAGGGGGGAGAAGGAAAGCTGAGGGAGGTCAGAGAGGCTGCCAGAGGCCTGTGGAACAGAGGGGCATCCTGGGTGTGGTAATGTGTGCGTGAACAGCAGCCTCTATTCATACCTACTGGACTGTTGACACTGTCATGTGGCTCTGATCGCCTTCTTTACATCACCTTTTATTAAAATTAATGGGCCATCCCTGCTGTTGGCTAGCTTATTTCCAATCCATTTATCAGATGGGGTGAGACGGCCTCTGTGGCCCCTGTGTCGCCCGAACTCTGACAGTTTGAGAACAGTCCTCTGTACAGCTCGGAGGAAAGGTCAGCACTCCAGGTCCAAATAAATGATATGGTCTTAATGGTAGAGGGAATGACTTTTGTTCTTCATCACTCATCTGACCTAGGGGATGGTGATGAGCTCGGGGTTAAAAATTTCTGTTTCATAATTTCACACCTGGGCACTCTACCTTGATTTGATATTGTTAGAACAAGGAAATGCTGTTCAGAATCAGGAGATATTAAAAGAGTTGTCTTTTTAACTGTTAGATGACTGGTGAGGAATGGAAACTAGAGTTTCCTTCAAAGATGCGTCAATGATATCGACACAATATACATTAGGGGTGGGAGAAAAAATAGATACAGCATATACGATACACGTATCAATTTTCAAATTAATTGTTAATTTGAAGTGAAATCTATGATAATGGAAAAATAATATCAACTGTTTGTCCAGTGAGGTTGACGGAGGTGACATTGGACTTAGCTGCGGGTTGCACAGGAGGTAAGTAGTAGGAGTTAGCAGCAGGGTTAACAAACTGAAGCTACAAACTAGCATTAGCATCAGCCAGCTCAAGAGTTTTCCACTGTCGTCAAGCAATGCGTGGACAGCTCGAGCTTCTATCATCGGGCAGGAGAAAGCTAGTACAACAAATATATATAAGGTTTGCAAGACGTGCTACATGAAAATAAAATAAAGCATAAGTAAGAAAAACATAACGGAAAGCCAAATGCTAAATTAGCATAACAGTTGAAAATTTTTTTATACATTGTATCGCAATACTCACTGTATTACAAAATGTTAAAAATCACAATAATATTGTATTGTGGCCCAAGTATTGTGATATTATCGTATCTTGGGACCAAAAGTGACTCCGATGCATAATATACATCACCATATTAGCAGAAATAGAACTTTCTTATTCATTTCATTTCATCAATATCAACTGAATGGTACAGCGACATCCGAGAATACTTGAGAGTAGCCCCTGTTGTTAGCAAATCAATAGATGGTAACATCCACTGCATCAGTCATGGCCAGGTCTTTCTTTATCAAGCTTGCAAAAAGGCCAAACTGCCATGAGCAGTCTGACTACAGAAATGTGAGGAGAAGGTCAAAAAATGACTTACCAAGAAAGGAAAGGTTCCTCTCCTGTAGTTTGTCACGGAGTAGCACCTCATGCTCTTGGCCAATAGCGCTGGGAATGAAGTTAAGGATTCTAACAAATAGTAATGGCAAGATATCACATGTGTAACTAATAATAAGACAAGATTTTTATTTTCCCTAGTAGGGGTAATAAAAAAAGTCAAAATACGTTTATACACACAGCAGCACATAGGATGATGTAAACTCACATGATATCACTTTAACAATAAACTTATCATCTCCAAATGCAAACTGAAAGCACTTCCTTTTCTTTTGCAGAGAGCACAATCAGACATTTCAGGTCAACTTTAATCTGCTTTCACAACAAATCTTGAAAGTGCATTACCTAAATGAAGAACACGAAACAAATGCCTACTTGGGGAAATGCACAGAGCGCCTGGGCTGGCTGCTTCATTCATTACCTCTAAAATCCGACAAGGAAAATGCTTTTAGAAAAAAAATAACAAATTAGTTGCATAAGGAAGTGTTTTGCTTGCTGCCACATTAGTTTGCATATAGCACATTTCTCCTCAACAGAGCTAATCATCCAAAGGTGGATAGTAATTAATGCATAAAAGAAGAGAGTGATGGGGTGGATATTATGAACCCAACTGACTCCAAGATGACTCAAACAAGAGAACAGCCAGAGAGAGTTAAAAAGAGGGAGCTCTGTGGTGGGAGGACAGGCTTGAGCAGCTATGAACAGAAGGACCCGGCCCCACCACACACATGAAAGCTCGGACCAATACAATAAGATGCAGATGAACACATGTACACTCATTCAAATACGGTTCCTCCCTGAGGAAACAGTTGGTCTGCTCTCCAGCTGTTTGCCCTTCAATAAGCAGGACAAAACTTTTCAAGCCTCGCTTCACAGGGAGGAGGTTTTTGTAGGTGGGCAAAAAAATTAAAGAGAAAAACCTAAACTTAACTAAATTTTGAGAAAATTAAATAAAAATAATGAAAGATTCAATCAAAACTCAAGATTGAAGTGAAATGCAAAGAGCTCTCCATGGTGCTGAATGACTTTAGACCGATTGAAGCTTAATGAAATCTCATTAAATGATGATTCAACAATTCTGTATTTAAGAATTAATTTCTGTTATAGACATAAAATGACAAACAATCTGGGTAAAACAAAGAACCAAACAAAAGAGCAATTCAATCCCAACAAGGCTTATGAATGATTATTTTCCTGTATCATAGAACATTGGGTCTGATCCGCTGTTTGAACATGGAGATGCATTTAGATCAGCCCATCTTATCCTCCTCCTCCTCCTCTTCTTCCCTCCATCACCGTCTAGCGCCTGCACTGGTGATGGTGGATATTCCAGGCAGGATGAAACACTTCCTCTGTGAAGCAGAACTTTTATGTCAGGTGAAGCCAGACACATCTCATCCCCTTCAATAGCTCCTCGTCAATTTCAGGCTTAAAATTTTATGGGATAGGATACTGTTTGATGCAGTCTACCAGCGGTCCATAACAGCAGTCATTTATTGTGCACTGAAAAGAGGGGGAAGAAATATTATGGCTTGTAAGAAAAAAAAAAAAAAGGTGGGTTGGTGGTAGAAAGGAAGCTCATACTGAGCGAGGGAGAGGAGAAAACAGAGAAGATGCCGGCTGGTTGGCAGGTATGAGAACCAGCTCATGTGACCTTATCAGCAAACATGAGTGGCTGATAGTGGTGCAAAAACACTAAAAACTTCATAGGAGGGAGATTTGTGATGTGGACAAGCAAATAAAAAATTATCTAAAATTGAATCTGGGAAAAAATGTTATTTCATGACACAAGACGATTGAATGGATGTGTAAACGTTGAATTTCAAAGCAGAAACACTTACTTGGTAGATGTTTTTGGCTAATATTTGGTCTGGAATTAGTGAAGGCTCCTTTAGCATGCTGTTGATGACCATTTTGGAGGCTGAGAATAAAAAAAGAGGTGAAGTATAAGGTAAAACAACTATATAATCAAGTAAATGTTACTATGCAAATCACAGCTTCAATTTTGTATCTAAAAATGTGATCATTTACACTGACTATGGTTAAAAAGAAGTAGAGATAAAAGACAGACCTGACAAGACATGGTAATTCACAACACCTCTGTTAGTGCAGTATTTCCTCACAAATCCATTAGATGGCCGTTTGGTGTCTACACAGATTTTCTATAGATAAATGTTTCAGTCCACAGCACAGGAGCCCCATGTAGTTTATCTACGTTATGAACGCTGACTATTCTGCATCTCTCATCTCCATTCTTGCTCCACCAACATTATAAATCAGGTAAAGGGAAAAGCCCGCTGGATTGATTCCCTGCTACTGCAACAGCAACAGCAACAGAATTCCTTAAATCATTTCTTAAAAAGATTTGGATTCAATGAATTGTATCATTGTGTGACGAAATGGTCGAGGCACGCCATTTTAGTGATACATGGTGCTGACAGACTCGCAGCATTGCAGGCAGTACAGAGGGATGTTTCTATTCACATTTCAGGCATGGATGGTGAGAGTAGTTACACTGAGCAGAGATTCCAAGGCTCATCTAGAACAAGTATGAGCAAAAACCAACACATCGTAGTTAAAAAAATCTATTAGGATCATAAAGGGAAAATAAGGGAAAAAGGAGATGATGATCAAGAGTTGGGTGGACATTTATAAAACATGACTGGACTTCTGAGCGTCTTCCTCTCCTTACATTTCTTACCTCAGAATTACTCCTTGACAAAACTATCACAGAGAGGACTAACAGTGCTGTGATCCTTCATCTACCTTATGATGAAATAAAGAGGGAGGAGGGCGGAGAAGAACAAAGCCCATTCAGCACTCCCTCTCCTCTGCTCTCCTCCCCTCTTTTTCTGTTTCTCCCTCTTTGTCTCCATCTTTCCTCTGCCCCTTCCTCTCTGTTTCAGTCTCTCCCCCTGCCACGGTGTACTCCCTCAGCCCTCGCCATAACCTCACACTCCCTGTTAGAGCTGCAAGGCACAGGGCTGTGCTTTATTTCTTTGCTCATTTTTCTCTGAGATTGGTACCTTCTCACGCACGCAGATCCATACCGCGCTCCTGTGCAGATCAGCGCGGGCGGCGGCGGCGGGGGTGAAGAAAGAGGGTTATATTTTCCCCTTGAGTTAGGACACCTCATGACAAATGATAATGGATAATCAATAAAGCGGGAAATATGAGGCAGCAAACTTTATGAAGCCCAGAGACATATTACTCCCCAACAACACTGGTTTCCCTTAACAAAGTCACTACTCGACTGTGCCTAATAATCTGAAGGAAAATCAAAGGACCCGCAACCACATCAGCAATATTGGCAACTTATTCCACTTTAATGGCATTTTGATTGATTTTTTTCCCTCTTCCTAATGGTCGTTTTATAGATTTGACGCTGCTTCTGCAAAACAGTAGTGTGTTATAAACCTCCCTGAAGGCAAACAGCAGCCATTAAAGCTCTTGTCTTACTAGCACTCATAATTGGAGGTTGACCACCACCACATTTTGGTCTATCACATAACACACACACACACAGGACTCTCTTACTTCATCTCTCCAGACATTTGATGTGTTTTTTTTTGGGGTGTAAAAGTGATAGGATTCCATTCTGCTGCTTTCTTTGAGCAGTGGGGTTAAAAATAGCCATAAAGAGGTGACCTTGGCGCTGACATTGTGGAATTTCAGCCAAGCATTGACCTGATGAAAATGGAAGGCCGGGCTGCTAATAAATCAGGATGCTTTTAAAATGAGTTTACCCTAATGCTCATTCATCACAGGCTGTAATGCCATTTGCAGGCCCGGGATTCGCCGCTGTGCACAAACACAGCAGTAAATAACAACAGGGCCCTTGCATCCCTCGCATGGTTGCAGCCTCCAACATCAGCATACATTTATTAAAGACGCCCCCGCCTTGCACGGCAGCACTCCTCTGTGACACCCTGAGCTCCTCTCTGCAACACACACACACGCCACGCTTTTAAAAAAACACACACTGGAGGCACACACAGACGCACACATAAAACACGTGCGGAGAAAATAAAAAGCATAATCTGAGGAACACCAGACACAGGGAACAAAGCCCTGCAGCACGACTTTGCACCTTGTAAACATTCGCCAAATTTACAGTAATTGTTGCATGTTGGTATAAATTCTGACTAAGGTGCCGTATCACACCGTCAAACATCAGAGCAGAGAGAACAGAGAGGACGGAAATAAAAGATGTGAAATGTGACGCCTCCATTGGGATTCTCTAAAGAAAACAAGCAGTGTAAACAAATCACAAGCCTGTTTTCATATGCAACCCCAAAACAAGATAAACCAGAGAAAGCAAGGTAAGAGCAACATAACCTTGGCTTTGGTTCTTATTGCTTACTTGTGTCATTTTGCAACCGCTCTTCCTTCCACTAGGGTGAGAAAAGTCATTATCTCACACACAAAAAAGTGTCGAGAAACCTCATTAGATAGCAACATTTGTTGAGGGAGGACCGTAATAAACAATAATGGATGACAATTGTTATTGTGCCTGACACTGATGAGCTCCTCTGCAAGTTTGTTTATTAATTAAAAAACCCACTTTTTTCCCTCTTCAGGGGGGGGGCTCTTCCCATTTCCTATGTATGCCTGCAACACCCCCCTGCATCCCACACTCCCCATGCACAAGCCATTGAGCTGTGGAGGGGCACTCGTTCATCAAACTTCATGGAGCAAGGGAGAGACAGGTCCTGATAATGTGCGCCGCTAAAGCTGATTTTCCATGATGAATCTCGGAGCATATAAATTGGCTAATATCTGAAAACATTTACAGATACTAGAGGAATTGACTACTTGTGGGACATGATGGATGAGGCTCCGCCACGCTGGCCGACAGCTCTGCAAATCTCTGCGGCTGCCTAAAGCCCTCATTTGATTTTCCAATTTACTCCTTTTAAATTTATCCTCCCATATTGAAAAAAAAAACAGAAGATGGGAAAGGGAGAGAGAGAATAGAAGAGTAGAGAGAGAGGAGGGGAATAAGTGTGTTTTTTTTATAAGTATCTGTGGAGGTGTGGAGGTGCTGGTTGATGATATGAGCTGGTATCTCCCGTGCAGGAGGAGCCCAGTCCCTGAAGAGGTTACTGGGGCAGAACTGATCTGCTTCCACCTGATTCTCCCTGATAGCAGTGAGATGAGACTCCACATTTCTCTGTGAGTGTGTGTGTGTGTGTGTGTGTGTGCGTGTGTGTATAGCAGTGGTAATAGTAGATCTGGGGAGGCTCTGCCATGGAGAGAGACTTCCTAGGTCAGGCCATTAGACTGTGGCAGAAGCTGACTGGAGCTCCTCTGCTGAAAAGGAGTAATTAGTATACTTGTCAAGTGAAGTGCCTCGCTGCTGCTTACCTCTTTTTGCACCCACCCTTTGCATGCATACACACACACACAGAAGAAAAAAAAAAAAACACACTCATCATGCCTTTGCCTCTCTTCTTGCTAATGAAGTACACTTTCCCTCATTATTTGAAAAAAGGCTGCACCGATGAGAGGTGAGAGGGCAGGAAAGAAGAGCTCTTAAAGACAAGGGGAGAAACCATAACAATCACAGATTATACTGGATAGACTAGAATACAATATTCAGTTATCAACGCGTCTGATCTGCAAAACACTGAAGCTATTATGAATTCTGTCAAGGAACCCAAGGATCATAGTCGACGCTAACATTCTCACAGTGTTAACATCAAACGCGGGACATTTATAACCTAGCGTACAAGGCTTCTGTAAAGGAATGTGACAATAAATCTTAAAGCCGGTCGAATCACATAGTTACAAAACATGGAGCGGCAATCTAATCTGGAGCTGGGCCTTGGGAAAATGGAAAAGGTCAAATAGCTAGCAAAATTGCCTCCTCAAAAAAAGTATGTCTAAATCTAGAGGCACATCAAGTCCTGTCAAAGGAGGAATAGAGTAAAAAAGATGAAGAGATAGTAGCAGGAGGGGGAAAGATAGAGCTGGAGCTCCCCCAATGTGGTGTCTAAGAGGTAGCATCTACTGACATAGAGGCTGATTGACAATTGAGCAATGGCGTTGCATCAATTATATAACAAAAAAGTAGAGTTAGTTCAACTTATAAAATATTTTTATATCATTAACATTTCAAAAAAACATATATACAATAATAATAATTTGGTAGCAGTGTAGTAAGCAACTGATGTCTGATCTCAAGATGTATTTGTTTTGGCCTTTTAGGTTTGCAAATTATTAAACATTTTATTTCAGTTCAATTCCTTGTATTTTTCAATGATCAGAGATTTTTTATTAGTCTTTGCATAAAGCGTATTGTATGTATAATACAACTACTGGCTGTATCAGGGCGAATCTAGCCTAGCCGTGTAAGTGCACACCCATGCACGCATACAGAGGTTATGCCTTAGATGGACGGCTGGGGTTTGATTCCAGCCTGTGGCTCCATGTGATTTTAATGTGAAACTGGTATGAAAGAGGATTAGGGCCACATGAAGAGAAAAAAATATATAATTATAGGAATGAGATTAAAGTCAAAATTACAGAGATTACACTCAACATGAATAAAGTCAAAATTTCGTGAATTAAGTCGAAATTTCGTGAATTAAGTCGAAATTTCGAGATTACAGTTGACATGAATAAAGTCAAAATTTCGTGAATTAAATCGAAGTTCCGTGAATTAATTCGAAATTTCGGGATTAAAGTTGACATGAATACAGTCGAAATTTTGTGAATTAAGTTGAAATTTCAAGATTAAAGTCGAAATTTCGTGAATTAATTTAAAATTTCGAGATTAAAGTTGAAATTTTGAGATTAAAGTCGACATGAATATAGATGAAATTTCGTGAATTAAGTCGAAATTTCAAGATTAAAGTTGACGCAAATTAAGATGATATTACATGAATAAAGTCGTAATGTTGATATTAATGATGATGAATTAACAGCATAGTCGCTTTTCACTCGACAACATGTCCTCTGTAGAAGAGTTTGTAAGAGGCGATGACATAGCCTCGCTGTATAGCATGCAGGTGTAACCATCGATAACCCTGCATCTGCCTTATAATCTTCGTAACAGTCTTTTCAGAGTCCGAATGCTTATGACCACACTGTGTTTTTGTGCTAAAAGAGCAATGATTTCCTTATTACTGAATCCAATTCTAAGATAAAGCTTTACAAACTCTTCTACAGAGGACATGTTGTCGAGTGACGAGCGACAATGCTGTTGATTCATTATCATTAATCTCAACATTACGACTTTATTCATGTAATTTCGTCTTTATTTGCGTCAACATTTTGAAATTCAACTTAATTCAAGAAATTTCGACTTTATCCATGTTGAATTTAATCTCGAAATTTCAACTTTAATCTCTCATGTGGCCCTAATCCTCTTTTGTAAACTGGACTGTAATTTGGCCTCTTGAAGAAAATTAAGAAATTTAATGGATTCACAAAGTCCAAAAGATTCAACTATAATGACAATGAAAGTTTTGTTGTATGCGTTATGTGTTTTATGGTCATTCATAAATGTCCAATAAACTAATTTGCCAGCTTTATGTCACATCTCTGAGACATGAGTCCATTATCAACAACCCTGAGAGGAATCCTGGCATACATTAAAGCTGTCTGAAGTGATTCAGAAAGCTCTATTTTACCTAAAAGCATATAATGTGTAGCTTTTATGACCCTAAAATAGCGCACATTAACAGTCCAAAAGAGCACAGGTGACCTTTTCCTTCCTTTCTGCCTAGTCTGTTTTCATGAGACGAGGAGCATTATAGATGTTGATATCATATTCAATACGTGATAAAACTGCTTTGGATGTATTGATTTATTTACAAGCTCCACCAGATAGTCTTTCATTCTGCCTGACTGATGCTCTCTCCAATACTTCTGCTGCAAAGAGAGGAGAGGGGGAAGCTGTGTTGTGTCGTCATGCTGAGGTGCGTTGGTGGTGGTATGTGTAGCTAGTAGAAAGGAAGGAGAAGAGAAGGTTGAGGAAGGAGAAGGGGGGGGGACAAGCGAGCAAAACAAAACAAGGAAGGGACAGAAAACAATTTAAAACTGTGTATTGATCCAGCACTAGTGATTGTACATATATTCCACAGTCCCAAAGGCCCCATTCCTGTGTCTCTTAAATGCAAAGGGAAGGAGAAGGGGAATAAAAAAACGATGGTGCGAGGCAAAGGCAAGCCACTCACCCAGTTGGGGGTAATGTCCCTTATATAGAAGTCTATTGATCTTTGCAGCTCGCCTGCCCGCCCTCCCTCTGGGGTCCAACAAAACACACAAATACACACACACACACACACTAGAGCGTGGTTCAGCGCTGGAGGGGGGCATGACGGATATGCCTGACAATAGCACTGAACCAACCTGTTTGCTAATTGCCAGCAAAGACAATTATCCTTGCATTGTTTCATAATGGCAGCACATTACTGGGGTCTAATATACACAGAGGGAGATTGGAGGGTTTGACCGCGCAGTCCATGTGGGCAGCAATTCATTTGAAAGGGCCGAGTAGGTCATGAGGAGACTGTAGAGGAGCTCTGTCAAAACAGAAGTCACCCCCAAAACAACTGACTCTACAGCTTGCAACAGTGGAAAAGTACTGTATAATGACATCATTATTTGTGCCACTGTGAGATGACTAATAATCTGATATGCTCTGAGTGTGGGATAAGGAAGGCTGATATTAGTCTGTGAATATTACAAAAATAAAACCATCAAATCAATGTCCACAAAGACAACATGCATGACATTGCTTAACAGCATGAAAACACTGAGATTCTGTATGGTTACAACTCTGTTTCCAAGATTAAACAACAAGTTTCATCTGCTTTGAATCTATTCTGAGCAACAATAAAGCATGTTCACACTGTATGGAGATGGAAGGATGCAGGGTGCTATTATCAGAGACGGGGAATGCCTCTCTCCTGGATGAATGCCCTGTTCTACAAGCTGCTCAGACGACTATTTTGACAGGCAGTGGATAACGGTGGGTCCAAAGCAATCACATCTCTGACTTTGACAAATGGCTGTGCTGTGGCGAAGTTGAAAATAACACACATCCACTTTAATCTCTTTCTTGATTAAATTGGAAGCACGTCTTTTTGACATCATGCGATTCACCCTCAAAAGCAGTGACTACTGCGCAGCTACACATGCATGTATACACAAAACTCTCAGGGTGGACCTATTGAAATGGTTAGGAATGGGGTGTGCACGATACAAAGCAGTTTCACAGTGATGCAAAAACAAACCACAAATGTGAAAATTGCAAAACAATAAAAAGTTATCAAATCGGGAGTGGGGAATTAGAGGATATTGGTCTCTGCATGGATGATATTTTGGCTCAACAAGTCAGATTTAAGACTTTTTAAAGAATACAATTTAAGACCCATTTAACATCCATACTGGCAAAAAAATACAAAGGGAAATCAGAACATTTTACATTACTTCAAATCAATCTTTATTCCCTTGTAAGTAGAGTTAATAGATTTTTAAGACCTTGTAAAGTTGTATTTAAGACATTCTATAAGATTTCAAGAGAATTGTAGACATTTTAAGGCCTTAAATTCAAGTTATTGTTTATTAGATGTTTCAAGACCTTTTTAAGACCCCGCAGATACCCTGAGACAAAAACATTTACATCTGTGATTTTCCCCCACAGTGTGTCCATCAGCATTACCTAGAGATGGTTTACTTTTCCTGCCATACTTTCCTTCAGCTCAATTTCCCCAGTAGGTATGGAAAAGGAGAAGGGGTGAAGGAGGAAAAGAAAGGTATGGTGTAAATGAATGCATTTGGGAATAAAGGGGGTGAGGAAAGAAATCAGGCCTGTTATAAATAACACTCATGAGGTGAGCTTGCATTGATCCACGCTGCAGTTAAAAGGTGGGTGGTCCTCCTGGTGCTTAATTGCCAGTCATGTGCTCTGGGATGCAGCTACTTCTAAACGTGGTCTGTCTCTCATTAGGCTTGGACAGGCTGAAAATGAAGCAGCTAGGACTGGAATTAGGACTCAAACCGAATGGAATTCAGAAGACAAAGTCCTACGATTAAGACTGATGGGGTGGATGATAGAAAGGACTGAGGGGTAAATGGAAAAGAGGTACTCACGCATTTCGCCCTCAAGGTCTTGGAGGAACCTGTCCAGGATGATGCGAGCCATCAGTGCAGGAGATAGATCCACCTGGTCGGAGAGTGCACAAAAACAGACAAGAGGCTATTGCAAAAACAAGCAATTTATTTCTGAACAAACTTATAGGTGAACTGTTACTCCTTATTTTTCATTCCCAAACCTTCAAACTTAATTCCATATTTATAGTTGTACGAGTAAAAATACCGTATTTCAAAGAGCCAAAGGTTTCAGGCACTAAAATTACCCAGCCAGCCTACCTTTTCACTGATGTCACATGGGTAATAATGACTGTAATGGCTCTAAATGATATTATTGCATTTCCAAACCTTGACCTAACTTTTGACAATCCCTGTGCAAATTGCTCTTTGAAAGCCTTGCTTTGCAATAACCTTTTCCCACAGGTACAAGAGATCGCCTATTACGCAGCCGAGTTCCCCAGCTGAATTGCCTTCACCTCTGTCAAACGGACACCCGTAGCCTCTCATCTGGTATGAAAAAAGAAGCACACACTGTGCCCAGACTTTGAGACAATGGAGGGCTTTAATCATTGGACGATCACCGAGGCAAACTGTATGAAACAACAGGACACACCGGAGGGACTGCAGGAATGCAGCCCTTATTAAGGAGGATAGAACCTGTGGCTCCACCGCTCTTTGAACAGAAAGACACCTCCAAAGGTGCGCTGTGTTTTTTTTTTTTAGTGTGAAAGCAGGAAGAAGCTCTGACAGGTGAGGAAGCAATAATGACTGATCCTGGAGGTGTCTACCAAACCAAATTCTGAGTGCAACAATATCAGAAAATACAGTACCATTTGAGTGTTAGAGGGGGTGCGATCAGTGAAACGTCCATTAAAAGGGATCAAATCTGATTGATTTGACCCTCACTTTGAAAAATACATATTCTTCAAATTAGAGGACATATTAAATCCTTAACTATTAAATTCACAGCCTTTTCCATATGAAGGGGATAAAGATCTTGCTAGTAGATCGGCTAGCCTGCTCATTATAAAACAGCGTTTGTACAGCCAGAAATCCTAATTTCACTTGTTAGCATAATTAGGAAGCAAAAGTGAATTGCCTTCAGCCTTTAGTGAAAATGGTGTGTTTCATCTTTTCTGTGATGCTTCCTGCTTACGCTCAGAGCAGAGAGGCTTCTGCCTAAATGGTGTCTTCTTACCCTGAGTAGGATTTATCAACATTTCCATAATATTGCTCTAAGACGTCAGCTTGTAAAAAGGACAAACATGTCTGCAGTAATTAAAGGCAGAGAGCGAAGTTTATATCTTCATTAAGACCTCTGATAGTATTTCAAAGTTAGCATTCTTAGCTCGCAGCTACAGCAGCTCCTAATTTTGCCTCCTTTTCATCTCTCCTCTCCTCTCTGTGCTTATTCGCCTGCTCTCCATTCACTCCTCTGGATAACAAGAGAGCATCAGATTCCCGGTAACCTGCAACAGGGCTGACACATGAAAAATGGCAACATTACCAATGCTGGCCCAGCCTGAATAAGAACCACCTGATTAGTTCAGGTGCTTGCATCTCCCTAATTTTCATATTAATCACGAGTCCATCTCCATTCTTCAGTCGGCACTTCACAAGTTTAACTAAGAGTCGCAGAAGCTTAAATCCCTGCAGAAAACAATTATTGTTCATTATTCTCTGGTTTTATGAGACACTAAAACTATCGGGTTTTACACATAGATCAACATACTGTCCATGCTCTGAACCCTTTATGATGAGGTATTTAAAAAAACAGCAAATATGGAGTTCAGAGTCCTCATTCATGAAACACTTCTAGGGGCAAAAAAAAAAAATCCATGAATACTTTTCATCATTGTTAATCATTTCCCTCTGTTGGAGATATATTGTCTCATAAAGGGATGAAACTACATCAATTAGCGCACTGGGAGACCATGAGTGCTTGGTTTAAATGTTAAGTAGCATATTAAAATGACAGTTAAATGGTTCATAGACAGTTATCTCTGAGCTGGGTTTAATCCTTTAGAGGAAAAAAAAAATCATGTGTCAATTAAATGGAGAATGAATAATGGCAGTTAGCTTTGAGGTGCCACTGATGCATGAGAACTACTCTGGCTTTAGATTAAGAATTCCTCAAATCTGATAGTCTGGATTTGAGTACCAATAAGAATGTTAAAAATGCATTTAAATAATCTAAAAGGTTACACGGCAGATTCTTGCAATGAAAGGGGGTGACTCCAAAACTGACAATGCATTTAAAGAAAAAAATAAAGAAATGAAATATACAAAATGTTGAATTAGTCAGATTTATTAGTGGCACTTGCAGTATTCTGGCCGCCAAGGCAGAGCTTCTGGTCAATTTCTAGTAACATAAAAGAAATTGACTAAGACCATAACATTAGAGCCACCAATCACTATTTTAAAATATTGAAACATAGTCAATAAAAAAGCATCTACCATCTTGCATCCTTTTATTTCTGAGCAGGACTAACCCCTCCTGCAATGATACCACTAAGTCCTAATGTTGCATTGACCTCCTGAGGTAAACTGTGAGGAGGTGATGAAAAGGAGAATGAACCACTGACCCTGCCCTCACCTGTACGCAGTTTACTGCGACTCCGCTTGAAGTGCAATTAGGAAAATTACATAATAAAACACAAAAAAGTATTTTCACATCTGCTTAATAGAGGTGAGAGTTAATTACATTCAATAATTGATAGTGAAGGAGACCATTTTACCAATTTTGATAATGACTAACAGACAAGAGAGATAAGCTAAACCTGCAGCAAAAGTTCGGCTTATGCGTTTATGGAAAAAAAAGGACCATCAGTTCAACAGTTTATTTTATTTATTTTTTGTACACACAAGAAAAGAGAGAAGGGAAAAAAACTAAACATTATGTCATTACCTCAATAGCCAGCTCCAGCAGGACAGGAGCAGTAGGATGCGCCTTGGCCTCACTCAGATACCTTTATTAGAACAAAGAACAACAGCAGCAGTTGAAAAAAAAGAAAAACATGACCCACAAAAGCAGACAGAAGGGTAGAGGGGACTAGACCAGGCCAGCCAAGACATGCTAATGTCCCTGATGACTTTGCCCTCGGTGGCATATGGCAGGCTTGGTGTGGTTAAAGCAGCTCTGCTTGAAGGGCTTCAAATTTCCTTGAAGCCAGACAAGCATATGATAGTTAGTTAACCCCTGCCGCCCAAAAAGCCTTTTTTCCCTCGCCAGCTAAAACTGCAGCTCCCCACAGATCTTCCCCAGATCATCTCTGAGGTTTGTTGTTGTAAGTGGATTAGAAGTGCATTATCCGGCTTTGTTTTCCCCAGAACAATGGCCTAATAAGCTAGATAGAGGCTAATTGCAATATGCAAACAGGCTTTCCCCCTTACAGTCTGTTTTTCGCTTTTTTTCCATTTATCCTTTTTATTGAATTGAAAGATAATCATCCCATCATAAGCCTGTGTAAGGCAAATGTCCAATGGCTGGTTATTTATATATTTTTCTGCTTTCAATTTGACATGGAGAGCAGAGCTTTAGCTTAGCAGGTGCAAGTGGAGGTCTGGAATGAATCCTGAGGGTGGTGATTTGTTTGGAGGAGATTATATCTGTCATGGTGGCCCACCTACTCTCTGACCGAGGACGGGACTTTGGCAAAAAGGAGGAGAGACAAAGACGGTACGGAGCAGGGGACAGGATCAAAACAAATAAGAAACAACAAGGACAGAGATGAGAGGACGATATAAAGAGAAATAGAGTGATACAGCACCTCTGGTAGTGGCTTTCAATAACATCGGGTGCATGGTGTCTGGAGATCGTTCTTTTGGTTCTTTTCTGCCACAAAAACACAAATGTCATGACAACAATCAGCCTTTCACACTACCTCTGTAGAAGAAATAAAAATGAAGGTAATTCATTTCACTAAAATACAAGTTGCTTTACATTAAACCAGCCTTGTTTTCTCTGCTGTATATCAACAAGAGAAATGGATCTTGCTTTGCAGTAATTCAATTTTAATAAGTTTCCTTGGGGTCAAAGTGTGCCAAGACAACCTTGTTTAAACCGCCAACCCCCCACATTCAAACCTTGTATTCATTTCCCCTTTTTCGATCAAACAATGACCCTATTCCTCATCCCACTTCCCTGACATTTCCATGCAATTCAATTGCCATCTCTGCCAAAAGGTGGAAGATAGGCGATAAAAAAGTAAGAGCACTGGTTAAAAAACAACTTATTTAAAAACTACTACACAGAGAAAAAAAAATGTAATTCCACTGAGACAGGCAGTGTGACTGACACCTGTCAGGGGGATGATAAATGACTCCATTTTCTGCCTGTGCTGCCTTCTGCCACTGGCGGCAGCGGCCATTTATCATCATCCGCTGTCAGCCGTGGAAAGCAGCAGTGACAGTGCGAGTCAGCAAACATTTAGCACACGCAGCCGCACTACACGGGGAAATTATTATTGTCAGAATAATAATGGTTTAGCATAATTTATTACAGGTCCACCAAATAAGCAGGGGCTAGATGTTATTAGACAGATGGATGGGAAGGCTTGGCAGACATCCACCGAGGCTCAGGCAGGCAAGGACCCTAAACGTGAACGTGAGGAGGAAGAGGGCGGGTGAAATAAAGGGGGGAGGGGGTGGTGGTGGGGGGGGCCATCCTCCAAACCAATCAGAGAGCTGGCAGTTCAATTACAAAGAAATAAAGGGACATTCATCATTCAATTAGGCACCTGTCAGGGCTCACAAAGGAAGAAAACTTCTAACCTGGTACTCCAGGGAGAAGATGCTCAGAAGAGTGGACTGCGAGTGACTGGAACAAATAAAAGAAGGACAAAGTTAATTACCAGAGTGCATTGCACAGAGACAAAGGGAGAGGGGGAGCTTCAAAGCTGGGGCCAGCTGCCCTGTAATCTAAAAGAACATGAAAACAAGTGTGGCAAAGTTGTTCCAGATGAACACCTCTGACAAAGGATTCCTTCCACGATGGCGTGGGGGTGGGAGAAAGGAGGATGCGTGTGGTATGAAAGATGGGAAATATACAGCTTGTTTTTTTTTTTTTTTGTTCAATCACTCATGCATACAAACCATCTTCTTCTATCCTCTTTTCTCTGAAGTGAGTCTGCCAAGAGTTTTTTTCCCTTTAATTGAATGCCTATGAAGTCATTGATATAATGACTTCATAGGCATTCACTCATAAAGCCAAAATAAACATCAAAAACTGGACAGAAAGTCAGGAAATTCATGCAAATAATTGATAAGAGTAAAGACAAAGCACTGCACTCACTGGAAATACACTCCCTGGTTTAGTATTTCTTTTCTTTTTTTTTAAGCGTTTGACCACTGCCAGTGTATGTCTGTTTGTGTGAGTTACGCACACGGATGGGAGAAACTTCTCCTGCTTCACTGTCAGTGCTGGCATATGGGCCGTCCTGGAGCTCTCCCACTGCAACTGATGGGCTTTGAAAATGGAAACTTTCACTGTAGGAAGCTTGGACTCCCAGGAGTCAGTGGATTCCATGGGCTGCCATAAGTTACATTCATCTCCAGCTCTATTCAATGTCAAACACCTGGCAGAGAGCAAACCTGGAAAACAGGCAGCTCCAAGGGGGGCTCCCAGGCCCCCTTCAATACATCTTCCCAACCCCCACAGCATCCTTGGCGTTGATATTTAAAGCAATGACAGATTTTATTCTAATTGGATCGTACGTATCTCCACGCTGCATATCAAGAAAGAAAAACCACATACGCAACACAACCTTGCACCGATGGAGATCCCAACTGAAACCGCTCTGTGCCGGTCTCCAGCGGTTTTTCCGTCAATGTACGCTGCTCTCACTGCATTTGATTTGTAGATTTAATGGGCTACTCTTCACTAGTCACCTGAGATTGGTACAAAAATACAGAAATATGAAGTCCACACAGGCCTTGGACATAAATCACTTTGAATCATGAAATAACTTTGAGACATGTAAACAAAACCAAAGGAATCTCAAACATTGATGTTTGTCCAGAGTGTGTGACCATATTTTAATGAAAAGAATTCAACCACTGGAGGGGTTGCCACTTTCAAACCATTTTACTGTAGTCCTTTCTGAACATCCTCAACTCTCCAGGGATAGAAGAACCATCGCACAGAGGAGTCTGTTTCACCGCAAAGTTACAAGAGTGAAGGAATAAATGTTTGAGTGAAGAAAAAAAGAGGAGAAAGTCTGAAAAAAGAAGAAAAAACACTGCCACCTCAGCATTAATTTACAACGATGCTTGGGGATAAAGGGGCCACTGCAATTAAGTGGGCCATTAAATGGTCAACTGTCAACATGTGGACACTTAAGGGAGGGGAAAAAAAATTCCTCTACACTTCAACCTTGCACCTGAACATTTCAACATTACAGCCTTATTGTTGGCATGGGACCATCACGATCCCCCTGTAGGAACAGACATCTGTTAGGTTTTAAATGGATTACTCTCTGTAATGAGCATGATTACTGCCTAATTGCTTAATCTATACCCTGTTAACTTTAAAGGGACATAAACTGCTCTTAATATCTAAGACAACATATCAGTTTCAAAAACATTAAAAACTTTGGGGAATTTTGTTTTTCTTTTATACCATAGTCTGTTTTTGCACACATCAAACCTGGAAAGAAACTTAGAAATTGTCGAAAAATAACGTGAAAAACATTCCCCAAAAACGTCAACATTTGAAAGGATAAATTAAGCTATAAGCAAAAGTAAAGAAATAAATGAGACAATACCTGGATTGAAACAAAGAGTTGTCCACATTTTATAGAGTATGTCAAGTTTTACACTGCTCTCTCATATAGTATAATACCTTTTGTCCCATTTAACAGACATTAATAGTAAGTTATTGCAGGGTTTACATTAATGTATATCCAACCTGTGCTCTCCTGGGCACTCTGCGCTCACTTTATGCTAATATATGGAGCCAAGTGCAGTCTTACAATGGAGATCACATCTGCCTCCTACACAGTAGCAATACATTTACTGGAATACATCCGTCTCATGCATCATAATACCAGCATTTGAGGGTCCTATGTACTCAGTCCTATTTCAGAGGTTATTAAGAGACTAAACATACAGAAATATTCTGCAGCTATTTCCTTTTTCTCTCGGTTTAGATTGTATTTGAACAAATATTGGAAACTCCTCTGTGTTGAAGAGCGCTTGGACTGTGTTCAAAGAAAGAAAGCTTATTGCTTCAATGCATCTTTGAGCGCCCTTACAAACAATCAAGTTCAATAATTAATGTCTCACTTACTTAGCTCACTTAATTTCATTTTAAAAACAGCAGGGAGATTTGTCAGTTTGGTTTCAAATTAAAACACAATTACTGAAATGTATCAGAGAAAACTGTGAATATATTTTTAAAATACTAATAGTCTAGGACTCATTGGGGCATCCTTACGTTGACCTTTATGAGAAAAGAAGAAATAAAATCTTTCCTTCTTGGAAATAATTTAGAAACATGGGGAAACAGAAGGTTGGGAGACAGAAGAGTGGTTAGGGAATCATTCACTCTCAACCTAATTACCCTTCCTTACAACATAAGACAGAGCATTAATATGCACTGGCACCCAAAATAGTAGAGCAGCAGATTAAATTAAAAACAATTAGGGACTTTCGCTTTGTCACTGAGCTGGTATGCTTGTCTGGTCAGAGCTTTAGGCTCTATTAAGTCAGGCTCTCCGCTGGTTATGAATCTGACGAATCCACGTCTGGGTGTTGAATTGCCTTATCTTCTAGTGCATTCAGAGTGTATCAGTGTCTTTGGCTTACAGGGGGAGAACCGCAGCAAAAAGCAGAGAAAATCCCATCAACCTAATTAATAGGAGATGGGGGAAATTCAAGCTATCAATTAAATTCAGAATCTTCTTATTTACAAATAATTAATTATAAACAATAGCTGTAATTTAGGTAATGAAAGCCACCTGGCTAATGGCATTGGTATCATATGCTGCGACAGTACTTAGCATTTGGTGGATCTGCATGCAGGGAGTGTTGCATAGTGCGACTCTTCAGGGCATGGATCTGGCTAATTGAGGCATAGCACATATTTTTACTAATGGATATAGAGCTTTTTTCAAATGAGAATGACATGAATCGAACGATTCACTCCCACAAAGTGTCTGGAAATATTTCATAGCTGTAATACCTTGTGTAATTTTTATGCACAGCTCTTTCGCTATTATAATTATCACTTTTTTTCTTAGCTACATTGGAATAAAGGATGTATATCTCATCTAATGCTTTCATTAAAGCAAGAGGATAACTGCTGACAATAATATATTGAGCTTCTACTTTCCTATGGATCAATATTTTATAAAGTGAAAAACAGCTGAATGAACACTCTGGATATGCAAATGCTGCTAATTACACATGCTGATAGGCAAAATGCTAACATCTGTTTCTCAGCTAAGCGTACCATCATCAGCAGCAAAACAAATGTGTACAAAAAAAAATCTTTACGCGTTAATGTATAAATGTGATATATTTTGACAAGCAAATAGAAACAAACACAAATCTCAGTGTGCAACACACAGCTTTGAACAAATACTTGCGCAGTGAGCTCACGTGTTTGGGGGGTAAATTAGTTTTTTTTTTTGTTTTTTGCAGAACAACTGTCTTTCTTCTTGTCTAGCCGTCCTCTTATTGCAATCACTGAAAATAAGTATAAATTCAGAGATGTTTTTTTTCACTGGGATTACTTTGACTTTGTCTCATTATCTTATGCATTTGCATATTTGCTACTTTCTTAAGCGGTTTTTCCCCCATTAACAAAATGAATGCATGAATCACCAAAAGCCTGACTCAGACTACATTCCACTACATTTACTGATAGCCAGCAGCCCCCCCGACCCCCCCATCTCTCTGTGGAAGGCCATACAATCCTACAAGCCTGCGGGAGACCGTGCACAAGAAATGGCTTTAGCAGAAGCACAACAGGGCATCTCACTGCCTACTGCTGTCCTAATAGACAAAAAATATGACCCCTGCAAAGTCCCCTTCACTTTATTACTATCTTTTAAATTTCTGTCTGCTGAGGTGCCCTGAGATGTCAGAACTGTTATATAACAGTGGCAAAAAGCACAGGAGAGATCCCGCCCATCAGCCCCCTAATTGTGATTCCTCCTGAAAGCTTTGAATCTTCATGACTCTGTGTGTGACAAAACATGTTAGAACTATTATGGTGCGGTGCCATTGTTATAGTGTAATTATTGTCACTGCTGCTTCCACAAACTCCAATGGAAATTGAAAATGAGGTCTGTGCTATCTGTCAAGTGGCAAGCGGCCACTGGTCTGGCAAAAAAAAAAAAAAAAAAAACACATTACGCTGACCAATTGCCTTCTCCCCCCCCTAAGCATGGCTGGGGAACTTGTACCATTCTGGGCAATTTGTTTCATTCTTCTTTTGCAATTGATCCCAGTATGCAGAGAGATCCTGGGGCAAAGGACTCTGCCATTGCTGCCCCACTGAACTGTGGTGCTCTGTGCTTTCTCTGTTGTGGAAGGACAGCGCTGATGCATCTGCTAAACATCTTACCCAAAAGTTGTACATAATATTCTTATGTCAATGATTTTTTCTGTATTAATGACAGCATATTATCCATTTCCCGTTCAAGAAAGTGTCCCTAACAATCACTCTCACTCACTTGAGCAACAGGCTGCTTACCTCAGTGTTTTTAGCCCAATGAGCCGAAAAGGCTTTACAATCTATCGAGTGTGCTTGGACAACATCCCTAAGATATGAAGAGGAAGTAGTCATTCCCGTGCTTCCTAATCAAGTAATTGATTGCATCTATTATTCATGAACTCCTTAGCCTGACATAAAGTTGTAAAGTCAGCACGGCTTCTCTTCTTCCTCCGTCTCCCCTCTCTGCTTTCACTTCATTCACTCCTTCACCCTTCCAATGCTCATCTAACCACATAAAGCTGTGGAATTAGTTTGCCAGCCTTGCAGCCTTCAAGAGCTGTACCCCAAAGCCCTAACTGCCAGTTTGTGTTTTGTTCAACACAGGGCAGCCAGAAGTACAAGGAAGTGCAGCAAGGGCAGGCTCTGTAGTAGATCAGTATCTAGGTGATGTCGTCACCACTTCCAGGATATGTAATAAAGCGCTGAAATTCTACCTTTACTGGACAAACATCGGAGAAATTTATTTGATGTCCCATAAATAAAACACAGGGATGCACAAAATGTTGGATTTTTGATAACATCTCATTTAGCAAACACAGTATCATCGAAATCAGTGATAAAGAGGAAAATTTTAGGTGTGATAGTGTTGTTCAGAGATCATATCAGATCAAACAGAATAAAAAAGGAGCATTTACCTTATAAAACCTTACAAAGGCTAATCTGTACTAAAGGTTAAATTAATTTAAAATAAAAAGGATTTTTTAAGTTTAGCAATAAAAATCATTTGATAAAAGGTTTGAGATAAAAAAAAGAGTTTTCTGTCACAGGAATAAACCAGTTTCCAAGTTTTCTGGTCAGAGTGCCTCAGAAATCTCTGGTTGTACTTGGGTGTAATGGTGATAAAAATCAATATCCAAAACTCTGCTGTAATTAGCTCAATTAACTGAGACAGTTTTAAAACTTTCTCATCATGTTTGGTCTTGACTATAAAATCTAACTGGTGGTTAAGAAAGCCGGTGATGATGTCTAGAGGTGGCTGATTTTGTCCAAAACTTAAGATATTCAGTTGGCGATCACTGAAGAGTAAAGAAACGAATAAAAAGGAAGTTTAAAAGGCTGGATACAAAGAATTGTTCTGTTTTTCTAAAAGAAATGTATTTAAAACAATTATTTAGTCATCAAAATGTTAAGCAATTATCTAATGGTTGACAGCTTATTGATCGATTGCTAAGCTCTACTCATAAAATAACACTGAGATTGCAGCTTAACAACACACACGCCCATAACTAAATCCTCAGATTTAACCAGTGAGTAAAAAAAATAAACACTTCACCCATGATAAATAATCAATGAGCAGATACTGAGCGTCATCCTGAGCTGAGATCTATTACCATTTAAGACAAAGTGTCTGCAGCCAAGAAATCACCATATCAATGGCACATGCCACAACAACCCTGTCCCTCGCGTTCCCTCCAAAGATCATGCTGGATAAACCCCAAATAACAGAGAAATTAACAAATGCTTGACATTTGCTCAACATCCATTATTCTGACACTTCTTCAGAATTTCAAAGGGCTGAACGCATGCTTAATCAACATTCATATTCCCAGAGCGAGCCCCGGCACCATATTGCAGCCCGCCTCAGTGCTGATGAAAACGGCACATTAGGGCCCGATTCGAAAAACGTTCAGGGTCCCTCACCAGGGAGCTCAGCGCATATGTGTGTGTACATGTGTGAATGTGTGTTTGTAAAGTGTGCGTCTAGAGGGGAGGGATGCTTCACACTTTACTTTTTGAGCGTTTTTAAAACAGAGGCATCTGCCCCTTTCTGCACACCCTCCCACTTTCAAGACTGTGAGTGAGCTGAATGACATTTTAAAGAGAGAGGGGGGGTAATCATTACATCCAAATTCATTCATAATACAGCACAGAAGGACACAGAGGACTCTCACTTTCCCTCCCTCTTTTTCTCGCCCCTCTAACACATACTCTCTCAGGGGACAAAGGGTGGAAGGACTGGGGTCCCCTCTAAACCCAGGGGAAGCCAGGCAAGGCCTCAGAGAGCAGCCCATCATTTCCAATTCTAATACATGGCAAGAGAAGGACGTGATGGGACTGATGTCACATTTCCCCCCAGCACCGGCCTGCGATGAGCCCTCTCAACCCCCCCTGGCCGCCCAGCCTTGCCGCGGTCCAGATAGGAAGCAGGACAGAACGGCTGGCTAAGAGGAGGGCAAGGAAGAGAGGGCAAGAATGGGGGTTGATATTTGCATGTCCCTCCATTGTGAGTGGGGGTAAAAAGTGACAGCACCGTGTCCAATTCTTTTCCCCCCAGAGCAGCTCGGGCCCGGCGAGAGAGGGCCAGGCTGACAGATGACTCCCAACATCTGTGTTATGCAGCCGTTACAGATGAGGGACTCCACATCGCAATCGCTCTCTTTCTGTCTGTCTATGGGACACTCCCCCTCTCCTCCCACTACTCATACGACAACAGAGAGACTGACAGACCCTCCGTGGAAATTACCTTGAAATGGCCTATAACAATCTTTTTGTCCCAAGTTTAAATTTTCCTCCCTTCAAGTCCATAATCAAAGCAATGATTTTAAATGAGACCAGAAGTAAATGAAGCATTCAGAGATCTGGGGATAATGGCTTTGCCATGTTGTACTCATCTAAACAGCAAATATGTTTATTTGTAAAAAAGAAAAGAAGAAAAATGAGAAATTTGTTTGACATTTGCCTGACTTTAGTGCATGTTTTATCATTTAAGACTGTATATAAGATAATTAAAATGATTTTAACATGTAAATTTACGGCAAAAGACGCCCCAGCACACTACAATACAGAGTTTGTATTATGTTACATTTCTTTTATTCCCAAACTCATAACTTTCATTTCATAAGGAACTTACATCTAGTCTGCAAAATCTTGCATAACAGCTGTTTTGAATAAAATGTTGCATGTTATCGTAACAATATGATTTCACACAATGTAAATAACAGATTCACCAATTATGATCTAACACTTACTGCGACAAAATATCTGCATGCATCCCCGAAAATATGGTTATATACCTGTCAGGTTAATGCTTGTCCATAAGATTGAGCATAAAGATAAGATAACCTATTTTATAAAATGTAAAATTTTCACCTTAAATGACACAGATGTGTCCACTTCATAGGAATATCACATGTTGAATTGAGAAACAACACAGAAATGAGCTCAGTCTACTTTTCTTGGAAATCTCTTGTGTGATATAAGATGATTTCAAATCCAGATACCTGTCTTTCGTTTCTGTCCCTCCTCTCTATTATAACACAGCCAGTCTTTTGCCCACCCCCTCAGTGAAAGCTTGTCCACAACAAACCCCTAGTCCCCCTCCCACCCCCGCCTGCCAGCCCCAGCCTGGCCAATATTTACGCAGTGGCAGGGCTCCCACACAGTCCGAGGGGACAGGAGGGGTGTGGAGCAGAGGGGGGGTGGCTGACTGCCGTGCTTGAGCGCATGCTAAGAGATGATGGATGGCCTAGTCGATATGTTATGTCTTAAGAGCCTGATTTCCTGCCAGTCCAATCACTAACCCTCCAGAGCCCAGCTCAGCTGATTGGACAACCAGAATAATTTCGCAGGCTGTGAAAACACTGCTGCCGTGCCTGTCTGTCAGGCCCAGTGATGAGACTCAGGGATTTTAAAGAGCAAGGGCCTCCCCAAGATTGGTTATGGTGAACGAAATAATAACAATAACCAGCGAGACTAAACAAAGGAGCCAGCACCCCTGGGAGAAAGAGATCATGCAGAATTATATGAATAAAAAACCTCAAACGTTTACCTTTAATTATTGCACCCCAAAGTACAACTTTTTGAAAAGCCAGCATTTAGGCTGCTTCCTGAAGATAGTTTGGATTAAGAAACCAAAAAGATGAACGAAAACACAAAATAAACATAAGAAAGACCTCCGAGGATTGGTGCCTAAACATACAGAATATTGGGTGAACTTTATATGTAATGATATATCCTGTAGAATGCTGACAGGGAGAATGAAGGTAAGCCCAAGCTCTGCTGTGTTTCCTTCGGGGACCTGATACCTACTTCTAGATTGGTGATTAGGGCACAATGGAAGTAGGAAGCTCCAAATACATTCGACTTTGTAAGTGACCTCGATGGGATCAGCCATGGTGTCCTGGTGGCCTTGGGGGATTACACATGTTAGGTTCAATAAAGTGAGGGCCCTCAGTGTCAAGGAGAAAGGCAAACACAACCATTAACCTCTCTCTTCGATTTCTGGATGTTCAGGCGCTGCATGGAAAAACATTGGCTAATGCTGTGCAATGGTAGAAACCTTGTGTGGAACTAATAAGTGATTGAAGAATGTGAATCATTTGGTTTGGAATAATAAATAATGTAAGATTAAAAGGTGCAAATGTACGGTGGTCGAGAACCGCCACTGCTACAAATAAAAAAAGAATGCAAAAAAAAAAAAAAAAAAAAAAGTCACAACTGAAGTTAATGATGCCAAAAAAGAAACCAAAGCCCACTGCAAATACAAAAAGAAATGGTGCAGATAAAAAAAATGGAAGTTAATGACACAAAAAAGTGGCGTTGTAAAAAAAAAAAATTACTTACTGTGAAAATAAAAGGATGCAAATAAAAAAAGCCACAACAGAAGTGAGCTGCCGGGGACCTATAATGATGATGCACCGGTGTTTTACGATCCAGGCACAGAAGACGACGGCGAGAAGACGAGCAAAGAAGTAAGTGGAAAGGTTATTGTTTAATTTAGCTTCGTAAACTTTTCAATGTGTCATTTGGTTAGGCCGTGTTGCACCTGAGTCAATATGGAGTTGAACTGGAGGATGTCGGTGTAGTGTTAGCTTTGGTTTAACTTCATAACGGCTCAGGAGCTACATGGCCTTACCACATGACACATTGAAAAGCACGCAAAGTAATGTCAAACAATAACCTTTTCCAATTCTTTGCTTGTCTTCTCGCCGTCGTCTTCTGTGCCTGGATCGTAAAACACCGGTGCATCATCATTATTGGTCCCCGGCAGCTCACTTCTGTTGTGGCTTTTTTTATTTGCATCCTTATATTTTTGCAGTAAGTTTTTTTTTTTTTCATCACCACTTTAGAATTGTCGCCACTTGTTTTTTTGTCATTAATTTCCGCTGTGGCTTTTTTTTTTTTTTTTTTAATCTGCACCATCTCTTTTTTATTTGCAGCGGGCTTCGGTTTATGTTTTATTTTTATTTTTTTGCATCAGTGACTTCCACTGTGACTTCTTTTTTTTTTGCATGCTTTTGTATTTGCAGCAGTGGCAGCTCTCGGCTACCATACAAATGGGATAAATGGTGCAGCTGTGAGGGGAAAATGACAGATAAAATTTTCTCAACTTGCCTGTATATGTGCATTGTAAACACGCGTTTTTGCTGTGCATTTGGGGCTGTAGACAATGATTAACAGTGCAGAAAACAGTAAAATACACTCATACACATAAGTAGTTGCGTTTTCACCTTCTGTCTAGCGAAAACACACACACCCACAGTCCTCTGTTGCTTCACACAATACATTTCCACATTGGTGAGTAAATGATACAAGTCTGGAGCGTGCAGGCACTTACTTTGGGAATCTGTCCTTCAGCATCTTCATACACTGACGGGTGGGTCTCAGCTGCTCTGTCCATTTCGCTATCCCTTTATATTCAGCTCGGTTTAGTCTCATCTTCCCTGTTCAAGGTGCTGTATCTGTAACCATCACAGAGACTGAGTCATAAATACTGCAAATAGTTGTTACGGTCTATTTATGAAAAGGTAAACAACGTGAGCTGACAGACAGCTGTCAGAAACAGCTGTACCTGCCCTGCTAACCAGACTTAGCTTTATTATTGCTAACTCTTCACACAATATCACATAACGAAACACTCTGAATTATCTTCGGGAGGTTACGTAAGGAGTATTTCATGAAACAGGTTGTAAAATATGACTTTAAATGGGTAAATATAATGCAAAAGAGTTGTTTACCATTGATTCCTGCAGCCTGTGGTTGGTCCCCGAGAGCCGCTTCCCGCTAGGAGGTTGAAGTACCGGCTTGTGTGTAAGCAGTGCGTTGATTGGCTGATTCACTCTGACCGCTGAGTATACAGAAAGACGATTGGTTACTTTCCAACACGAAGGCGGTGAGTAGCTGAGACGCTGCAGAGCAGTTTCTGCACCTCCGAGGCACCAAAGGATTGTCGTCAAGTGAAAGCGATACAAAGCCAGGTACTTAATATGTTAAAATACTGTATAAACCCTTAAATAACCCACGAAAACTACCCAACAGAGTAAAGACAGAGTTAAATTCACACAGAGGGTTGAAGTGACAGGGCACAAAATGTCTTTTTAAACGCACATAGACAGCACTGTATGGATACAGCATGGCTTTTCTGCGCAGTCTCTGTCAGTATTTAGGTCTTTTTTTAACAACCGTTTTTTTGAGTTTGCATATATTTTTATCCTCACTTATTTTAAAGAAACAAATGTGCAACTGAAACAATATTTCTGAAAGATGACCTGTTCTGCTTTGATTATGGTCACAGTGAAATATGTTATTGTTGTTTCAGTGTAGGCTATGGTTCAATGTAGGTAACATCTAAATCAACGACAGCATATAAATAACTTGAATTCCGTTTAATTATAATAATCTTGAAAAGCCAGATTTTCTGTCTGGTTTAATGAAGTTTAATACTCTATTTAGTTGCAAAAGCACATTTTTAATCCCCCTACTTTTTGCACAAGTTACATGCCAATTGTACATAACGTGGAAACATTTAATTTTTGATTTATCCTTAAAGAACCTGTTAAAACAAATTATTTAAAACGCTTGATTAACCAGTCCTTGTGCCATGATAAGTTCTTAAAGGGAGACATATAGTTATCTAAATTTCACTGCAGTGCTCAGCATAATGTGTTCAACTTACTGCAGCTGAATCAGGGGCGTAGACAGGAATTCCTCACCCCGAGAGAATCATGGTCCAGGCTTTTCTTGATTATTTCTCTGCAACCTAAAGGAATTTTGAGGGGCCATTCTGAGCCCTGGGCCCCTAGATTCATCAACACCTTTCACCTCTCCTGTAAAGGTAGCGCCTCCGGTAGAAATATGTAAATTAGGCAAATATGATGATTTACTGCTGTAGTGAAAAAAAGAATCAAACGATTTGTAAAACATGTGAAAATGACATTGAACCTGAACCATTTGTGTCTGTTTTGACAGCTGATGTAACTTACATTTCAATTAAAACAGTGATCTAATAATCAAGGTGGTATTTAGATTAAATTTTCAATCGTTGAGAATATTGTTTCTTTATTTTCCTATGACCCAAATGATTTCCTCTGTCCTGGTATGAATAAAGCAGAGAGGAGATAGGACAAAAATCTTTAAGACCTAATTTGTCAAATACTTCCCTTGAGATCAATATAATTTTACAATGGTATTGTTGTGTAATTAGTCTCTGAACAGTGCTAAACCCCAACCCTAATAGATTTTCTTCTTAACCTTCTCTCTTTATAGACAGATGAAGTGAAGTCGTATCGCCATTTTGTGGTAAGTTTCACATTTTTCTGTTCTTTCTTTTGCAGAAATAGGATAACACATTCATCACCACAATTAAATAGCCTGGAAATGCGCAAACACCCTAGCCTAAAATTGGCACCATTGTCTGCAAGTCTATGACAGAATAATTCTGAGGTCTATTCTTTTGACAAACACACTGCTTGTGTCCTCTCTTGTGGATGAACAATGCGCTTCTGAACAGACAGGCTCTATCTGACCTGTGGTGCATCAGAAAATAGAGCTCATTGTTGTTGGGCAGTGTAGTATGATGTCTGAGATGAGCTGAGGTCTCGGGCTGCGTGTGTGTTCACCGGCACAGTCTCTGGCTCTGAAAGGGCTCGGTGCTCTGTGGTGGCTACAAAAGAGAGCTGTGTAGTGGGATTGGTATGGCGAGATAAGATCGGGGCCTCTGAGGAAGTCTGGTCTGATTGCTACAAAGGGCTGAGGTCAGGGGCAGGAGGAGCAGTTTACTCATCTAGGTATCAGAGGATCAGAGAGGTTTGGTGGGGAGCTGCGTGTGTAATAGGTATAAAAGGATCAGTGTAATGTGATGGTATAAAATGATAAAATCAGAGGAGGGGTTGGAAGGCGGTGTACTGTAATGGCCCCAAAATCGAGGGGATTAGAGATTTTGTAATGTGTGTAGGTGGCTCATGTGGTTGTGTGCATCTTTGATGGCTGTGAGAGCAAGAGTAAAGAAATTGAAGGGATGCAGGGAGAAAGACGAGTGCTTTGCAGGCTACGTGTAAACGGGGCAGTGGTACACACAGTGCCGTTAACCAGCTGTGAAGCCTGCTCACAGTGGGGGATAAATTTACAAAGGATGTCTCCCTCTGATATCCAGGAGATGCTGCACTGATCCCTGCTCCACTGCTCTCGGCACACTATTGTAGTGCTAAGCACCGTTCCACTAATGGCACTTATATACCTTAATGCCGGGAAAACATTTACATTCTGCTTGCAGCAGAGGGAAAGTGGCTGTGTGGAAAAAAAAAGAAACAGTTTTCATCGACAGCATCTTTAATCGATGAATCTAAGATTTGTGAGGATGTGCAATTTCCTTTACTCATCACGCAGTTTGAGGAAATTACAAGTCCTCCCATGTCTCTCACATTAGTCCCTCCTTACTATATCCAGTGATATTACTCACTGTACAGAGAGCATTTTGTTACACCAGACTGTCAGCATTACTGTCATAATGTTTCTTTTTTTCCCCGTTTCTAAAGTCAGTGACTTCACTCCTCTGCACCACAGAATTGCTCCTCAGTCTTCAGGGAGTCTGGGATCTCTGCTCTAAAATTCACAGTTTAAACATGAGGCAAGCCATAACCAGGAAATGCCTGTAGTATTAGCAAGGTATCGGATTCATGCATCCCCCCCTGAACAGCATGACTGCCCCTGAAAATCCCACATCCATATTTTACATCACGGCAGACAAGGCACATGTGTTTCAGCCCAGCTTTCAAAGCTGTTTCTTCCATTTATTTTATTATCCTTTAATGAATTTAATTAGAGGACATGTAATTAAATGCAATTGTGCTCACCCCTCTAAACATACACACCAACGCGCGTGCACGCATGAACATATTTGGCCGTGAATTGCTCAAAACAACATGTGTGATGTGAACAAATATACAGGATTAATAGGGGATTGATAATATTTTGGGATTGTATTTCACTCTAAATGGCTGCACGCGGAAACAAAGGCTGCAGCCCAGGCTCATTAATCATAGTCAACGGGCTGCCTGGGTGCAATTTGCATGTCCGAGGTGGCTGCACATGCTGCCGTTCGAACTGGGTTGCTGGATCTGGCTCGATTTGGCTGGGCTGTTAACGCTGCGTCAATCAAGGATAACCCAATAAGAGTATGACAGAGGAAGAGGGGGAAAAAATCTCCTCATTACCAGACAATCCTTCCCCTCCCTCCTTTATTCCCCTGTCTGCGCAACTTCTTATTTCAGTTAAGACTAATTACACACATAGGCCTGTTTAAAAATGAGTCTTTTCTGGTACATTTATCACTGATGCTGTAATATTTTTCAAAAGAAATACAATTTTTTTTAATTGTAAATATATTAAATTCTAAAACAATAATCCTTTTTGGGTTTATTAATGTCATCCTAATCTAGTTGTATTTGATTTTAATGATACATCAAAAATCAGTCTAGTCTTTCAGACTCTGAGACAATTTAGGAAGATTTTCACTTTAATCTACAAAGAAAACTTTTTCTAGTCGCCCTGTATTTTTGTCAGTCTCAGTTCAGAGCCTCACTTAGCCATTTTAACTACAGATAATTGGGTTGAGGCGTGATGCAGCGAAGTTCAAATGTAGCACAATTTCACAAAGCTGTAATCTCACCACCGTCTCTATACACTGAATTCTAATTATCTCATCATGAACTTTAAAAAAAAAAAAAAAGGCTGTGTTTTTAATGGCTTTTTAACTCCATAAGAGGCGTTTGTGCGTGAGGGGCGTGTGTGGCTTTTTGTGTATCTGACACACACACTCATGCAGACACAGACTCCCACAAACGCCACACACAGACATGTGAATGCGCCTTGTGTCTGGTCTGGCCTCTCTACCTAGCTGTGCTGCCGAGGCTCATGCTGCGCCTCCCCCCCCACCCCATCCCTAATATCCTGGAGGCATTTTTCTCATTATCAAATATTGTTTGATGTCTTTGTTTCTTGATGATTAACCATGGTCACCAAACACTGGTCTGGATTGTTTAAAATTTAATTTTGGGGCTCTGAAGTACCTGCAGAGGGGCTGACTGGTGGGGACACGCGTATTTTATGTATGCTATTTTTCACGCTGAAATGCAAGAGGACACACACTGAAAAACACAATAAATCCTGGAGGAGAATCATTAGTGGAATACTAGTGCTTTTTATGACCATTGTTATTCAACGCTGTATTGAGATGCTGTAAATTATTCTGTTTATTATAGCTTTATGGATTCAGTCCCATTTTCAGAATAATTATGTTGTTTCTTATTCAGCGTAGATAAACCTCATCTCTGTATTTCTATGTGTTTAAATAGAAATATACTGCCGGAAATATGCACTTTAAATATTTATTTTTCATTTCTTGTAATTTATGTTGCATCTTTTTTAATATTTTTTTTATTTCTCTGACCGTGTGTATATTTTTGTGGTAATTTCAAGATCATAAAGACAAACCTCTTGCCTAAGGAATCCAAGATTTATGACTGAATCGACATTGTAAGCAAACAAATAGGGAAACAACACTCTCCCCTAATGTCAGCATGTCAAAACTATATTGAATACTTGAAATATCTGTGTATCTGAGGCTGAATAGCAGCCATTGTATTGGTCTAATGATATTATCCTCTGAAATTTGGAGAGAAAGAAAAATGGCAGAAATGAGCGGCACCATTGTCTGCCCCGTTTTTATTTAAACAAATTGCACGAGCAGAGAGAGACAGAGTGAGGGGAAGAACGCAAGAGAGAGAAGGGGAGAGAGAGGGAGAGAGAGAGAGAGAAAGTGCTCTGTAAATGAAAGGTTATGCGTCGTCCCATGTGTTTGTATTGTCAATAACTGGAGAAGGCTGTCAAGAAAGTGGGGAGATAAAGGTCAATAACTCAGGCAAATGTGTTTGTATTTGTACACTCCTGCTGATAGCACAGCAAACGTCAGGGCCCGTGTGTGTCTGACACCCCACAACAATAACACAAACAGTGGGGCTATGGCGCTGGAATAGTCATTATTATTGTTGGTGCTGAAAATGAGAGGGAACCTCAGCACATGGCTGTGACAGGCGGCAAAGTGTCACTCAAACGTCACTCTGTAATGAAACACGCCGGAGATCAGAAAAGGCGATGAGAAAGTGTAAACACAAAGAGATTATGCTGCTGGATGATTTGGATATTTGCCTTATTTTACACGTCTCTGAATAAATATGATCATTTCATGATGCTTTGAAAGCACTTAAGAGAAATGTAAATACCACCCATATAATTTAGAGTTTTTGTGAAATAAAGTTTTTAAACATAAATTTGATTATCCTTGCTTTTCACGCAGATCTGCTAACCTGGCATGCATATTTTTAACCACATTTTCAGAGCAAAGTAAAAAGATGTAATTGTAAACCTAACCCTATCTCTCCAAATTAAATTAAGTATTTACATTTGTTGTTGAAAAAAGGAAATAAATAAAATGCACCGACTAATTTTCTCACACAAGTTTAAGCTGTAATCTAAAAGCGTAATTTATTTTTCATGATTCCTATACTGTTCGTGTTCAAGTGTTATTTTATTCTGCAGCCATTTAGTGTATCTCTCTGTGGCCTGGAGTGTAATAAAGTGCAATTAACAGACTTAACTAATTCATGAGGAACATTGTGAAACTAACGAAGGGCATAACTACTGTACAGACGCTGCTGTCATTGCTGGATATTGTTATTGTTCTGTTTTTAATTGCTGTAAGAGCAGGAGGAGGAGGTGGAGGAAAGGAGGAGGAGGAGGAGGAGGAGGCATGTTTTGAATATACGTCCTCGGTTACCATGGCAAAAATTAAAAAAAACTAACACTGGCTCCCTCTTGACACTTCTATCTAACGTCAGAGGTACGAGGAAGTGTTAACTCCTCTGGTTTAACCAGTTACCAAACAAATGACCCATTTTAACGTACAGCACAAAGAAAACATATAGAAGAAGTGATGCCTGAAGCAAGAGCGGAAAATCTTCTGCCCAGTCATGTTGATGTGTGGTCAAAGCAAAGTTACCTGTATTTTTGTGCCTCATTAACACATATACTACCTTCCTTGAAAAACGGGCATTTCTGTTACTTTGCAGTCAGCATGAAATAGTGTGCTCTTGTCCTTAAGAAAATGCTGTAGATCATTTCAAATAAATAACAAATAATCAGCTTTTGCATAAAGTAAACCCAAGAAGTCTGTTTTCTATTGAATCATCAGCACACAAGCTTTTAAAAATTTGCAAACGTTGTCCTATTGTTATAAGCAGAAAAAGCAAAATGCATTCTCAGTGTAAGTACATAAAGTCCATAGGGGAACTCTCTCCCTCTTTTCAGTTTGTTTGTTGGTTGTGCTGCTTCGCACTGGTTTACATTACATATGATTATGGAAATGCGGAGCTGTTCCTGTGCATTATGGGCCATCGCATTGTCAAGATCCTTTCTAAAGCAGTCAAGTAGCTATTTCTGAATTCTTTTATTATCTGAGAGTGCAACAAAGAAAGTCTTTTGTTCACTGTTTTGCTGCACACACACTCAATTGCATTCACAAACACACACACACACAGTCCCATACACACATATACGCACGCACTGCTCAGGCTGCTGTCCATGACTTACTACTGTCCCCTAGTGGTGCTCGCCTTTACAGTCTCCCACCACTTTCTATTTCCATCAACTTTCCCCTCTCCCACTCACCTGACTCCCCCATCTTTGCCCCCCTGTCTTTGCCCCCGACCCCCCTCTGTGTGCCCTCCTCTCTGTCTTATCATGCTCAAATATTTAAAGGCCCGATTTGTCGTATTGTATGACAGAGAGCTCCAATTATGTATTGCTGTGTCCACAGTGGTTTTGCCTTCAATGGAGGGCTCAAACAGTGTCAACAAAAACAGGAACCCTGATGTTTTGTGTCTATTGTGAGGCCAAAGCTCGTGTCAATAAGGTATTGTTGGGTTGGAGTGCCACACCGAAACTGCAGTAAGAATGTTATCAGACCTGTGGAAATAGGGTGTGTTTGTAGTAGTGTTAAAATGAAAGTTTGATTGTTTGAATAAGCAGACAAAAAATGCACTCAGGGAACAGATTTGGAGCACTTCTCCGCACTTTCCTTTTATGCGGTTTTATGAAACAAAAACTTTTTTTTGAATCTTGGACTTTTTGAAAGTTATTCTATAATTACACCTCAATTACTCATCTTTTAAGTTTTATTTTAAGCAAAGTCAAAAGATGAGTCTTTCATCCTGACCATCACTAAGCTAACCCTCTCCCCCCTTAGCTAATAGTATGCACTTTTATACTTTAGCGTTCTCCCGCTCTGATCACTGTTATTCAGCCCTAATTGCTGTGATAACATGGAACAGTGCTAATAAACAAAAGGGTAAAAGGGTCAGTCTCCCTCCTGGCAGTTGCACGGACACACACGGTCAAGTCACTCATGTCAAATGACCAATTATACAGGTTATAGAAGATGGCACCTCTGTCTCCAGTGCCCTGTCCCTCCTGGGATCCCTCCACAACAAGAGGGCTATCACTCAAACCCAAACCACATTCATTCATTAGCCTGTTAAGACAGGCATCAATTATTCAGTACGAAGGTGGCCAGTGGATTATATCTGTCAGCACTGGGCTTATTGTATCAAAGGTTGATTATGGCCTTGTTGATTTAAGGTACACTTTGTCTGAGTGGTATAATCCAACTCTCCTGCAGGAGCACAAGTATAGATTTAAAGTTTTGGTTCTCCATCTTTCTGGGTTTTGTTTTATTTTAATATCACAAACTTTTGCATTTACTTCTTTAAGCGAATTGATCTTATTTCCAGCATTATTCTGTCATCACTCAGCGAGAGTCAACCAACTTCATCCTGACTTATCGCACAATATGGTGTCTCCCTCTTGATTTATGAGTAAATCATGCTCACCATCTTGCCTTTATTATCCCTGTCTGTCTCTAACAATCTTGTGCTCACCCTTTTCTCTTTTTTTCCATGGCATCATCTTGAAAAATTCACACTCACCTCACTCTGTAAAATCGTTTTATTAGAATGTTAAGAAGTCCTGTGGGAATTTTTCTTTTGGAGAAACTCTCTGAGAGAGGAACTAGTAAAATGGAGTTGCCTAACTGCCTTGGCTGAGACTACAAGTGTAGATACACATACATACAGTCCGTTGTTTCCCACGTGTGTAACTTCCCACTACAGCTGACCCAAAATCAGTCGGTACCTTTTTTCTTTGACTTCTTTCACCAAAATCACAAAAAAATATTTATTATTGTATAAATCTTTAAGGTAACCTCCTTATTATGTTATCCAAGTGTCTTTATTTTGCCATCATGTGTAAACAAAAGTAGATCTTACGACTCCAAAGTTTGGTTGAATTGAATGCATGGTGCTGCAAAAACAAAACAAAACTCTTACAACAATAAATTAAACATTTCTCTAATTTACGGAGGGATATTTTTTTTTGAGAGAACTACATTTTATGTGAGTGAATGACTTTATTTTTCCTTTTTAATTTTAAAACTTTAAAACTTTTTTTAAACAGAAAGAAAAGTTTTTCTTGTATTGCAAAATCATCAGAATCAGGTTTATGACCGAGAAGATTGACTCACAAGAAGAGATGGTCCAAAAACAATAAACACAGAAATGCTAAATATATATTTGACTGAAAAAGCACTATATTGTCAATGAACTTTAATCTGAAAAGATAAAAAGTATATTTAAAAATATCAAACTGCTTAACAAAAGGTACAAAATATGAACAGAGAGATTGTGCTTATTGTAATGAGAAAAATGTAAATAATCACTGTGTTTATATCTTTTTCGGACACTTTTGGATCACTTGACTTTTTTCCTGTAGTGTCCACACAAAACTCACAATCCTGCAGTTGGGACACCTAGCTGCCCACAAGCAGTGAAAACTCTCTGTGGTCAGACTTCTCGATCACTTCTCTTGGTGTAACCCCCCTCCCCCTCCAGCCTTTCCTCCTTTCACCAACCGCACAAGTGTTAAAACAATATCCAGGTGTCATGTTGTCGCCCGATGTCGCCACTTCATAGGTTAGAAAAATTCACTGACAAGGAAAAAAAAAACTGGGGTGTGTCGCTGTTTTCAGAGTCGCAGTGGAGGATAAACATTGCGACGCGGTGACAGAGCGCAGACCTTGGACTTTGAGCCACAGCAGACACTTTCACATGATGCAATGACAGCTCAGTTAGATGGTGGGAAAATTAATCCTCGCTCAGTTTAAAGAAACTATTCATAACTGCTTTTTGTGAGAAAATATTAACTATTTTTCAAACGGATGAAAGAGGCCATCTGGTTAAATTCACAGAGGCTATACCTTATTCCTGCACCTCCTTTAGTGCTCTCAGTGGGTTTGCTTAATTTTCTGTCTCCCCTTTTTTTCCCTTCAGGTTTGTGCAGCACTTGCAGACAGAGACTCTCTCAAGAATGTGTCTAATTTAGTAGCTAAGAGGCAGATTTATACCTGTGCTAGTTATGTAGAAGGTTGCTCCCTGGAGAAGCCCAATGACTGTTTACGGGCGGCCCGACAATGCCTTAGCAGATGATGAAGCACCTGCCAGACTTCCCCCATGTCTGCTCCATCCCTTTCTGTCTGTCTGCTCGCTCTCTTTATTCCTCCTCTCCTCCTCTGCTTCACTCCTTCCTGTCTCCTGTCCTTTCTCTGGCTTTGTTTCTCTTCCCAGCCGAACTACATCTCCCTCAGTTTCCATGGAGTTGTGCGTTTTTTTTTACAACTGTTCCCGCTGCTCTCCCCAGAGTGAACCCATCTCCTTACTCAATCTACCTCTGAGAATAAGTGGGTTTCGTTCCCCTTCGCACACAAATGCTGGATGGACAGCAATACATTCACACACAAACACACGCGCGCACACTAGCCAGCAAAACTGTGGTCAGGTTTTGTTTATTACAGGGAAAGGCAATATCGAGATTGTTTCAGAGTAGTGTCATCACATGAAATGTATCGCTGTCAGGAGTGTGTTTTATATGTCGGGGCCCTCGGCTGAAGCCATTTTGGGAAACAGAAATATCATATCGAATGACCTCCTCTGGTATAAAAGTAAACTATCAGCTGTAAATCCGATACACAACTACAGCAGTGTGTGTGTGTGTGTGTGTGTGTGTGTGTGTGTGTGAGCAGGAAAAGATGTGAGTCCTTTATAGCACGGAGCTCACTCATATAATAAAGGTCAACTCTTTCTCGCTGTAAAATCCTACTTTAGATGTAAGAAGTTCATTTCTGTTAAAGAGTGATCCAGTTTTTCAGAAAGAAACAGATGGTTTCTGATTCGGATGTCTGTTTTGTACCTTCATTTTCAACTTCAAGATCTCTTTCACTAAACTAACAATTGAAATGAAGGCGTTTGTGCACTTTACTTTGTCAACGATTAACTTTCTAAAATCCCAAGTAATTGCTGACTTTAGTTGGTTTTGAAAAATTGTAATTGTACATTCAAATTCCTACTAATTTGCACTTTTTAAATCCACATAAACAATGTTAAAGTAATTGAGGTGCAAAGGTGAATCAGTTAAATTACAGTAGAAGATTGCTGTAGGTCTTTTTTTTTCTTATTTAGTTTCATAAGCACACTCCAAAATAGCGCTGCCGTTCTTTTTCATGTGGTTGCCCGCTGACATGAGTCTGATTAGCCACACCTCTGTACTTAAGTGGTAGCTGGTAGCTCAAACTCAAAGTACTTTAGTGATATTTTCATTCTGTTTGATACAAAGTGCATAACTTGTCAACTGAGCCAGCTGGGACTTTTTAATGGGAAATGTGCCATTCAAGAGTGCAGTAGTGCCATTATTCTCTATCACAGTGGCAGCAGGAAGCGAGAAACACTGTGGAGGCTTAAGTACAGCATGCCAAAAGGCACTAAATTAAATAAAAGGCATTAATTTTAGACTTTAATTGCATCGGGATCAAGTCGTCAATGCTGTCAGCTCTATTTAAAACAAAAGAAAAGTTAAGTAAGTCTTTAAACACATCATTTACGTCTCTCCTGTTGTCGTTTTTTAACAGTTCACTCTTTTAAACCCCCCTCAAACACCTACACATTTCATGACTTGAAACAAAAGTTCAACTGATTAAAAAAAAAAAAAGTTAACTTAAGTAGAGAAAGCAAAAATGTGGAAGAAAATTCAATAATTAAAGTGAAAAAATTACAAATTTAATGAGAATCTGAAACATTCAGTAACATTTTAATTCAGTCCCTAATATTTTGGCTTTCCCTTAGAGAATCCAAACAAGCTATTTTGCCTGCAGAATGCACAACTTAGTATTTATTATCTGTCCTAATGCCATTTCACTGTTAAATTATTATTGACCACACCACTCGGTCTCAGTGCTGTAATTCTGCTGCTCCTTACCTCGAAATATCCAGGCTGCATTATACTCAATGGGCCGTATCTCATTAATGTATGTGGTATGATTCTGCACCTGTAATTAAGTGTCACTTTATAAACACACAAACACTAATAACACCCTGAGCTTTTCTGGGAGAGCCCAGTGGTGGCAATAGCCCATCCATCAATGTCCCTAATGAGCCTCCGTACAGACAAGCCAGTGGAGGCTTCCTGGGCCTATCAGTCCTATTTTTAATGCTCACTATGATAACCACCGAAATCCCTGCAAACATGATATCAGCCAAAAAAGTGAAGGTAAAGTGTGTTATTGTTGTGCATTTTTGCAGCGAGTGTATCTGTATGTGTGTGTGTGTACCAGGGGTCCTGAAAAGAGTTCTCATTAACCTCACTGTCATTTTAGTGTTGTAGATGTTAATCAAAACCAACACCATTAAGTGTGAGGTGCTTAACATGGCGTCTACTCTTAATGTCGCCATTAATAATTTGATGCAAGGAGAGGCCAACACAAGGAGCTAATGAGGTGTCACAGGTCATTTAGACCAATCAGAAGCCACCACAGGATGTTAGCCAAACAAAGGCCTAGGCTCTGCTGCAGTTCGAAACGGCACAGCATGTAAAAGAGAAAGTAGCGATCGTGTTTATTTATGTTCTTAGCAAACCCAACCCTGAAGTTCTGCTGCAGCTTATGAGTGATAATCCTCTTCCTGTTTGTTTGAATTCAGCGTCTCACCATGTCTCTTTTTCTCTCCCTCTCCCTCTCTTTTAGGCTGCAGAGGCAAACAGCACAGAATGTGGTCGACATGTTTGGATAACATACGGATCTACAGTTTCAGGAGCTGAGGCCCTCGCGCTGCAGGGACGGATTTCACGCTCCGTATCGTCATCAGGACAGGACTTAGACAAGGTTTGGACGAGGAATTAGAGCCTGCTGAGATTGAAGGAGGTTTTACAAAATGTTTTTAACATTGCTCAGAGTGCTGATGACACTTTTGATGACCTTGTAAGAGGAGTATAACGTTTGCTCTAAGTGGTCATAAAAAGTTTTCTGACATGGCCAAATATGGAAGCAAAATGAAGGAGGTTTCTTTTTTTTTTCATGAAACTACAGTCAGCAAATTCTCTCATGAAGTTTTCCGTCTAAATGGAACGTTTTGGATTAGGTTTCATTTTGAAAACAATATTGTCAGAGCATCCTCCTTTTTAAATAGTCAGAAATTCTTTATATGTCCTGCAAGAAAAAAGAAAATTTTTAGTCCTTTAAACTAATCAAGGATACTGAAAGTCACCAAAAACCTGAAGGAACTGTTTTTTTGCGGGATAAAAAGTATAAATATTGTCCATTAAGTTAAGGCAGTTAGTTTTATTCTTTCGAACCTAATGTTTAACAGGAGTTTAACTTAAAGGTAACTTCAACCTGTTGAGGTGTGAAGATTATTTTAACCTGATGTCAGCCAGAGATACAGATAGAGAAGGTAAATTCCCACACCGGTGGTGATTAGCGTGCGTTAATGAAATAACAAGCAGAGACCGCTCTTGAAATACCTTTTAAACTCCTTGATATTGTTCCTGCCTGTCAGTCTGAAAGAAGCAGTCAGTGTGTTGGCGTGTCGGCGGCTAATGACAGAGGAAGTGACGTCTGACAGCTCTGGTCTGCCGCCGCGGTCGGTCCTCTAAGAGCAAAAGGAGGTGGCCGCGTTTCAAAGCTAATGGAGGAGGAGAAAATGGCCATGTCAGTCCTGTCAACGTATTATGTTTTAAACCTAGACAGTTGTTGTCGCTCTAGCAGGCCCATAATTTTATGCCATTAAAAGTGCCAAGGGGGGAAAGAGTGAGGGAGGAAGGAAGCAAAGCAGGGAGGGAGGGAGGACTTTTCTACCTCTTGTTCCCTTCATGCCTGATTCCCTGCCACTTTTGTGTTGGAAACTTTTGGCATTTCTTGAAAGCATAAAGACTAGTTGGGGCTGTAAAGTGATCATAAAGTCAATCATGTTGGCCTGAATTACCCGGCAATCTCTGTCAGTTAGTCCCCCTTTCAGACGCTATATGCCATAAGATGTACGTGGGAGTGGGGTGTAGACATGTGTGAATGTGTGTGTGTGATTCCTCGGTATACATTAATGTACAAACTGTAAGTGTACATGAGACGGAAGAGGTAGAAACCTCAAATGAAAAGTGACGGCGTAAAAGGACTTCATTTCTCTTTACTGACATAAGTCAGAACAAATTGTTGATATGTTTGTCCTTTAAAAACAGATTAATTTCAGTAAAAACTCGATATTTCTTTTTATTCTTAAGGGGCGATATCCACAGGAAACTTTTCAAACCAGAGATTTGAAACAAATTATAATGCCCTGCAGGTCCGAGCAACTCTGACACTTCTTTATGAATTGCCACTAATCGAAAAATGTTAGCGGGAATTACTGTCACTTGTTCCGATTTGTATGCATGACAACCTTTTTTCATCTCAAAAGAATACTAGACCCCACAAGGTCTTTACGTTATGGGCAAACATTTGCAATTATGATGAACTCCGGCAGCTTATCTCAAAAGGAACAGGTCCTTACTGATGGACAAGTAGACGTTTTAATGAAATAAACTGCTTTGAGCTGATGAAATAAAGATTGCTCCACCTCGGGGCACACTCAGATTAAATTATCAAGATGGCTACATGCATGCCGCTCCCATTAACTCAGGTACAGACCCATCAAACTGTGCTTGTTTAACAGAGTTTTTGTGGAGAAACTACTGCATAAAGTAGTTCCTTTCTCTTTGTTTCCAGCTCTCCCCTGCGGCAGCTAAAGGCCTCACAGATTCTCTTTGAGTCCATTCAGAGGGATGAACTAATGTCAAAACCATGTGTTGTCCCCAGAGGCCGAGCGAGTAGACACTGGGATGCATGCAGTTTTATGCGTGCAGATAAACATGGGCCCGATGGCTTGTCAGAATGCCTGTGGAAAGAGCCCAGAGTCCTGTGCCTTAAAACAATGTTGGTGTTGGTGCAAGAGGGACTGACTGGCAATGGGAAACACCTGTGCTGGGGTGAGCAGCCGGGCAGTGTGTTGGGGTGGGGTGGGGTGTCAGTGTGGGGGTTTACCACTGTGTAAAAGAGGAAGAGGTGGCAAGAGGGAGGTATAAAGGCCACCATTTCCTCACTTTTTGCAGCTGTGAGGTCTTTAAGAAAGGAGTTACAGTAAAATCTTGACTGTTGCGCCTTAAATTTGACCAACCTTTAGGCTAGTTACAGAGATATAAGGGATACACACAAACACCGGCTGATACCATCGTAAATAAAGCTGCTGGAATAGGTGAGAAAACACGGTGGGAAGCTGAACTCAGAAATACAACTTTAATATTCAACTATGTCTCCCAGCAGTACTTTTTCAGCTGATTTGATCTATCCTCTGATATTTCCTGATGTCAGACATTTACACAAAGACAGTCATTTCCCAGTATCATAGAGTCTGTGTCGAGATTTGGCTCTGCTGTGACAAATGTTGGACTCATTTTTGGATTTAGTGCCTCTGTACTGTCGTGGCAGGTTCAGCCACATAGAAATCCCTGAATTCTCCCGGCTTCTTGTGGCAACATTTCAGACAGCTTTAATGTTTTTCTTTTTAAGCTGATTCATATCTCGACTTTCTGCTGGTCTGCATGGCTTTGAGGCATTTCAGAAGTACCAAAACTTCAGTATAACAGAATCCGTAGATGCTTGTTAAAGTTGTTTTTTAGTGAGAGGATAATTTCTCTAAAAACTGTCATCAAAAAAGTGTCCGAGTGATTTTTTTTTTAAGAGAAAAATCTCTTTAGATTTACACGTCAATGAAAATAGCACCCAATAGAAACAGGCAATCCAAGCAGGCACATCAGTCCTGTCATTTTTAAATCACATCTTGCTGTAAATAAAAAAAACACCCTGCACACGGGGAAAACATGCAAACCCTGTAAGAAACAAAGAACAAACAGCACAGCACACATTTTTACAGCCACATATCATACCCCACTGTACATCCATCAGCTGCTCCTCAGCGGCCCGGCGCTCCACCCTCCAGTCAGGTTGATCATTCCATCTCCTGCTTCTCTATCCTGAGGTGCCTGCTGTCAATTTATCTGACTTCTCCTTTTAATTTCATACTTTCCACAGTGTAAGCATCCATCTCTGCTGTCTGCTGCAGCAGCGTTGGAGGGTTCAGGGGAGGCTTATATGTATAGCTCTCACCTGGCAGGAGAAGCTGGTTTACAGTGGAGGGATGATCGAGTGGAAAAAAAGGTGTTGTGCACAACATTTACAGTCCTCACTTTTCAAATTCACGTTCAATATTATAGAGAATTGTTCAAATTCATTTTGAAGTCCTGCAGAAAATTTGTACATGAAAGAGACGACAACAACACTGTTAGGTCCACATGTCCCTCATGACGTACCATGACCTCCAGGACCAAAACAAAGCTAATACAGAAGTGCATAAAAACTGTAGTTCCTTGAGTGTCCCCTCCAAAAGCCAAAGAAACCTACTGTTAATATACTTTGTTAAAAATTACTGCTGAAGTAGAATCTTTCCATACATTTATATTTCATTTCGGGGTTAAGGTTATTGCACATTACGGATATACGCAAGGCTGTTTTGCAGGAACTATAACTTATCCGTCTGCCAAAACAGAGCAAAATCATTAGAGATACAATGTTCGTCTTTGTCTACTGAAGGCTCCAAAAGCCACACAAACCAAACGCTCTTCACAGCAGATTTAAGGTCCCCCTCATCACCGTTTCTTTGTATGTTTAGGTTTAAGTAAAGAAAGTAAAGTTGATTCAGCATTTCGGATGAGGCCCCATAATGCCTCTTAAGAAAATGATGATTGACATTATCTAGACTATATATCCATGTCTGCGGTCTCACCAAAGTTCACCTTGACCAATTGTAGCTCTAGACAACCTCCCTCTGAAAATAATAATAATAAAAAAGTTATTTCTGTCTCATAACAGACGATTTTATTGAAAAAAATATAGTAGACTTGTTAGGCAAAATGAATTTGTGTGAGTAAAATTTCCTGTGAGAAGTTTTCAGATGTTTTTGAAAAAGAATGAAGATTTCTGTTGATGCTTATTTATGTCAATAAAAAGGAAACAAGACTATTTGCAACAAGACCAATGATTTTTAATTGTAGTTTTCAATCCCTCAAACTTGTGCAATAAAGTGTGAGTGAGTAAATCAGTAGCCAAATAAAAAGCTGTGTTTCTGGTATTCTCCTTTTTAAAAATAAGTCTCTTTTTAATGAATTAAATGGAAAGGCATTGACATGGATATAACTGTGTCTATTTTCTGGCCTTATGGTAAAAGTATCATCGGCTAAATCACACGTTCTGTTCAAGATCTACAGTATTATAATCTCATCACATTAATAAATAAGAAATCAGATGTATTAAGGGAATCCTGTGTGTAATCAGTAGATTTCATTCCTGTTAAACTCCATAAGCTTCAGCTCTTTTCCTTTGACACATCTGAGATTCAAAACGAAGTGAATTCCACAAGCTCTGACACACCAAATATCATTAAATTTAATCTTAATTTAGGACTCCCAGACCCACTTCCCATAGTCCTCCTCTACCCATCTCCGCTTTCCTGATCCTTCTTTCCCTCTCCTTTTATGTCTCACAAAATTAATTACTGTATGTTTTATTTTATGAAGGTGTCAGGCAGAAATGATGAATGGCTTGTAATATCAAAAGATTAAAGACACAATGCAATGAAGGACGCGGCTGCTTACACTGTGGTAGCACTTACATGCAGACACATGTACACACACACACACACACAGCATGCACACACAGTCTCTGGGGCCACTGATATCTGGTTTCATATTTGATATTAACTTACTGGGGGGAGCAAGTATGGCCACAATATCATTACCAGTGGTAGAGAGGCATAA